CTATTACCGGGATATTTACCATATCTATCAACCTAGGATACTACCCAAAGCGATGGCGGAGTGCAAAGATCGTGGTGCTGCGGAAACCTGGAAAACCAGACTACTCGATTCCAGGAGCCTACCGCCCGATCTCACTCCTCAACACACTAGGCAAACTACTTGAAGCTGTTATGGCCCGACGACTATCGTATCTCGCCGAAAAACATGGTCTGCTACCAGACACGCAATTCGGAGGACGACCAGGCAGGACAACCGAACAGGCCCTGCTAGTTCTTGCCAATGCAATTGACCGAGCGTGGTATAAATACAAGGTTGTGACGCTTATCGCGTTCGACCTAAAAGGAGCCTTCAACAGAGTCAACAAAGTTAGCCTGGACGTCCGCCTCCAGGCAAGAAGGATACCAGCGGTGGCACGAAAGTGGATCGCGAGCTTTATAAGCGACCGCCACGCAAGCATAGGGTTCGACGACTTCCGCACAGAGGTAACACCACTGGCAAATGCTGGATTAGCACAAGGCTCACCCCTCTCCCCATCCTGTTTGCGTTCTTTAACTCCGACCTGGTCGATATCCTGTCCTCTGATGGCCGGCTAATGCAGCGTTTTTCCCGTCACATTCCACGGTGGAGTATCAGCCTTTATCGATGATTACTTCCGCTGGCGAGTAGGCCGCTCAGCCGAAGAGAACCTAGCCAAGATTCAGGCGGAAGACATCCCCCGCGTTGAATCATGGGCCCAACGAACCGGGTCCTGCTTCGCAGCTGAGAAGACCGAACTGATCCACTTCACTAGGAAGAAGGGCGAACAGCTCAGGGACAGGTAGTTATAAGTGGGAAAATTATCCAACCCTCACCCAAAGCTAAGCTGCTAGGCGTGATCTTCGACCAGGAGCTATGGTGGAAAGAACACGTCCAGCAAGCTATTAAACAGGCAACCAAAGTGACCATCGCGTTAAGCGGGCTACGACATCTGCGCCCAGAGTAGATGCGACAGATCTACCAAGCCTGTGTCACGCCGGCCGTGGACTATGTGTCAACAGTCTGGCACAACCCACTCCGGGACAAAACCCACCTTCGACACCTAAACACAATCCAGAGGACCTCACTAATTCGCATCCTGTCTGCATTTAGAACAGTGGCTACTACAACTCTAGAGGTAGAAGCACACGTTCTTCCCACGCACGTCCGTCAGCGCCAACGAGCCCAGAAAACTATCGCAAGACTCCATACTCTACCACGTGACCACCCTATCTGGAGTGCGCTATCACGAGCCTGGAAACATAGAAATAACACTGGGTCATACGCTTGCTTCCCACTAGCGGAAGCACTAAAGACTGAATCTAGAAAGACTCAACAAACTGGAGACGATCGACCCAACACCGCTGCCACCGTGGCGAGCCGAGTCTTTCACGGAAATTAAGGTCGAGTCAGACTGGGAGACAGCGAGAGAACGTGCTGAGACTGTTAGGGCCACATCTAACCTAATTGTCTACTCGGATGCCTCGGGGCGTGAAGGTTACCTGGGAGCCGCTGTTATAGCACTCGATGACAATCTCGAGATTATAGAATCACAACAGGTCCAGGTAGGACCGATGGACCGATGGTCAGTCCATGTAGCAGAGTTAATAGGCATTTTTCGCGCTATCAGCTCGGTATTTAAGATCGCCCATAGCTACCCTAGAGCAGATGACGGAACAACAACAGCAACGATCCTTTGTGACAGCAAATCCGCCTTGCAAGCAATCCAAAACCCAGGAAACAAATCAGGCAACAAATTATCCATGCTATCCTCCATGCAGCGGCAGAGGTTCAAGCCCGGGGTATTGTACTCCGCCTGCAATGGCTACCAGGGCACTGTGATAATATAGGGAAGAGCAGCAGATCCTGGCTAAAATACTGCACACCCGGCAAAACACACCCCTTCCGTCCCTGCTTACAAGGAAGAAGGATTCCATCCGAACAAGATCCTCGCTCAGTGGGAGCAAGAATGGACGTCTACAGCAAGGGTAGTACCTACGAGAATCGACAACCTTTACCAGCCACCTACACTAAAGACTATATAGGAACCTACCAAGGAACCGCGCATACCTGCTAATGCAGCTACGAACGGGCCACAGTTGGTTATCCACCTACGCCAAAGCTCATCGATTTCGTGACAACGATCACTGCGCGTGCGGCGCGCAAGAAACAGTCACACATGTGCTAGTGGACTGCCCTAAATTAAGGGAATTGCGAAGGGTGTTGAGGAGAAAAGTTGGGGACGTGTTTAATTGCACGTCGAGTCTGCTGGTCAAATTTTACAGAAGCTTTTATGTGACTGTATACTATCAGCTCACGGTCAATCAGCTTACTACTCTGCTTTCCAGGCCTTTGTCCCGCCGAGTCAATGGGCAAGAATCCAAAGCCCACAACATCAACGTTCATGGTCCCTCTCTGAGAATGGACGGGCTATTATCCTTACACCCCTTATACTCCGATGCAATGCTAGTGAATCATGGTTCCGCAAGTCATATAGAGAAATCACAGTTAACATTGCACAATCTTCAGCCAACCTACTGTTAACTATCAACATGGGAATTGATTATTTATGCATATGCATTATTTGCAATATCAACAAGTACTTTATCTTCTATCACATCAACTTCCGTACAATATATTCGATCAACAGTATTACAGGGCCGACATGCATTTCAAAGTCTGGTTTTTGCAGGGTCACAGATAACCACCGATGTGCTTGCGACAAATGGTCTGCAATATCCCCTCCTTACTTGACTTATTTTACTAATGGATTCTTAATAGATATTGATGCTATTCTATCTAGGACTAATAATAAATGGGTGAAACGTGCATGCCTCCCAAATGTCCATAATGGACTGCATTTTGCCGATTACACGGCTGAATATGGAAGTCCCATGAATTGTAATGTTTTAGGTGGGGAACGAAAACATAAGTATGGTCCCTACTGTTTTATAATACTATTATATAAATAATACTAATAATATTTATATACAGGGTCTTTAAGAACTGGGCGGATTGTGCGGCTCCAAGTAACCTTATGGCCTATTTATTCAAGAAAGATCGTTTGCGACAATCCTTGCGATTGGGGATTTCTGGGTCGTGGAGTCATCAGCAGCCAGTTCTATATCAGCGACTTATAAAAATGTTAATAACCTGTCCTTATTTGATCAACTTATTTATCTTGCTTGATAAGGAATACAATGTGGTGAACTAGCATAGAAACCCTCCAAAATCGGCAGTAAAAATTTTGGCCAAGAAAACTTATGCCTTGTTATAGACAACCTTAATATTTATTTCCTCATCACTGTCCTTCGAGATAATAATATCTTAGTTAATCGACTGCAAGATATATATATTAAAAAGTACAGTGTATATACTACTCTCTATTTTAACAGCTTACAGCTATCCCCATGTGTGAGATTTCACGATAAGTATGCTTGATACTGCCTATATTATAAAAGCAACTACTTACACTATATAGAGCTATGGTATTCCATATATACAGACCGGGATGTTTCTTTTTTATAAAGAGGCATATATACAGGTACTGTCATGTTTACGTTATTTGTTATTTAACAAGGAGTATTTCTTTGTCTTAGCTCGGTATCTTGAACGAGTGTCAGTTAATAGTATGGCAGAGGATAATATTCTTCAGCTTCCTTTCTACCGATGTACAGATAGATGGAGCCTTTTTACTATTCCGGATTTTATTGCAGACCCGGAGTTTTTTATTGATGTAACATCCCCTCACGGTGTGCCTCAGTCAACATCTCAGTTTCTTATACACTGTTCCTGGAGGATCAACTATATATGATTTATTACTTCTTTATATACTATGTCTACTATGGAAAAGGCTCTTTCAACCCCTATATATATGCTATGGGTGAATTAGACAATTTAATACGCTGTTAAGATAATTCAATAATAGTAGTACAATAAATATAGAACTGGATTAATCTAATCATAGATAGTATCTACTATTTCTTATTCGATTGTACGATAGCAAGATACTAGTATTATAATAGATATAACAGGTATCTAACTATGCATAACTTACGAACCGTTGCATCTAGTTGTGAACTTCGAAGAGTTGTGGGTTTTATTGCTCGTTAATCCTGGTTTCCCTTGGTTGTAGCTGGTTGTCAGTAGTAGTAGTAGTAGTAGTAGTAGAATTCATACGCTGACCCCTCGCCTTCGGCGATATGCAGGACCCGACTGTCACTATCTATCTCTATATGGCTATGTACAGTGATCCATTACTTAACGACGAATGCTGGTTGTCAGTAGTTGTGAGAAGTTGTGGGGGTTTAAACTGGTATGCAGTGGTTGGGAATGTATTCTTAGCTTATAATTGGACATGTCGTACCTTTTGTGGCAACCATTCCACAACCCTTTTAAATGGGATTATATAATTACATACCTTTCCCTACAGTCGCCAACCCTTCGACACTGTCGCACCAAAAAAAAGGGTGGGCATGATAGTATCATGATCGAGAAATTTTTTTTTTTTTTTTTTTTCTCGCTTCGACATGTTCGCGATTTCTTTGGCCTTTTCAACATCTAAGTATCCCCTTAGTACCCGACAATATAAACAAAAGAGCCATATTAGCCTGCTGCATTAAGCAGGTAATGTAAATGGTTCGAGACTCCGCCATACTGGGTCACTATCTGCTGTTCCTTCTGTTTAGGCTGTAAATCAAGGCTTTACGGAGTAAATGAAAGATCGTCGATATGAGATAAACCAATGTAGAAATTTAAATAACTAGAGATTAATCCGACACTTATCTTCGATAATTAATTTTCTATTTAGAATAACAACAATCCCCTGCACCCTGGCGACCTTGCAAGGCGTTCCGCACACTAGCTCGAGAATATAAGTCGCAAAAATACTGGAAGTCTAAGTAATCCTGAGCATAAGGACAGAATTAATGGTGACGTTTTGAGGTGACAGCCCGAGGCTTGGTAATGCAAGTGTAGGGGGCCGCCTAGTTTTTCAAAAATCTCTTGATCTCCGTCCTGGCCATCCTGTAGCCGGATGTGAAATATCGATAGTTATGGTCGTTTTTCATTATTAGCTTCTGGCAAGAAGCGAGGCCAGCAGCTTCTCTATTCACAATACCGTCTAAAATCACTTTGCCTGCTTCTGACAGCAACTCTGAGGATGCTGAAACCGCACGCTGCAGGTCCACAAATGCAAGAGACATCCCTAGCAGGATTTCAATATTCCTGACAGGAGACTTTGAGAGCCTGATCATTTTTTCTGCGAAGGGGCATGGCCATCGGGTGAGAACATCCACTAATGAGTTTGGGATAGGTTTGAAATGTTTGCGGCCTAACATTTCTAGGCCTAAGTTGATCAAATCAACGCTATCCTGCCTTACAATCTCATCCATTCCCGAAACACCCTTCTTCTCGTGCCCAAACCCATATTGGGCTCGAAGAATGCGGACAATGGCTGAGCCCAGTTGTGTCGCTGCACGAGATGGAACGGCAATATACGACTCCAGCAGGCTCGTCTGTGAAAACCATAGCGGGAGAATCCGTGTCCAGGCACCATTTATATTCAGATCTAAGGGGCTGGTGAAGAATATACCATCTGAGATTGTAGCAAGCGGAATGTCCTCATCGACAGGAGTATCGGAGTCTGCAATGCCCATAAAACCCGGACAATGTATAATGGTGCGATCTCGTCGGGTAAAATGCCAATAGCTATCCTGGCCTTTAGGACGGGCACTGAGGGAGTTAATCCAAATCTCAAGGACCTCCACCTCTTTCTGTGTGAAAGATCCGAACATTTTTCCTCCCCAGCGCAGTTCTCGGATGAGTTTACTTTTCCCTGCATTTCCTTTTATTACCCACGGCTTTGCCATGCCCAGCTCTCGAAGGAATTCCCTTTGTCTCCGCTCCGACGCGAGACGCTCAGGATTAAGCCATTCTGATAGGGCTAGACCCCCAATCTTAGTGGGACATGCACCGTGTAGCTGCCATGCAACCACCGCCTTGGCAGTCAAAATTTGCAGGACTTTGCTCTCGAGATGACTAAGTGCTCCAACAGGTCCAGATACTGGCCACTCTGGGTGATTTGAATGAAGTGTTGACAATGCATAGCCCGCCTGAATTCGTCTCCATGCCATCTGCACAGCATGTTTTCCCTGATAACGCTCCACATAGGACAGATACTGTGTAACAATATGCGCAGACATCTTAGCGTGTCCGGAATGCGCATTATCAATGGAGATATGGAGAAGAAAATATTGCGCCCCTACTTTCAGCTCCTGAAGCTCTTTTGACAAGATAACAGTCTCCAGCGTGAGGCCCTCGAAGCCCAAGTTGAACCCCAGGATCTCAGGAAGAAACTCTGATGGAAATAGAGAGATAAGCAGCTGTACCACAGCTGCTTTAAAAACCCACACATTTTTTAAGCCATATTTTGAGTTAATAAAATCAGATGTATGAGGGGCGGGTAAGTCAACTCCCAGTTCTTGCATCAGCTCGCTGTACACTTGAACATGGTTCTGGCAAACATGTCCATCTCCAAGCTCCTCAGAGAGGACTTGCCAGGCCCCTTTCAGGATAGGTCTGAGGTCAAAAGGGGTCGTTATCTGGTGAATATAGCCTAACCATGAGCCATCCACGAACTTAACCGGGGCCAGTTGAGCCAGGGCTTCGGCTGCTTGTTTCCTGTCTGCAAGCAAGCGCCTTGGCCAGCCCGCTGCTCTTTCCTGGAAGTACTGCGCGCAGGATTTCTCCACGTCCTGATGGCTGGTTTGTAGGAAACCATATAAATTATCTTCTGTAAAACTCTCGATAGCAAAAATGCCCCTTTTCTGACTATCTTCGGAAAATTCAACTGATTCGGAGAGTAAACAAAGCAACAGATCGCGAGCTTCGGATAGTATGTCCTGGTGCTGTTCAATGTTTTGGAGCTTGAAATATAGGCTCTTGTAATACTCAAGGGACTCGGAGAGAGATTCAATGGATGACAATGAGGCTCTATCCACACGGTAGCCATTGCACTTTGTTATTTGTTGAATATCCGCTTTTCTTCTCAACCATCTTATAAATCCCAGGTACAGGCAAAGTAATGGCAAGAAGAGTGCGGCAGTGAGCAGTATCTGCGGTGTCAAATAGGGACAGCTCCAGAGCATAGTGCCCTGGTTGACCTTACGCGACCTTTAGCTTGGGTAATCATGGAAATGGATGTATGGATGGATTCTAGCGTACCATTTTAGCCAACGCAGCCTATAGATTTCGGAATAAGTAAAAGCAGTCCTGATCCCGGATATATGCATATAAATCAACCAAAACCTTAGCTTTAAAGTATTGCCTCGCTGGCTGGCCTGCTAAGTAAGCATGCAGAGGCTTCCCATCCCTACAAATCCAATGGAGCCAGATCCGACTTTTTTTATATTATTATCTAGAATACCTCTAGGACCACCATCACGCGGCCCAAGTAATGTACCTACAGTACCTAATGCATATTAAAAAACACCAAAACACGGATCATATCAACATGATATAAACTTCACCAGTGGGTCTATATGGAGCCATTCCGAGTTCGCACTATCCTGATCCCATGTTATAATTACAGTATTGGCAACTATTCAATAGAGAATCCTTTCTACTCCGTAACTATAGAAAGTTATTTCTCCACCTAACTACGATGTAACTAAAGCCCCCCACACATAGATACTTCCATAAAGTCTGCCGAGATAACTATAGGCCTCTCTGCCATGCAGATTGAACGGGGCTGATTTCTAAAATGCTCAAAATTGCTCAACTCCCGAATTCTATAAAGTTCCCAGCAATCCCGAACTTGTCATACGGCTAATGAGGTCGGATATTTGGTGAGAAGAAACGGGGCTTAGAAAGTACTAGACTGTGCATCTGAAGTAGCGGGCATAGTAGTAGTAGTAGTAGTAGTAGTAGTAGTAGTAGTAGTAGTAGTAGTAGTAGTAGTAGTAGTAGTAGTAGTAGTAGTAGTAGTAGTAGTAGTAACTCTTACTTTAGATGTCATCGGAAATTAAACCAGTCGAAATTGTGAAGATTAAAGCTGTGGCTGACAGGCCATAGGTTTCAGTGTAGCGGCCAAAAAACTTCCATGCGAGGCCGCGGTCTATTCCAAGAATGTCATACCTTAGCTATTATTATTACGGGCCATTGGTAAATGGATTTTAAGAAACTTTACTGTACCGTGCCTCTGAACTACTCTGAAACTTAAACAGGCTGAAATCGACCCTAGCCTGGTTTGGAGAGCTCTGCCCCAGCAATATCTCCGCGCTACTGAAGATCATTGTACCTGTGCTGTATTAAAGATACTATGTGCTCCCTATCCACGGTTCCTTTGCATCCGATACTAGCGCTCCACTTCTGTGACACAATGGTCTATCAATATAACTGGAATAGGCGGCCACAAGCCTGTTATTGCGTCAGCCGATGCCAGATCATCAGCGACTCTATTACTCTTTATCTATTCCTTAGACGTAAAATTTCCCAAGGCGACGATTGCCCTGAGCGTGATCCGGATTACGCGGCAAGTCTGACCCACAGGAGCCTATCCCGAGTCCGTATCTGAGACTACAGGAGCCAGATCAATCATTAGCATTATCCGTGCCTTCCAGTGCCCCCACCGCCGTAGACCAATTCACACCGATAGACCAATTTTGAAGTATCTGTGGCCTTTCCCCTTTACTATCTAAAAAAAAAAAAAAAAAAAAAATTTCCTGCTGCGCTGCCATCGCTGATTCCGGCAATGTGGTTTCTATCCCCGTAGGCATTATGGGTGGTGGTTGGCTATAAACTTTTTTCCACTGCCTCTCTAATCTTCATTTCTCCATCGATTAGCATATTTTGTACTAAGTATACCAGAGCCACTGAGCTTCGGAATCTCTCTCTTAGTAATTTGGCGCCTCCGGGACTTTTAAGTCTGCCTTATTCGCTCAACTGTATCAGTCGTCATTGCAAGGTTCTCATTCTGTACTTTCTGGCGCTGTAACGCTCGCTGGAGCCCTCTCTGTAGCCTCGGAGTAAGCTCCTCCATTGTAAAGATCTTAGAAAGCTTTTTCTGGTTCTTTTCAAGCTCTTGTGCACTCTTCGGAGGGGTGTTTTCAATGCTGGAAGAGGAGAGATTAGGAGGCGGAGTTGTCTCTCAATACGCGCGAAGATCTGGTGCTTGGAGCTCTGGCACTGGAGGTAATATATCTTGAAGTTTTTGAATAATTTGAGAGCTATCTGGAGGGTAGATTCCACGTTCTTTAAAAGCATTGTGAATTATTGGTTGGTTAAAAGTAGCCTTTCACACAACAATATCCTGGAGGAAATCCGCTTTCCCTGCAGGAAGCCCACCCCACTGAGCAATAAGGTTATTTTGCTTGCGGGATTGCTGCTTATATGAAAGGAAAGGCTTGCCATTAAGAGGCTGGCATATATAAGTCGTATGAGCCTTAAAAAAAGGGAATAATATTTGTATTGCAGAGTTGGAGGAATCAAGAGTTTATGGGACTTGTGGCCATTAAATAGCAACACCCATTTTTCCCCTTCCGTTGATTCAGACGATTAATTGTGGCCTCATGGAATTTTTGAAGCCATTGAACAGCGAGCTCATCATTAATATATCCTTTTGGGGATACTGCTGTCCAAAAACTGAGGCAGATCAGGATGGTCGTACCAGCTTTCCATAAACCTCTCACCCTTAAAATAAACAGTGGCTCCATTATCCACCCATCAGCAGCAACACACTCGATCGCGGTGATACTTTCAGCATGATCAAACTAGCCAGATCAGGGCAAAATCCCCTTGTGCAATAACCTTCCGAGCTTTTCCTTTGCCAGGTTGAAAGCCACATTCATCAAAGTTGTATACCAGGTAAGAAGGGAGGTCTTTGATCACATTCCCAAGCTAATTATACCAATGCTGTAGATATCCAACATCCTCCGCATCCAGTCGCTTTTTATCTTTTGTCTTTTTTGAATCACAGGGCCTAGTTTTAGATGCACCGGCAGTCTCTTAATAAACCGATAACCCCACATCTTACTGACGCGCTGTGCTGAACCGCTTCGAGCCAGTGCTTGGTTTGCCCACTCTCCAAGCAACTTAGGTGTTACAGGAAGATACAGATCACACATACAAGCAATCCACTGAACCAGAGCTTTCTCCTGATACTCATCAAGGGCCTTATTGTGAGGGGTGTGTGGGCATTGCGAGCCTGTTTTCCCTGGCGGACGCGACCACGCAGTGTGTTGTATGACACGCCATATTCCCAGGCGACCTTTGCTAAACTCGGCTTTTTTTTTTTTACTGGCGGCTTTACAGGCCTCCAATACGCGTTTTTCAAGTTCTTCGGTTGGTCTAGGCATATTGTGTGGATGGGAATAGCCTCAAGAATATGGGAGGATGGAAAATTGGTCTGTCGGTGTGAATTGGTCTATCGGTGTGGTGCACCCACTGCCGGGCGGTGGGGGCACTGGAAGGCACGGATACTAGAAATCCCCAACACGCTTGCGGCGGATTTCCGCGCCTTTGCTCAGCACATTGCAGTCCTAAAGCGGATATGCATCCTAGGGAGGCAGCTCATCGTGGTCAGAAAACAGTTGATTACGGGTAGAGTTTTCTTGGCACTTTTTCTACCCACGCCGAGGTACGGGTTTTGTTGTGGGTAAGTGCGCTCTGGAATAAGATAATTATAGGTAACCTACTCGGTAGATTAAGTCATTTCTACATGATAAGCTTTTTTTGTGGGGTAGATTTTATATTTACCGTAGGATCTACACGGATATGCCTAGCTTAGTGTCAACTAGGAAAAATATAGTATCATGCCAGAATTGACGTCATGGCGTCTTTTTAGTGCAATGGTGTTGACGATATGGCGTACAGCATAGCTAGCGCCTTGGCGGGCATGCGGGGTTTTAACCCCTGAGACTTCCCCCTTTTCCTGTAACGTAACTATTCAGGCAAGATACTGCTCAATCTACGTCTTGTCTCCTTTCAAATGCTATCTTTCCCTGGATCCACAACAGTAGATAAGAATGGTAGATGGGCTTTGTATCCAACCAAGCCTATGTTTCGAACCAGCCATAACGATATTAGTTCGGAGAGATAACTCTTCATATTAAACTTTCAGAATTTCATATTGCATTAACTCCGTACCGTAATATATTAGGCTTTGGGTTCTTGGCGGGTTTCCGGTTAACCCAAAAAGCAATATGGTGAGGTCTTGTTACTAGGACCCACTTCACTCCTCCCTCTCCTTAACAGCTTCGGGAATTGTTTCTAGCAGCCCCACACAAAAGAAGCGTTATTAGCGCCCCGCACTCAAACTGACCTAACAACCTATGAATGCAATTGGTTGAATAGAATACGACTATTTTAGTTGTCACGGGTCCCAGAGCCTGGCCTATGATCTAACCACACAAATCGTGAGTAACCATGCCAAGAATTCATCTCTGCCAAATGTTCCAGATATTTACAGCAGTCTCGGGATTGGATTCTTTCTCTGCTAGGATGTCTTTCTGTCCCTCATACACAGCGCGAACCCCGCAGTTTTAGTGTAGGTCGATTAGGAGGTTATCGTAGTCTGGGCATCTCTCAGGCGATAGCGGGAAAAGCTGGAATAGAGCCAGATAACCTGCAGATATTTGCCGAGCTCTAATCCGTGCTTATCTAAGATAGCTTAAGTGGGTTTTTGTCTTTTTAACTTTTAAACTTATAACATGTAACTGGTGGGTCTTTGCCAAGAGGTTTTTTAGATGTGTACAAAGATTCGGAGGAAAGGAAGATTTTGGGGTGTAAAAGCTGGAGAATAAGTCTGTATTATGGTACTGTAAGGAGAGACAATTACGAACAACGAATTCATCACCAGTTAGTTACTATATATTTAGCTCACTAAGGCTCTCATAACGTGACAATAACGTCAACAGGAGAAGGTCATCAGCGCCGAGTCTTAGGTCTGTTGGACCAGAGGATTTGTTTCGCGTATGAAGAGCTGGGAAGATAAATATCTTTTGGTGTTTAGATACTGCAAAGTGCTCAATCTGAAGGCGGTTTATAACATGTCGAAGAGCGTTCAACTTGGTTACAGTATGACCGTTGTGTCTTGTAGATGCGGTGACGCAAGAGAAGTAACAGCTTTTGAATTTAGGGTCAACATATCGTTATTTGTTAATACACCCATTCGTGCTCTTTTAAGGAGACTTTGGTATGGCCCATCTTCAGCTTGTCGCATTTGTTCGTTGAGGATGATGACTTGGTTGAATTGGTCTCAGATAAGCTTACAGTACTGATCATTCTCGCTTTTCGGAGCTTTCCATAGTGGCTGGCCACGGACGGGAGGGGATTGATAGAAATCTCCCATAAGAATTACTACAGGTAGGCTGCCGAAAAAGTCCACGGAGGATCTGTCAAGCGATCTGGCTGATTTACAGTGGCTGTTGATAGTACTGAGCGTGGAAAGATCTATCATGCTTACCTCGTCGATAAACATGATAGTTTTCCGTTACCATAGTCTGCGGAATCCCGCTCCCATTCGCGTGCTTGGGGAACGGTTCAGAGAAATGTATGATAAGTGTTGCCACCAATAATATCGGCAGCGGCCCCTGTTGGTGCCATGAAGATGACCTCATGTTTGCGGTGGACTAAGTCCATACCTGCCGCAATTGCTTTAATAATCTGGCTCTTCCCAAAGCCGCTTAGTTTCTCAGGGGCGAACACCGGATGTACCTTAATACTCGGGGGTAATTCAATCTTGAAGGAGTTACCTATCTTCTCAAGGATTTTAAATGGTCCTGCCCACTGATTCGCCAGTTTCTGACTAGGTTGTCCATATCGATTCCGTTGGCGCCAATCCCGTTTTGATACTATTACCATATCTCCCACGCTAAAGTTTACTTCACGTCGGTGCCGATCTGCATGTCTTTTTTGGATTTCTTGGGACTGTGCGATGTTTTGTCTTACCCATTTCCAAATCTCCTCCATTCGACGGACGAGGTCTTGCGCTTCCTGGCGGCTAACTGAGAGTCTCTGTGGTGCAGCGGCGCTGGTCCAGTCGAATGAGGCCCGGGGCTCATATCCCCGCTCTGCGAAGAAAGGAGACACGCCGGTTGATTCGTGAGGTAGAGCAGCGGCAGCAAAGTCCATTAATGGAAGAAGTTTTGACCAGTTATCTTAAAAATAATTAACGAAAGGGATCAGACGTTGCGCAAGATATTGGTCAACGATCTCCGTTTGACTGTCCGTCTGCAGGTGATTTGCTATAGAGAGTTTTCGTTTAGCACCTAGGATCTGGCAGAATTCGTCCCAGAATTCAGTGATAAACTGAGGACCTCGATCAGGTACGATCGTGTCTGGAGGCCCTCCCCATGGGTAGACATAACGTAGGAAAAGCCGTGCTGTTTCCTTGGCATCAATATTTTTTAAGCACGGGATCGAAACGGGTCGTTTAGTTAGACGTCCACACCACAAGTACGTGATTATATCCATGGCGGTCCTTGGGGAATGAGCAAGTCCATCGAAATGTGCTGCCACGGCCTGTCGGGATGGTAGGGGCTGGAGAAGACCAGGGGGCAGATCACGGCTAATATTCTTGCGTTTGCATATCATGCAATTATCCAGATATCGCTTCACATCACGGCTTCACGTCTTCTAGTAGTAGCGAGATTTTACAAGAGCCAAGGTCTTCGCTCGTCCAGGGTGTGCAGTTGAGGGTTGACGATGAATTTTATCAAGTAGGCGGGCTCGGAGGTCTCCTATATCAGGCACTACCAAGCGCCCTCTAAAGAAAAGTAGTCCATCTTGTATAGACCAGTCTTCTTGTTTGTCGTCTCGGGCGACTGCTCTATCTTCCACCAGGCTAGAAGATTCACGGTTTGCGCGGAGTACTCGATCCACGACGTGGAGATCTGAATCAATGGAGGCCAGTAGAGGTGCTGTGTTTTCCAACGGGGCCACCCCATCTTCAAGATATTCTGGCTTAAGTAGTATCTGGTAGCGATGGTCCCTGGACATCGGGCTTGGATGGCTCCTTCGAGTAAGAGCATTAGCCAGAGTGTTCTCCTTGCCAGGTCGATATTGAATTAGAAAGTAGAATTGGATAGAATTCTGCCCATCGAGCCTGCCGTGCATTAAGCTTCTTAGTGGTCATAAAGTACTCCAAAGCTTGATGGTCAGTGATAATGCTAAATCGGTCTTCTCGTTGAAGTCCTTCCAGTTCGGCGCGCCACTCCTCTAGGGATGTATATAGCCAGTAGCTCCTTATCATGGATTTCTAATTACTTCTGCGGTAGACATTTCTTGAAAAATATGCAACCGGTGCCATATACCCTCAACTTCTTGAGAAAGAACTCCAGCTACCACTACATCAGAGGTGTCAGTTTCTAAACGGGTTGGACGGTCTGGTTGGTAGTAAACTAATATTGGAGCGGAGGTAAGTGCTTGCCTAAGAGCTGATTAAGTGCTTCTTGATATGTAGCTGTCCATCGAAACGACATGTCCTTGCAAGTAAGGTTAAACAAAGGCTTCGCTACGCGACTGTAGTCCTTAATGAAGCGTCGATAAATGTCACGGGCTACGCCTGTATGTTGCTCGGCTTCACCTTCGCTGCGATTGACACATATGATTGGTCCGCTTATCGTAGTCACATGACTCCTTGTAGTATGAGAACGCACACTTCCTCCCCTTCCCTTCTCCCTTTCAGCGATTCCTCTTTGTGTATATCTAGTTATTAGATAGCAAGGCATTTCGCCCCTTTACAATAAAAGTTGCAAAACCTAAAAATAACTGCACGCCTTGAACAGTACTGGGTGTGGCCTATTCTCGGATCACCTTAGTTTTCTCAGGGTCGACTCCAATACCATTCGGTGTGATAATAAAACCGAGATATCGCGTACGCTTCGTGTGAAACTCGCATTTATATCGCAGCCTGGAGCCGGCTCTCGTAACCGCTGAAGTACTTTTTGCACATGCCCAACATGCTCCAGCTCGTCTTGACTAAGATAAGAAGGTCATCCACGAAAATAGTTAAGAAATGTCAAGGAAATCCATAAAAAGATATTACTAATTCTTGAAAAGACGCCGGGCCGTTTGTCAAGCCAAATGGCATTACCTTATACTTAAATAGGCCGTACCGGGTCCGAAAAGTGGTCAGTTCTTCAGAATCAGGATGCATCAGAATTCGGTGGAATCCCTGTCGGATATCAAGCTTGGTGAAGATCTCGCACGGCTTAGATAGTCTAGGACCTCGTCGATTAGGGGTAGTGGGTAGTGATTCTTCTTTGTAATTGCATTTAACTTCGGTAATCAACACAGAAACGCAATCCTCCTCCAGGTTTTTTAGCCATTAAGATCGGCGAGGCAAATGGGGCATTACTCGGTGCAATAAACCCCTTATTAAGATTCTCCATGATATAAGCCTTGGCGGCTTCCAAGTGCTCTGTAGACATCTTGTACAAGGGCGAGTGACCGAGATTCAAAGGTTCTGTTAACTCAATTCGGTGGTCCTTTAAACCTCTGGACGGGGGTAAAGTATCTGATGCGCGCCTGGAAAAGACATCCGCGTACTCTTGATACTCCGCGGGGAGCTGAGCCTTAATGTCCTCAATCTCTAGTTCCTTTAGGGATTCCTTTCGGTCTTCAAGAACCATGTCTATCTCATAAAGACTTGTAATAAAGACCTCGGTGTCTTTCTTTCCCATATGTCTCTTAAAGGCAGAGGCTCCAATATGGCGATATCAACTGACACCAGAGGCTGTTGATCTACTGTTTAGGCGTGGGTTTCGGTGGTGCCTTTATCTGGGGTTCCAGTTCCTTCACACTGAGAGCTCGAGCCATTTTTTGAAGATTCTGGACTTGTTCTTCCCTTGCGGTGTTCGGACGTGTCCTAGAGCGCTGCCAATTCTGGGGGTTCTTCCAGTTCTTCTGGGCTATTAAATGGTCCCGTCGATCAGCATCCTTCTGATGCTCCGTAGCTACTGGACCTGGTCTTTTAAGAATCTGTCTTGGAAGATGTAACAGATATTATTCTTTGACAACCATTTTCGGCCTATAATCAGATCGTGTTGGCCGAGCTCGGTAATTAACATTGGTTCTCGCAGGAATCGGTGGCCGTCGACCTGTAAATTTAAGTAGATTAGATGCGTTAAAGGTATCCCTGGCTCTCCATTAAATCCTTTCACTGGGAAGGAGGTTGGTAAGGAGTAAACAGTTAGGTCTAATCGTCGGGCAAGATCGTATGCAAGGGAGGGAGTAATAAATATGTAACCATTTGCTCCAGTATCTACAAGAGATAAAGTCTGAAAAACAAATCCATTCTCACCAACTAAACTAGGCACAGTAAAACTGTCTCCGCCAACTAATTGGCTTAAGTCTAGTCCGTTGCTTGCAGATGCTAAGATCTCCCCTAGGCAGGAGGCTTGCCCCAGGGGTTTTCTTTTTTTAATTCCTGGGTTTCTTTGGTGACACCTCCGGGAGAACTCGACATGTACTTCCTTCAGTTCAGGCTTTTTTTGAAGGGGCAGTCCCGCGCTACGTGGCCAGGCTGCTTGCAGTTAAAGCATTCCTTCCTTCATTAACTGGATTCGGGCCTCCTGGGTTATTCCACACGCGAAGCACTGGTTGTGTCCTTTACCGTGGGCTTAGGGTTGGTAGCATCAGTACTCGAGAATTTCCGGGATTGTTGAAGACCCGTCTTTGCGTCTAGCCTCGTTGTTAACCTGAATGTATAGTAGGCCTGGGCACGTGCAGTGGAGTATTCATTAAAAGATGTGGTGGTGTAAAAGTCCCGGGTGGTCAGGTTTCTTAGTTCCTCGGTAACTTTCTCGAAAAGCTCCTCCTTGTGATCCTCCTGGTGAAGCTGAGACTCTCCTGCCAGTCGTAAAAACTCGGCTAGGAAGTTGTGGTATTTCTGGGAAGGCTTCATTCGGAGATCACGTAGCTGTCGACGGGCATTCTGCTTTCGGTTCGGGTCGTGGAAAACACTTTTTAGATGATCAAAAATCTCGTCAGCGGTCCTGTATTGAGAACCGGAATCTTCACGGAATCGGGGAGCGGCATGCTCTGCGGCGCGACCGCTAAGACGGCTTTGCACGTAGGTAATATTTATAACTTCCGTGGGATAGTAATCTGCATTGGCTGCCATCTTACTCTTCATCTGGGCCATCCAGTCTTCAAATTTGGGGTCCTTTCCGCTGCTCAAGGTAGGGGGGTCAGGGATCTTGGCTGATTTACGTGTCTCGGTGGTTGAAAGAGGAACACTGGTTTCCCTGCCGCGGAGACATTCATGGGCATAGGCATCACGGTACTTGTCTCGTCCCTCAATCAGATCCGCGAGTGCTGCGTCCTTCTGTCTAATAACTTCCCGGATTTCGTTTACCTTGTCTTCTTGCTCCAAGTTCCACATCCGCAGTATTTCTTCAAGGAGTCCATTGGGATCATCCAGGGCTTTAGTAAGAAACTCATTCTTTGTAATGGTCTCTGGGTTGTCGGTTCCTTGAGGAAGGATAGAGATGCGCCGTTGATTCTGGGGCTCGTCTTCTCCTGCCTCCTGGCCTGGTCTTGCCATTCTGAATGTCTTCGGAGTTCGTTCGGTTCGATTTCGTAGTGATTCGGATCAACCAGCTTGGGGAACGCGCTGGTGTGCGTTGAGGGAGAGATCGGTTGGCTGGAGCCGCTGCTTAATTAAAAGCTTGGCTCGTACGGCTAACTGGTCTCAAAAAAAAAGAAAAAGAGATGACGTTTGATGTAATGTGATGATCCTATACACCTTGGTAAAATGGATGGATTCTATCTAAGGTGGCGATCTAACGAAACATCAAACGTAGAGAAGGAAGGAAGGAAGAAAGAATTCTATCGTACTGTACAGGAAATGTGGGAAATCTCTACATTATGGAATCAACAGTGAATAAAGCAGAGTTGGTGCCTCAGGCAGGGTTCGACCTAGGTCCTGATGATGGCATGGACGGGCGCCACTATTTGCACAGGTCAAAATTCTGCCTGCACAGGTCACTAAACCTAAATAGGTATAGCTTATATTCTCCCAAGGGGTGAATTTTATTTGCACAGGTCCCCAGTAATATCCAAATTAGGAAATATGTACTTATTTAAAGTGTTAAAACCAGGGATAAAAGTAAATATAATACTACTATTACAAACAAAATGGATTATTTCCCATATGATAATACTCCTTCTCAAATACCTTCTCCTGAATCCGGCACACAATTTAATACTGCTTTAGAGGCAGAAAAGGCCGCAAAAGCACATGCTCTACAATATGGCTATGCAGTTATAATGGTTCGACGCAACAAGAACCGCAATGGTATTATTGAAGCAGTTTATCTTGGCTGCGATCGAGGCCTAAAGCATAGTTTAAGATCTGCTGGCCAACGTGAGGCTAAATCTCGACGAATTAGCTGCCCTTTTAGCATTCGAATTAGCTATTCAAAACATACAACAAAATGGACCTTGATTGTACGGAATAAAAAGCATAACCATGGGCCATCACCAGCTATTACACATCCTTCAATTCGGAGAGAAGAGGTTAAGCAAAAAAGAAGAACAAATTAAGGCCTTAATGTAAAACACGAAAGCTCAAAGGGAAGAACAAATTGATTTCATTAAGTAGTCAGTAGTTGATCCTCCTAGATGAAGTTGAAAGGTTGACGCTTGGAAGGATGAACTGGTGCGGCGAGCGCCAGGAACCAGGTACGCAGTTCCGACTTCTCATAGTTGAAGCGTGCAACACTTAATCAAAGTTGGCATAGCAACTCGAGAAATTATTCGAATACTCCGTCAAGAGAACCAGGATTCTTTAATCCAGCGACAAGATATCTACAATCTACGGGTAGCAAGTTAAACGATTTCTTGCCGGAAGAAGCCCAATCCAGGCCTTACTTACTATCCTTCCAGATGAAGGTACTAGTTGGATAGTACAGCATGCTACTCAAACTGGGCATATTTCTGCTGTATTTCTTACTCATAAGGTGTGCCTTCAGCGGCTAAAGCAGAATCCATATATTCTTTGTATGGACTGTACATATAAAACCAACCGTTTTAAGATGCCTCTTCTTAATATTGTTGGTGTATCAGCTACTGGAGGCACATTCTATGTTGCGTTTGACTTTTTAAGCAATGAAAAGAGGATATTTATTCCTTTATTCTAGCTTTAATAAGGAGAGTTTATTGGGTTCTTCGGCTTCCGCTTCCTCTTGCAATTCTTACAGATAAAGAAAAGGCTTTAATAAATGCAGTTACACATTTATTCCCTGAAAGCAATCATTTTCTTTGTATCTGGCATATTCTTAAGAATATCACAGCAAAAAAGCAAAGCCTATGATTGCTCGTACAGTTCAAATTCAAGGCACAAAAAAGAGAATTGAAGAAATTGATACGCAGATACAAAATCTTGAAAAGAACTGGACCAAAATTGTCTTTGCAGCCACAATTGAGGAGAAGAATCAGGGATGGGAAGAATTTAAACAGATATATAACTCTTTTCCAGAGGTAATACACTATCTGGAGCGGGAATGGCTTCAATACTTTACTGCAAGAAAATTTCTTCATTGCTATACCAATTCCTATACACATTTTGGAAATACAGCAACATCTCGCAACGAAGGTGCTCATCAGAACATTAAACGGGATCTAGATTATACTACAGGAGATCTTTTAATAGTCACAAGGTCCCTGGAACGTACAATAATAGATAGAGACGCAGAAATAGAGAGACAGATTACTAAAGATATGGTACGATGGCCTATATCTTTAGAGCTGCCTCTTTACCGGGATATAAAGTTTAAAATATCCCAGTTTGCATTGCTGAAAGTCCATCAGATCTACAAGAACTATCTTCCTAAAGGCCCTGGGAAGTGGCAAATTAAGCCTTGTACAGGAAGCATCTAGAAAACACTAGGAATTCCTTGCATCCATATTATTTAAGAATATGCAGACGACCAGAGATCACTAAATATGACCATTTTCATCGCCAGTGGTGGATACCAGGCTATTCAAAGGAACCACTAGATCCTCGGCTTCTAGCACTAGATCCACTTGTCGTGCCTTCTTCCTATAGTAGTCGATCAAACAAGCGAGAATTATCATTATATGAGTGGGTGGATCGGGAGGTACGAATAGCTCAGAGAGGTCAGGAACTTGCAGCCGCTGCAATATCTGCAGAGGCAAGTTCTGCAAGGTCTAGGGAGGCTATAGCTACAGATATAATAGCTACAGCGGCAGCAAACAACATACCACCTGAAACATCGAACAAGGCAGGGCTAGAGATATTGTCTGAGGCATCAAGGCAAGAAATGCCTCCAGAAATGTCTTATTCAATGCCTCGAGGACGGGGTGGAGGACAGGGTGGAGGAAGAGGGCAATCTGGGGATCTAACATGGGTGTCAGTGGAATTTTGATATCCATATTCTAATTAGCTGGTCAAACCGTGCTTTGAATTACTGTATTAATGTTTAATAATTGCATAATGCTATGTTGCGCTTTTATATGGGAATCAAAATAAAAGCATTTGCATTATTGAAGAGACCAAGTTTGTGGATCACATGATATATCCTAATCTAGTATAGTCTCAACCTGTACAAATAAGTATTTCCCAATTGGGCTAGTGCCCTGTATAAGTAAGATTATGCCCTGTACAAATAATGGAGACCACAGGTTAATGACACCCCATTCAGAGCGTTGGCGGACCCATGTTCATCCGACCTGTGGTCTCCTTTTGGTTTGCTTTATTTAGCGCCTGGCGAAGTGGATTTTAGGTCCACTGTGGATTGCCCACAGGCGGGGAGTTCGAGGACCAATACATAGTTACGGCGGCGTTCTATCTTCTTAGAGAAACTAATTTATTATCTACAGGAGCCGTCTACCCATGCCATACAAGCTCTACGATCCGAACTCCTTGACTACCCACGCGCAAAACTCCTCCCACTGCTGCCTCCACTGCCGCAGTCGCTGAGCCTTGATGCCATCGCCGTTCTCCCCCAGATCAATCTCCTCGATCCACGCGTCGTCCGACTGGTCCTCGAACTGCGACCACCGCAGGCTGTTCTCCGCCAGCGCCCCCAGCCCGGCCAACCCCATGTTGTCAAATCCCTGGATAACCTGGTAGAAGTCGTAGCTGACGCCCGCCGAGTCCTGACCCAGCATGGCCGGGTCGTCGTTGCTGATTGCCGTGGGCACCCCGTGGGCCACCATGGCCGGCAGCGGATGATGCAGGATATCCGTAGTGAGACGCAGCACCTCACTGGAGATGGGGCACACCTCGACCATCACGCCGCGCTGGATCACCTCCTCTATCAGCCGCGGGTGCTTGTACAGCGAGAAGCCGTGGCCAATGCGGCGCGTGCCCAGCACCAGGGCGTCCACCAGGTTCAGATCCGTCGAGTTGCCGTCGCCCAGCGTCTCACCCGCGTGGAAGAAGAAGGGCACCGAGAGGTTCAGCCGCTGCGCCTGCTCCTGGAACCACAGCAGCTCCGGCGCCATGTCTGCCAGCGTGCGCCCCAAGTCCTCCTGGGCCACCAGGTCGTAACCGCTGAACAAAGTCGGGAACCGCTGCTTCCGCTGCAGCGCGATCTTCATGCTGCGGAGGAGCTGGTCGCGCTGCCCGCCTCGCCAGTCCGACCAGATCACGCGCGCCCCCCAGAATCGCCGTCCTTTGTCACTGGCCCGGAAGCGCTGCAGCTCCTCCTCCAGCACCGTCCACCACGCGTCCAGGTTCGGATCTGGGTCCTCGTCGCCCGTGTGCACCAACTTGCCGCTAGACCCCCCGGCGCGGATCTCCACCCAGCTCAGGCCGTCGTCCACCAGGCGCGTAAACAGCCGCTGGTAGAAGGTGCGCACGACCGGCTCGTACGTGATCATCGTCTCCGCCGGATCAAACATGGCCTGGAACTTGCGCCAGATCTCATCCACCCCGAGCCCGTGCCGGACGGAGTCCCCGGGCTGCACCTCCATCTTCGACCGGGCGAATTCGACGAAACCGTCGCGACCCCCCGGGAAGTCGGCCACTGCGTCGGTCACCAACACGTCGGAGTTGGGCCGGTAGTCCGACGAGGTGATGGGCGGGCCCGGCGACAGTGTGGTGTTGACATGGGAAAAGGCAATGGTGGCGTTCTCGCGGCCTTCCTCGGTGTCTAGCCGGTGCGAGGCGCGCACCACCATGCCCTCAGTGTGCAGGATAGTCTCCAGCAGCTCGTCGTACGGCAGCATGGCGGTCAAATGCGCATGCAGCAAGGCCCCCTTGGGCATGCGCTTGACGATCTGCCACAGCCGGGTCCCGGCGACCCACGGCTTCGCCAGCGGGAACATCATGCCGGCAAACCGCTCGTCTTCCTCATGGCCGGGCTCCGCATAGTGACGCCAGTAGTCATCGACCTCCTCCTGTCGAATGGCACGCACAATGGCATCGGCTTGGCGCGCCACCGTGGACATGTTCTGCCGGAACGCATGGTCTAATCATATCAGCCAAAAAAAAAAAAAAAAAAAAAAACCAAAAAAAAAAAAAAAAAAAAAAAAAGCCTGAATAAAGAGATACACATCAAATTGCGACCACCTACCCTGTCGCAGTCTTTTCTCCATCGTGATCATATTCGATCGGGCGAGCATGTGCTTCTGCACGACAGTGCTGTTAACCGTGGGCACGGGATCCCATTGCTGGGCCGTGGACAGGCCCGCAACAGCGACGGTGACCAGACCGAAGATATGCATGGCCGGGGAGATGGACGTGAAGGTAGGGAAATGGGCGAGGTGAGTCAAGACCTTATGAATTAATCCTGCTCTTGTGGGCGTACAAAATAGTCAGGGGGTCTGTTGGGTTGCGATATAGTTAGTAAGAGGCGCTAAACCGAAAACTTTTCCGGTGATACAGAGACGGCCCTGGAATTGTTAGAGCCAATGTATCAGGGACAGGCGTCCATTCCAAGAAAGAACGGCGGATATTACTCGTCTACCCTAGATATGTTCGGGTTGGTAGCATTTTAATAGAGAGCAAGATTTAAGATCCTGCCATATTTCGTTTCCCCGGTTGGTGTGTCGTGGAATTGATTAGATCCACCAGTTGCGCCAGATCGGCATGAATTATAAAAACCATTTATAAACTCGATATAATAAGCCCCCACATCTCGTCTCTGTAACACAAGCCCGTCCCTAGAGGCCTGCGGCCGAAGCTAGAATTGCGATTAGTTCGTGGGCCGGGTTGGCCTGCTGGACCTGGAAAACAAATGCGACTGCCATGCTCTTTTCTTTTTATTTCTTTCCCCTTTCTTTTTTATTTTTTTTCCCGCAAAATCCCCCCATTTGTTTGCTAGACTCACTAGAAGAGCCAGCTGTCGCTTGGTAGACAGGCCGCGTAATAAGATTACAACCCTTAAACTGACAGGACTTTTTCACAGGAAATTAAGAATTGACGGCATTAAGCGGATCTAGCGTTTAATGTTTAGTATTATTCTTTTCTCTCTCCCTTGAGCTACCTGTTACGCAAAGCAAACATGTTGAAATTCCAAGGGCGCTAACCGAATTGGGAGGGGGCCCAATTATCAGGGGGGAGGGCCAAATAGTAACAAAGATGGGCAGTACCCGTCACCTCTGACCCACCGCCTTCCCGGTATGGACGGGTATATGGAGTAATATTTAGCCATCCCTTCCCGGGCCGGGGCCTAGACCTCGCCAAATCGCGGGTTGGGTTTCGGCAACCTGACTCCAAAATAATAGTAATATATACAACTATTGCATAACCCTTTATATTAAACTTTCAGAATTTTATATGCATTACCGTAATATATTAGGCTTTGGGTTCTTGGCAAGTTTCCGGTTAACCCAAAAAGCAATAAGGCGAGGTCTTGTTACTAGGATCCACCCTCCCTCTTCTTAACAGCTTCGGGAATCGTTTCTAGCAGCCCCACACAAAAGAAGCGTTATTGGTGTAAGGGGCTAGAGCCCCTCAGCCTACTCGGGCCCTCAGCCCTCGTGTTTCCTTTCTCCTCGGGCGTTGGTAATTACACAGGTAGAACTATAGTTTCACAGGTAACTAAACCTAATTTGGAATTCTTATTAACACAGGTCTGATTATACCAAATATAGTAATGTCATATGACCCACACACCTCTTTGTTAGTTATCTTTTTAATTTCCCATATAAAATTGGCTATGAGCAATTCAACTAAAAAGCGACTATTAAACATTAAACATGTTGAAAACCAGGATGCCTAAGGCACCTTCGGGTATCCTAGTCCTGAGGCCATCTGACATATCACACGCAAGGGGCTAAGGGGCTAAAGGACACGTAGACATAAGGAAGCGTTTATCTACGCTTTCTCTCCTAGATAGTTGAACATACTCACCATGCGATACTAGATCGCACCGATAGTTTTAGTATACTATCCAGTCACCGCTATCCTAGCACCTCACGACATAGCTTCTTCCCCGAGATTCTCAACAAAACACAACGTTTTTGAACTAGGTTTAACCAGCCAAGTAAAATGCAGATATCAAAATTTCACTGACACCCATGTTAGATCCCCCGATCGCCTGTGTGCCTGACCCCTTCCTCGACCATGCCCTCGAGGCATTGCTTGAGGCATTGCTTGAGGCATTGAATGAGGCATCAAACAAGGCATCGCCTGAGGCACTGCCTTGATATCTTTTGATACCCCATTTAATGCTTGAAGCAATGATTCATTCGATGGTTCATTCAATGGTTCATTCGATGGTTCATTTAATAGCTCATTCAATGGTTCATTCGATGGCTTTTCTACTACTTGACCACCTGCCTGCTCGACTGCCGCTGCTGTTGCTCCCTTTACTGCCTCGCCCTCCCTAATAGTTTGACCGTACTGAGCTATACGGACCGCGCGGTCAACTCGCTCCCAATAAGAAAGTGTTCGCCCTGTAGAGTCCCTTTTTTGACCACCACGTGGCCGTATAATTTCTGGATCTAGTACTAGAAGGCGAGGATCCAATGGTTCGATCTGGCGATTAACAATCCACCACTGACGATGAAAGTGAGACATAGAAAGTGACCTGGAGGTCTCCTCATACAGCTGTATTGTATGAATGCATGGAAGACCTAATGTTTTGTTTATAACTCCTGTACAAGGACCAATTGGCAACTTTCCACGGCCTTTTGGCAAATATATTTTGTAAATCTTTTGCACTTTTAGAAGGGCGTAGTGGGATATTTTATATTTTATGTCCCGGTACAGTGTCCCTTCTACAGATATAGGTAGTTTTACCTTATTATATGCAACATGCTGCATGATTTCTGCATTTGTATGTGTAACTGTGCGTCCAATGGATTGTACAACTGTTAAAAGATCTCCAGTGGCGCTACCTAGATCCTTTTTTATACCAGAATGGGCGCCTTCATTCCGGGATGTGACTGTAATATTGCAATGAAAGTGGTCATTGGTATAGCAGTGAAGGTAGCGCTTTGCAGTTGGAAATTGAAGCCATTCAACTTCTAAATAGTCCAAAAACTCTGGAAAATGGGCATATTTCAGCTTAAATATAGCCCAATTTTTATCTTTTTCTTCCACAGTCTTTGAATTGACTATCTCCATCCAATTGGCCTCGATTTCATCTGATATTATATTAATTTCCTTGTTTTTTTCATCAGCAGGTGCATTCTTTTTTGCAATTATACGAGGATCTTGAGGAATTAAAGGCTTTATTTTAGCTATGACATTCCTTTTCATATGCCAAATGCACAGAAGAGCTGCTGATTCAGGAAATAATTCCTGGATTGAGCGAAAAAGGGCCCTTTCTTTATCTGTCACGATCACAGATGGTAGTGGAAGACGGAGAACTCGATAGCAAGATCGCAGACATGATAAAATAAACGAATATGTTTCTTCCTTTTCATCACACATAAAACCAAAAGCCACCTAAAAAGTCTTTCCCGTTGAGGATATGCCTATAATATTGAGGAGAGGCATATTGTAGCGGTTGGTTTTATATGTACAATCCATACAAAGAACATATGGATTTAATTGTAACTGTTCAAGGCAGACTTTGTGCGTGAAAAATAACGCAGATATCCGGCCATTTTCTGTATCATATTGCATTATCCAAGGCCCTTGATCTGGTAAAATAGTAATAAGTGCCTGAATTGGACTTCTTCCCTGAAGAAATTGATGATATGTTGTTTTCCGAAGGTTATAAATATCCTGCCGTTGGATAAGAGTATTCCCGTCCTCATTGCGGAGGATTCGGAGGATGTCTTTTGTTGATATTCCTTGGCTAAGCAATGACTTAATTTCACTCTTTTTTTGATCCATTTCCTGCTTCCGGTATGTTGGATGGGTGCTAGGAGGTGAAGGATCATGATTATGGCATCCATTTCGTTGTTAGGAGCGCTCGGAAGCGCGATAGCTAGATCCTTAGCTAAGATGCTTAGTCAGGTGCGAAGTGTTTATATTCGCACCCGCGGGCCTGAACTCTTGAAGGCCAGCGATTAGTTCTGCAATATACGTGGCTCTATCTTCTCTCCTATATAGACACTCCCTTTCGCACCGTAGCGCCCCATTCAGCTCGTTACCGACCCCCACGCATAACAGTTCTAATCGCTCACCCCAACGGTAACCCGCTGAAAGGAGCACTATGGCACCTCGACGCGTGCAGCGTGCTGGCTCCCAAGTCACCCGAAACACCGAGAATTCTGTCAACCCCGTCTCAGAGAATACCGCATCTATCCAAGCACAACCTGATGCTTCGATGAATCCGGGCCCAGCTGAAGAAACAGTTGAGGAAACAGCTGTGTTGCAAGGCGATAGCCCTCGAAAAGGGGCTACTGGGTCCACAACAACAAACGATTCTTCATCGGATAATGAATTTGCCGAACTCCGGGACCAGATACGCCAACAAAAGCAGGAACTCAAGAGATTACGCATGGAAAATAAAAGGAGGGCATTGCAAGAGCTTATCGATTATGAGAAACGCATCCAAGAAAACCGAAGTGCAACAATTTCGCGGCCAGAATCCAATATAAGCACACCCGACCATGGAATACCACAAGAAACCGCACCCCAGCCTATGCCAGAGCCCACGCACGCATTGAAACCGCCAGCACCCCAGCACATGTCTCGGAATACATGGGAAAGAACATGCAGGAATATCAGACATTTATCGCACGCATGGAAACCCATTTCGAACGAAATCGCTACTACTTTACTAATGATACGACGAAAGTGGTGGAAGGTACGGCACATCTATGCGCAACATTTATCCGCCTATGGAGGCAACACGAGGAGGAAGTCGCCGATAAACCTACCTGGGAGGACTTTCGCAAATTTCTACTACGCCAATTAAACGACCCTGTTAACCTGCGAAGAGATGCGAGCCAACGCTACCATGACGCCAGACAACAGGATCACCAAAACGTGCGGGAATTCGCAGCTTACCTTAACCAATGGGAAGTTCAGCTCCCAGAAGCATACACAGAAAATCAACGAAAGGATCACCTCCGGACAAGAGTCAAGCAAGACCTGCGACATGAAGCGCTTAAATACCCCAACGAACCAGAGACATATGAAGGCTATATCGCCCACCTCCAAACAATTGAAGATTCCATACCGGGTCGACGCAAGGAAATATCGCAAGCGAAGAATAGGAGAAGCCAACACAGCTTAGCTATGCGACACCGGACGACGACCCCAGGCAACACGGAAAGACAACAACCTTCCAGTCAACGGGGCCCAGACAAGCCATGGAGAGGCAACAATCGCGCCTTTAGAGGAAACTCTAATAGGTCCCAAGGTCATAAGCGACAGCAGTCGCATAACCCTGATATTGAATGCTATGTCTGCGGAGAAAAGGGACATATTGCGCCTCAATGTCCCAAACGTGCGAGAAGGGACGACAACCAGGCAAAAACTAGGTGGCCCAGTGATGCGAGCAGCTGCGGCTCTGGGCCTAGAGGAAGAAAATCCAAAAGATAATGCCATTGAGACTATGGTTGAGCTGCAAGCACAAGAGCGCACTATTCCAACTTGTGCGTTAATCGACTCGGGGTGTCAAGCCCTTCTTATCAGCCGAAGGTTCGCAGATGCGCACCTCCCGGAGCCTGCAATAGGCCCGCGGAGGATAGTGGCCCTAGATGGTCACCGCATCCGTTGCTACGGACGCTACAGGCTGAGGGCAACCACCCAAGATTGCCACGGTGTTCGTAGAACGATTGAAAGAACATTCGATGTGGTTGATATGGACCATTATGATGCGATTCTAGGATACCCTTGGTTGAGAGAGGCGAACCCAAACGTCGACTGGGAACTAGGAACATGGGAATACCGGAAAATACCTCCGGAGAAAGAAGTGAGATAATCAACGAAGCAGAGGTAATCGCACTTTAAGAGAGGGAAAACAAGTCTACGCAGCGTACGTATCCACAACCGAAATAACCAGGTCGAAATCCGTGTGGGTTCTGCGACATCGGCGAAGGAGTGCGAATACCCGCAATCTACAAGGAGTTCAAGATGTCTTTTCGGAGGAAAATGCAGGGATTCTACCTGCGCATGCAGACCACGACCATGCAATTGATATACAACCGGGAAAGGAACCCCCATACCGACCAATTTACCCCTTCGTCCGAAAGTGAGCTCGCAGTTCTGCGCAGATATATTGAAGCAGCGCTAGAAAAGGGATGGATTCGTCCCTCGAAAGCCCAGCTGGCGCACCTATTATCTTTGTACCGAAGTCCGACGGAACACGTGCGACTCTGTGTGGATTACCGCGGTTTGAACGAGATTACTGTCAAAAATCGTTACCCCTTACCACTTGTTAGCGAGACTATGGATCGCTTGGCTGGCGCTAAGATATATACCAAACTTGACCTGAGAGACGCGTATCACCGCATCCGAATTAAAAAGGGGGATGAATGGAAAACTGCATTTCGCACAAGATATGGTCACTTCGAATACACTGTCATGCCATTCGGGCTAGCCAACGCCCCAGCTACGTTCCAGTCCTATATTAATCGCGCATTAAGCAACCTACTAGACCATTGCTGTGTTGTTTATCTGGATAACATTCTTATATACTCGCAGAGTGAGGAGGAACATGTTGAGCATGTTACCGCAGTTTTGGAGAGACTGCGACAATTCGGGCTATACGCCAAGCTGAGCAAATGCTCATTTCATGTGAAAAGTGTGGAATACCTGGGATTTATCATCACGCCTTCGGGCATTCAGATGGAGGAAAGCCGTGTGGCTACCATCCAGGCTTGGCCGGAGCCAACAACCGTGCGAGAGATCATGATATTCCTGGGATTTGCAAATTTTTACAGGCGTTTTATTGAGGGTTATTCCCGCATTGCATTGCCGCTGACCCCAGCTCACCCGAGGGGAGCAAGGGGGAGGAGCAAAAGGCAATGGTTCTTGAACCAGCGCCTTGAGCTGCCTGAGGACGCAAGAGTTGCGTTTAATAAACTAAAAAAGTGCGTTTTCGAGCGCACCATTGCTATCTCATTATGACCCTAGGAATAGGACCAGGGTAGAGACAGATGCGTCTGGTTTCGCTATAAGTGCGATAATCTCCCAATTACAGGATGATAACGAGTGGCATCCTGTGGCATTTTTCTCACGAAAGATGACCGATTCTGAACGCAGGTATGATACGCATGACCAAGAGTTGTTAGCATATTAAGCATTCAAAGTTTGGCGACATTACCTCGAAGGGAGCGGGGAGCCAATAGTGGTGAAGTCTGACCATGCCAACCTAAGCGGTTTCATGCGGCCCACATTGAAGCGGCTTAATGGACGTCAGGCGAGATGGGTCGAGTTGCTGAGCGCGTTCGATTTTCATATTGAGCACCGACCTGGGGTAAAGAACCCTGCAGATGCGCCAAGTAGAAGGCCAGATTATCTGCCGAGCGCAGATGAAGTAAGTGATGCGTCACTGCTTCCCACATTGCGATCAAAGTAAATTGGCCATGGGCAAGAGTCATTGGGATGACGCACCCAATGAGTTAAAAACCGCATGGGCGGGAATAATGGCGCTGGACACCGAAGGCGGGTCCAAACAATTAAATAAAATGAGCTCTATGCGCATATCTCCATGGGGAGTATGCATGCCCACGTGGATAAGAACGCACCCGTGGATGAGGACTGTGCTGCCGGCGTTACCAGAATTCTAGACACCTGGGTGCCACGGATCTATGTCCGCAAGGTTATTGGATCCGAATCAGCTTACTCCAGCATTGAGGAGTCCATGGTGGACTATTTGTGCAAATTGCACCAAGAGAATCGCGAGTACGCGATATTAAGCGAAAAGTTGATCGCAAGCTGGGGGACTATGGCAGTCCGGCCTGGGGAATTGGCGAAAATGGCCTACTCAGGTACCAAGGTCGCGTTTATGTCCCAGAATTCCTGCGGTAACACATGAAATTATGAAAGCAAATCATGATGATCCTCAGGGAGGACATTTTTAGAGGAAAACGCACCTTGGAAGCCGTCGAACGCAAATACTATTGGCATGGTATGCGTGGCGATGTGCTGGATTATGTGAAAACCTGCGATATTTGTCAAAGAATTCAAGTGCATAGACACGCACCTTATGGCAAGCTGGAGCCTTTGCCGGTGCCAGAGCAGCCTGGGGAAGTGCTGACTCTTGATTTTATTACTGGACTACCGCCCAGTTCACCGAGTATATCTGCCAGCCCAGGGGGGCACAGAGAGTTATGATGCGATATTAGTGGTTGTGGATGCCCTAACAAAGTTCGCACTTTATATTCCTTGCAATAAGGATATCTCGGCGCCAGAACTCGCACATTTGGTTTATCAAAGGTGGTACCCATGTTTGGTAATCCAAAGCGATGGGTGTCGGACAGGGGCTCGCTGTTTACCAGTAGCTACTGGTCGACACTGTGCTATTGCCTAGGATCGAAGCGGAAACTGTCTACTGCGTTTCATCCGCAGACAGATGGTCAGACAGAACGCCAAAACCAAACATTAGAGTATTACCTGCGAGCCTATGCGAGTTTCTTGCAAGATGATTGGGTTGACTGGCTGCCAATGGCACAAGTTACATATAATGCTGCGATTCATTCATCCACAAAGACAAGCCCACATGAAGCATTGATGGGCTTCGTCCCTAGCCTGAGAATCAATGTCGATCCTGATCCCACTGGCCATGCGCCAGCAGCGTTGGAGCGCGCAACACAGCTCAAGGAAAAGCGATCCTTGGTCAAGGATGCGCTTGAAAAGGCGCAAAAGCCATGGCAAGGCAATATAATAAGCGTCGGATCGACAGACAATTCAAGATTGGTGATCAAGTCATGCTACGGGCGAAGAATGTCTCTACAGTGCGACCTAATGCGAAATTAGACCACCGCCAGCTAGGCCCATTTTCCATTATTGATGCATGGGGAAACCAATCGTACAAGCTTCAGCTACCACCAAAATATCGCCGTCTGCATCCCGTTTTCCACGTGTCTTTGTTGGAGCCATACCATGAACGACCGGGTCAATGGAGCCGACCCCGCCAATACCAATTAATGGCGAAGAGGAGGGTGGGAAGTTGATCAAATTCTGGAGGAAAAACGCGACAAGAGTGGTAACATAAGCTATTTGGTGCGATGGAAGGGCTATCCACCTGATGACGATACCTGGGAACCAAGATCGCACGTCGAAGACACTGAAGCCCTGGACATCTGGCTTACTAATACAGCACCTGTTACCCGACGACGTACGCGCTACATGGCTAAAGGAAAATAGCATTCTATTTAACTAAGACAAGATGGCGCAACGGCCCAATAACACCGACCTCCCACCCAAAGAGACAACTCAACCCTTGAAGGGGAAAGGACCGCATCAACAAAACGACCCAGGCGACTGGGAGTCGCAGGAACGGGAGCCATGGGCGAATGCGATGGAGTGCGTTCAGGGACAGGCACAGATGTACTGCTATCCACGCGTGGTATTCGAGGTTTTCGAACCGCACGTCTATACTCCCTTACCAGCCCAGCCGCCCTCTCCTGCGCAGCAGGGCGACGAGACTGGGGAAGTCCAACAAACGTGCGATGTTCAGTAACCATAGAAACAGCCAAAGGACCAGCGGCAACCTCCGGAGCGACACAAAGGGTGTCGCTGGCCAGTACAATAAACACAGTTTAAACGACCTGGCAAGAAAACACACGCTGACGCAGCATCTCGCTCCAAACGAACAAGGCAACGGTGGCACCAGGGACTACCCCCTGGGCCAAAGGCAAACCATTCGTATCAACATGGACCGGCGCAGGGGTAGTCTGCACCTGGACGACCGAAGCCGCCGATGGAGACAAAGGGGCGATGAAACTTTCGCACAAATTAGCAATATTACCTTACATAAACGCACCGGACTTACCAGACACGTCCGGAGAGGGCGATTCGACTCCGTCCGGCTCCGCCGAAGCAGGAGAGGATGGAAATCCCTCCCATTCCGGCGAAACCGAGCGGGGCGCAGGTGTGAAAACGACATCGTCTTCAGAGGATGATGAACGAGGACGAACTCCACGGAGAAGGCGACGGCGTCGTGGGGCGGATTCTCCCGATGGAGGCGACGAAGCTTTGCGGCGAGCCATCTGCGAAAAAACACCCATATTAGTAAGCTCAAAACATGCGAGAAAGCGCTGGAGGAGCCGTTACCCTTATTAGCTGAGGCAGAAGAGTGCGCACGTACCGCAAGAAGTTTGGTGGTTTGAGAAGAGAAGAGGAGAAAAAAAAAAGAAGAGAGAGAGAGGAAGCAAAAAGCTCAGCGTCAACAACAGAACTAAGCTCAAACGGGCGAAAACTGCAGTGAATGAAGCAGAACTGTTGCCATGGAGCGACTACCTGCGAAAACACACCTACACTCACCCAAGCTCCAAGACATCGTACCAAACATCGATCAACCGCACAAACCATTATGGGAAGGACTCAAGGGATTGGAATCTATAACACATTACCCATCATAACGCATATATTCATACTACAGTCTTTAAGGCTTCGAGGGCGAAGCCTCTTGGAGGGGAAGATAGTGTTAGGAGCGCTCGGAAGCGCGATAGCTAGATCCTTAGCTAAGATGCTTAGTCAGGTGCGAAGTGTTTATATTCGCACCCGCGGGCCTGAACTCTTGAAGGCCAGCGATTAGTTCTGCAATATACGTGGCTCTATCTTCTCTCCTATATAGACACTCCCTTTCGCACCGTAGCGCCCCATTCAGCTCGTTACCGACCCCCACGCATAACATTCGTACTGTAAGGATCCATTTTGCTGCTCTTTTTTAAGTAGCTAATTCGAATGCTAAAAGGGCAATTTATTCGCCGGGATTTGGCCTCTCGAATACCATGGGATTGAGATGAACGTTTTTCACCTCTATCGCAGCAAAGATATGCAGTTTTATCTTTATTTCGGCGCTGAATAACCACTGCATACCCATACTGCAATCCATGTGATTTAGCAGCCATTTCTGCCTCCTCAGCAGTGTTAAATTCTCTCCCAGATTCGGGTGCAGGAATACACCCAGAAGAGTTAAATTCAATGTGGTCTTCGTCAGGTAAATAGTCCATTTTAATGCAGTTGTTGTGGTTAAGATTATTATCCCTAGATTCAACCTCCGCGATAATCTATATATTTCCTATTAGGGATATGACTAAGGCACCTGTGTAAATACTATTTTGCCAAGACAAATTTTTAGAGCTATTCCAAATTAGGTTTAGTTGCCTGTGAAACTACTAGTTCTACCTGTGTAATTACCAACGCCCTTCTCCTCGCCTGCCACATGATTAGTATATTGACTTGCGGGGAAACCAGCAGATCACATGACCCAAGGTGACAAGGTCGTCACAGAGCGCCACGTACATGTAAGGGGCTAGAGCCCCTCAGCCTACTCGGGCCCTCAGCCCTCGTGTTTCCTTTCTCCTCGCCTGCCACATGATTAGTATATTGATTAGTACACTCTATCATGTGACTTCCCCCCCTTACTTCGCAATCGTCTCATCGCTGTTTCCTCTTCTCTTTCCTCTTCGACGATTCCTTTTGTATCCACCCTAGTTATTAGGTTATAGAGGTTTAGCCCTTGACATTAGGAATCGTCCTTGTCTGCCTGTCTGCCCGCTCGCCTGCCCGCTTGTCCGCCCGCTCGCCTGCCTGCCTGCTCGCCCGCCCGCTTGCCTGCCTGTCCGCCAGTCTATGGGAATATCTTTACGATGTCCGACCCGAATCCACTCCTCCTGCTTGTGCAGCAGCTCCAGCAAGAGCTCCAAAACCAGCGCCTTGATATTCAAAACCAGCGTAATGAAATACAGCAACTACGTGCGGACCTTGATGCTTCCCGAACAGATGTCCACCAGCTTCGTACGCAGCTTCTTTCCGTCCAGACACCCAGATCCCGCCTGCCAGATCCGCCTCGCTTTAACGGTAAACCATACACGCTTCGCACATGGCTCCCGTCAATTAAAGCAAAACTTCGATCAGACCAGCTCGTAGGAGCTGATGCTTTTGACTATGTATGGGATCGACTAGAACAGTCTCAGCAAGCTTCTGTCCTGCACCTCCGCCAATCTGCCGAAGAAAACCAGCTATGGGATCCTGAAGTTATTTTCTCTTTTTTCAGCGTCTATGCCATAACCCACGGGAACAGCAGGAGGCTATTCAGCGCTTTACTTCTATACAACAGAGGGATGACGAATCGCTTATCGCCTACCTTGCTCGTTTTGAACGACTTTCATATGAAGCCAATGTAAACTCATGGCCAGATATATCACGTGTTACCACGCTACACCGGGGCTACGGCCTAATCTCCGTCGAATACTAGAAGACTCGAATAATTCTCTCTTTGATCTTCCCTATAATGAATATATTGAACTTGTCCAGAGTACCGATCGGCGTACCCGTCCTAGTCCAAAATCAGCCCCGAAACCAGCTTTGACCCCGAATACAGACCCAATGGATACTGATCCGGTCCGAGTCAACTCAGTTAAAATAAACCCCAATCCTGTTCATGTTGGCTCTGTGAGAGTAGCCCGAGCTGCTTCGCCTGTTTTATCTGATTCTTCTCATGAATCCACCACCTCTGACCGCCGCCGTTTCCGACTTGCGAATAATTTATGCCTTTACTGCGGTTCTAATGATCATTGGATCGCAGACTGCGATGCCCGCTCTACTTTGTCTGATACTTCCGAGAAACCTCCGAAAAAGCTTACAGCCCGCGCCAGCAACCCGCCTCGCTATTAGGCCTCCTTCGGAGGCCTTATATAGGAAGGGGGGTAGTGTAAGGGGCTAGAGCCCCTCAGCCTACTCGGGCCCTCAGCCCTCGTGTTTCCTTTCTCCTCGCCTGCCACATGATTAGTATATTGATTAGTACACTCTATCATGTGACTTCCCCCCCTTACTTCGCAATCGTCTCATCGCTGTTTCCTCTTCTCTTTCCTCTTCGACGATTCCTTTTGTATCCACCCTAGTTATTAGGTTATAGAGGTTTAGCCCTTGACAGTACACGCTGTAAAAGACCAAGCTTTGTACGGACTCTTCGAAGAGTACGGGAGCTAATTGAAAAGCCTTCTTTATGCAATACATGAAGAAGCTCTTTTTCTTCTAGTCCAACCTGGAAAAAGAGCACCTGAATGCGAGCATGTAGATGGGGACCCAAGCTTTTTGTCCTGTCCTGCCTTTTAGCACCTGTCACGGTCCTAAACCTAAATTGAATGAAACAAGATCTATTCAGAACATAGGGCGACTCATATTCGAAACAACTAACTTGAAGAGCTATCTGAAGAGGTGTTGCTGGGAGAGAGGTGTAGGATGTGTGATCACGTGATTGGATAGGGCTAGGGCTGGAAATCAGGTGATCTGGAGGTCGTGGGCCCCGGGCCCACGACTTGACCTTGACCTTGCCGTGACAGCACCCCATATTTGAAGACGATTCTCCAATGTACTCTTGGCAACTTGAATACTGTGCCTTTCTTTAAGATAAGAAAGAATAGCATCAACTGTTTGTTCTGAATTATAGAGAGAAATAATATCAGCCTTGTACGGCACAAGATCAATGGATTTGCGGCCCATGTTTATACCTGGAGAAGAAAGAAATGTCGTACGTAGTATAGTCCCATATAATATACCATATCATTATGCAACTAGTATTAAGTAGGAAGGCGGTTAGAGGTGCGGTAGGAGGACTTAGCGAGAAAATTGATTTCTGGGGAATGGCCTTAATGGCTTGCCGTAAACCGTGCCCTCGCGGGTGGTGGGGCAAGGGCACGGTTATCCCCTTCGTCGCGCTATGTAGTTACAGTACTTCGGGTGGGGCACCGGTTAACGGTTTTCCGAGGTCACCACATCGTTGATGAAACCTTCAAGGCTCTAGACCTGGATTGGTAATGTCAGCGAGGTTTCAGGCACCCAATTTTCAAGAGGACCTTGCTGAGTTTCGGATGCCATCATTTATTAAGAGTGGAAGCATTCAATTAGAGATGTGACATTAGTAGTGTAGGTTGCCTTCGCTGTGTCCTTCCACACTCACGATCGCATCCACCGTCCATTCGTCACCTCAGGAGGCCATAGGAGGCCAATTTCTTATCATTGGGTTTACTTTGAGTCACGATGTTGGTGATGCTATTAGTTTTATTGTTGGTGCGGCATCTACCTTGCGCACATACCTCACCTCCCGAGGTTGCATCTCAGCGAGGGGCGGCGCCGGATAACTCTGGCAAACACGTCGAGGAGGGAAAGCTAGGTGCTGTTGCCAGTCAGAGTGCCATTTGCAGTCGACATGGCACGGAAATCTTGAAAAAGGGTGGGAATGCCGCTGATGCAGTGAGTGCAGCACACTACATTCAAGACATAAAGGTACTTAACGGGTTATTTAGTTGGTTGCAACGGTCTTCTGTGTCGGAGTAGTCGGTAAGTCTCGGTTGTCTCACTCCTAAAATCATGAAGGGACACCTTCCAGGTAATACTTGACTAGCTATGTACCATAGTGGCATAGGAGGGGGTGGATTCATGCTAGTCCGAGCGCCGAACGGTCCATATGAATTTATTGATTTCCGTGAGACCGCGCCAGCGGCTGCCTATGAAGATATGTACAACAACAACACCAATGCATCGATCTACGGAGGTCTAGCCAGGCAAGAGAAGCTGCCTCTTGTCTTGCATAACTGAAGCTGACTCCTGTTTAGTGGCGTACCGGGCGAGGTCCGTGGGTTAGAATATCTTCACAAGAAATACGGTGCTCTCTCTTGGTCGACTGTGTTACAGCCAGCGATTAAAACCGCACGTGAAGGGTTTCCCGTTACTGAAGATCTCGTCAGGTATATGCAGTTAGCGGTTGGGAGCGCTGAAGATTTCCTCTCTAAGAATCCCACGTGGGCAATGGATTTCGCTCCAAATGGCACCCGACTTGGGTTGGGAGATACCATGACCAGGAAGCGCTATGCGGATATACTCGAAGTGATTGCTGAGCGAGGCCCGAATGCCTTCTACACTGGTCCGATTGCTGAAACCATGATCAATGCTGTGCAGGAAGCAAATGGTATCATGACACTCGATGATTTAAAGAATTACTCGGTTATCATCAGGAATATTTCCCAGATTGATTACCGTGGGTTCAGAATCACGAGTACGACGTCACCTTCCAGCGGTATTGTTGCTATGAATGTTCTAAAGGTCTTGGGAACTTATGACGATTTCTTCACGCCTGGTAATGTTAATCTCAGCACTTATCGAATGGGTGAAGCGATCCGGTTCGGATACGGGGAGGTGTGCCATTTGGTTTTTATATGCCCTTCAAATGCTGATTTTGTTGTAGAGAACGAAACTAGGAGACCCTCTTTTCGTTGAAGGAATGGATAAATATCAAGACGACATGCTGAAGCAGTCCACTATTAACGAAATCAGGGGGAAGATCTCGGATTTTTGTACTCAGAACGTCTCTGCGTATGATCCTGACGGAATCGAGAGTTTGGAAACGTAAGTCCTCTATGTAGCATTGAATGTCTCCAATGGTACCTCACAGGCCTAGTCCAGGTACATCGCATATCGCAACGGCAGACCACTCCGGAATGGCTATTTCAATCATTACGACTATCAATCTTCTATTTGGGAGCCAATTGATGGTTCCAGAAACTGGTATTATTATGAATAATGAAATGAACGGTATTGCGTCTCGAAAACCCTATTAAAGTATTGTGCGACTACTAACGCTGAAAGACTTTTCCATCCCCGGTTCCTCTAATGCTTTTGGTTACATTCCTTCGCCCGCGAACTATGTCCGTCCAGGAAAAAGGCCCCTATCGTCTAGCACCCCAGCTATCGTGACTCATCCAAATGGAACACTGTTCTTCATTACTGGCTCTGCAGGAGGCAGCCGGATCATCACCGCTACAATTCAAAATATCATCCACGCAGTCGATGAGGGTCTATCTGCCGCCGAGGCTCTAGCGCGGCCCCGTTTGCACGACCAGCTCGTTCCGAACCAGGTGTACTTTGAATATTCTTACGATAACAAAACAGTTGATTTTATGAAAACGCACGGCCACAATGTGACCTGGATTGCTCCCGGTCGGAGCAGCACTGCACAGGCTATCCGGATGTTGCCAAACGGAACATTCGATTCTGCTGGAGAGCCAAGACAGCTAAATTCGGGCGGTTTTGCGGTATAGGGGAGTCCGCCGTTGGTGATGCAGTCTGTTGCAGAAGTGGCAAGGAACGAAGAACCCCTTCCTTGAAGCCCCCGTGGCCTTCTCTTCACGGTCGTTCTTTCCACATCTCAATGTAAGCAAAGTTGAATAAATTTAAGTATACCTACTTGAGTCTATCTTTATAGACGTAATGATAAAATTCAACCTCTTCCATTTGCTGCAGATCTTACGGGGCCAATTCCAGCTATAAAACCTATAGCCTACCAACAAATTGAGCTGTGAGTGTTATGATCATTCGCTCAGGGGAAGGAATGGTGGCAGAAGAACACTATACCAGCTGCACGCCAGTAGCCTACTTCAGGATCTGCATCTGGTAGTAACAACAATCAACTGTTTTAACTACCGTGGCCGACGTGCTCTAATTATCTATTCAACTACCTAAAGGAATGGGAGCGCTTCAGGGGGATCACGCTATTGTTACAACTACATGGGCTTGTGCTAGCTTTTTATTCACTCGCCATATATTTATCCATAAGAGGGTAAAAAGCCCACTGATAGTGCTGAGCCCCAGAAATCGCCGCAATAACTTTCGAAGCGAAAGTTAACAAGGAACGAGGAAGTTCTTGCACACTAGTGTATTGGTCTGTCGGATACCTGATTGTGAGACATATTAACTACGCGGAATGAGCAATTCGTGTAAAGGGCCCAACCGGTATGGAATTGCAATTCGCTATGACTCCTTTTTACCTAGATCAACTATAACCCCCCCGGGCCCCAGAGTCTCCATAATTCACTCATCAGCTCCCCTGAAAGTGTATCGATGATGCTACCCACACGGTGAGTTATCCGTGGGCGAGTTTGTTCCATGGAGCTTTTCTCGTGTGGTTGTTCCTGGTACCTATTCTCAGTTCTCACAGAGCTCTATAGCTCTTTTCAGCCAAAAGTCGATCAATGGCGGCCTAGATTGTGAAAGAATACTAAAGCAATTGCTGTGGACGTAACTGCCAACCCAACGTTCACCCACTGAGCTGCCCGGAGACCACGCAACAAGTCAGCATCGCCGGGGTATCCACCATTATTATTACCCTGAATGCTCGTCCGCACCGCCGTCCCGATAGTCAAACCTAACGCGCGACCAACATTGTTCGCAGTCTGTAAGAGGCCGCCACCAAGCGCTTGGTTTTCCTGGGGCAATTCTTCGGCAATAAATAGACTGCTTACAGGCCAAATTATCTCCGCGCTGAAGCATAGACACATGGCGGGGAAGCCGTAAGCCCAGTATGATGTTTCTGGTGGAATGGCGGGAAGAGCTAGGAGGAAAGGAGACCCAATACCGCAGACCAGGCCAACAAGGAGGATATAGAACCCTCTTATGCGTGAAAGCGCCGGTGAGACAACAAAGGAGATGAGTACTACGCTGGTCAGAAAGGCAGATACTAAAGTTCAAGCTAGCGAATCATAGTTCAAACACCATCAACGTACCTCCAGATATGCCAGCAGGGAGGAAGCGTAATGTTGTTTCCAGCTCGCTCAGATAGAGGTAGTCTTGATAGCTATAGCAAGAGGTCTCAGCTTCTTTCTCAAACTTGTTAGAAGTGGGTTAGACTCGATATTAACTAAAAGGATAACATACAAGTAAGTCGCGAAAACCACGAAGCTGTTAAAAGAAGCAAAGAAGCAGCCAACAAGAACAAAGATCGCAGAGAACCGGATGTTCTTAAACATTGACACCTTCAAGAGAGGTTGCCGGCGTGAGCCGTTCTCTAAGTGGCGCTGCCAGAAAGTAAAGGCAACCAGCATAATTATCGAGACTACTATAAGTGGCGGAATCCAAGCGGTTGCCCAACCGGTAACATTTGCCTCACTCAAAGACACAAGCAGCAGAAGCAAGCTACTTGAAACTATGACCGCACCGAGCCAGTCCATAGCTAGCAATTTGTTTCTCTCACCGTTAGCTTCAGGTCTCATATTGCTTGTCCGAAGCTGAGGGGCGGATAAAATCACAACTGCGCAAGTGGTAGTAAAGGCGGCTAGAATGGCAAGAATCCAGAATATCCATTTATAGGACAAGAACCCGCCTATTAGACCACCAGCAAGGTTTCCAAGGACGGACCCAAGCGATGCAACTGCCGCAATTGTAACATATGCTTTATTTCGGGACTTTCCTGGGGGAATCGTGGTGGCCACGGTCCCAAACCCCGCGGGTATCATCGCGGCGCTACCTATACCTTGCAGGGCACGGAGAATATAAAACGGTATCTCTTGCGCAGAGAAGGGAAGACAGAGGGTTGAAAGAGTGAACAGTGTCGAGCCAAGAAGGAAGACAGGGCAGTGCCCGTAGATGTCGGCAAGACGGCCCCAAAAGAGCAATAAACAACCCAGTGAGATATTGTAAATCGAGATAATCAACTGCTGCCGACTGGGAGATATGCCCATTGCTTCGCGAATAGCGGGCAATATAATCACCACCGACTGCGCGTTGAGTACCTACTCGGCCGAGCTCTCCGGTCATCGTCTATCCAAACGCCAGCTGCACTATGAGATGGAGATACATACAGTAAGGAGACCTGCACTGGATACAGTGCATACAAGTAGAACACTTCTAACTTTGGATAACTGAGGAAATGAAGCTGCAGTGCGCTGGCTCCCTGATTTAATGCCATCGCGGCAACGAGGCGAGATTTGCAGACTTTCGTCTGTGTTCAATGACCCCATGCCATCTGCATCGGGAACAAATAAACTGCCCCTCTTGCCCATTTGGTTAGACATCGTCACAGACATACACCTGGAAGAGGCCAAAATGGTGCGGTGCAAAATGGTCTCAAGTTCCCCCGAGAATGAATAGTGGCTGACTCAAAAGTAGCTACTTGGGACTAATATAGGTATATTTGCCCTGTGACTGGTACCCCTTCGTAAATTGCTGCAGTTATTTTAAAAGACTTGGAAAACATCCGTAATCGTACTATAGTAGTTAGTCAATCTTAAGAATAGTCAACTACGGCTAATAGCGAACATAAGTGGAATTAGTTATATAATAAACAGCTCAGCCCAGGTAAAGAGCTATGTACCCGGCGTTTCATAGCCATCGATTTTCATGAACAAGCCGTCCAGGGAGGGAGCATCTTCTATTGTTAACTGGTAGCGTGGTACGTGTGCGTCGGATCCATTTTCCAGCACCGACATCACATCAATGATGAAACTCCAAACCTTACGTGCGGCACACTGGCAGTCTCCAGCAAGTTCTTAGTAAACTCCACTTGCAAGCGGACTTCGCCTACCTTTGGAGATTATCACACAGCATTTTCCCAGCCAGTACTAAAATTGGAGGTACTAAATTTGTGGTACTTCGATAATCCGAGATAATTATGCAAATAGCAAGGCATGGGCCTTTGGCTTTAGAAATATAAGTTTATCTACCCATATAGTGACTACAGTACTTGGATGTATGGAGTATTAGAGAATAAAACTTGGTTGAAAATAGTAAGTTAGGTAAACTACTATTAACCTACTGTTAGCTAGTTGCTGGTATAATTAGAAACCCAGTCTCCAATTGGATACTCTACAGGCAATTTAGATATTAAACAATCCTACAGAAAAATCCATTTTTATCACAGTGACACTAATTCAGTTGCAGTTATATTATGATCGTTTCGGTTGTTGGTCCACCGGACCAAGAATTATTCCTGTAGGACTGTTAGCGACATTAAAGTTCTTGTTTGTGCTGTGAAACGTAAACGAATTTAATGTCAAGTCTAGGCCTCGCCAAAGCCGACGATGGGCGGGGGTACCACGCCCACGACGCAATCCCAGGCAGCCATGGGCCCAAACTCTAATTTCATACATTCAATTAGTTCTATAACTAGTTATCCTATTTCTGTATATGCAAATTTTGGGCGGCCCATTATGGATAGTAAAGAGGTGGGTGGCCCATGGGCTTGGCGAGGTCTAGTCCAGTCAACATCCAATACTCTACTTATTATTTGTACTGTACTGTAACGAAACATATATTATTAACTTGATTATTTCCTATTTACTGTGCCTACGATACATGTAATGCCATACAGCGTGGGGTTAAGGGAATAATCAATTACTTTACTGTAGTTGTGCAAACGCCACCGCGCATAGTGGCAATCTGCAGTGTAGCTTCGGTTAAACTTCTTGGTTATAAATAAGGCTCCTCCTTGGACAGAGCATATGACTATTTTTTTCCCCAATGTGAAAGGGCTTTGGATTCAATTTATGCTTAAAAGATCAATTTAGAAATCTTTGTCTTCTACTGCAGCGGCGATGACCCAGCTATGCAGCCAGCAGAAAGCTCCAGTTACTTGTCTGAAGACGATTGATATAGAAAAAATTATATCAAATGACCCAGGGGCCGCGAAAGATCTTCTAGAGGGAGCGGAATGCCCTGGGTTCTTCTTTGTTAATTTGCGCACGGCATCCTTAAAGGACTTACAGGCGGATATTGAGACAGTCTTCCAGCTGTCGAATGAGTACTTTTCCCAACCCCAGGGGGAAAAGGACTCCCACTTCCGAGATAATATTGACCGTGGGTACGTCTTTAAATCTTCTGTATTCTTACGATAGTCTTGCGAGTCTAATTAAGTTATAGGTATAAACGCGGGAAAGGCTACGAGTCTTTCGAGGTACTGTATCTCTGGCGAATATGCGTGCGTAAATATAAACTAGCACTAACATCTATAGCTAGATTGCGTGTGATGAACTGAAGGACGAAGAGCTCGCTTTCCCTGGCATTCTCGCCGAACATAAAGTGGTGTTGGCCCACTTTACAAAGCAGTGTGACTTAATAACAAAAATCATACTGCACAGCCTCTCCAACAGTCTAGGCCTGCAGGATGACGACCAGCGACAAATAGCAAATCTGGATGTAAAACCGAGTCCCTCGGGCGTGAAATTCATATCCGCCCCCACAAGTGCTCGCCTAGAGAACACTCCCGATACCACCCATACAGATGGAGGCCTACTCACACTTTTGTGGTGCCCACAGTGGTCCAGTCAGATCCTAGACCCACGGACCAACACGTGGAGCTGGGTTGAACACAAAGAAGGGCACGTCCTGGTAAATGTTGCCGATGCATTGCAACAGCACACAGGAGGAAGGCTTCATTCTTGCGTGCATCGTGTAACCCAGCTAGGCGACGGTATTAAGAGTCGACTCTTTGTTAGTTACTATTTAAGGCCAGTTCCAGTTAATGCTGGTAACACCACTGGTCTTGTACTGACTATTGAGTGATCATACAATGGCTACAGTAATGTGCGGTAGTTACATCCCCTGCCTTTGATTACTACTGTGATAGATGCACCACGTGGTCTGTTTGTATTGTTTGTATCTAGCTTGCTTTTATGCTTTAATGCTTCAATGCTTACTAGGGGTGGTGTAATTTCGATATTGAAATTTCACTTTTCTTTCGTTTTAAATTTCATTTCAAGGTGATTGGTCACCATAATTTTCAGCCAATCAGAACTTGGAACTCAGATTCTAGGACCATCAAGAAAAATTCTTGGCACGCCCCCTTGTCGATGATCACGTGACTTTATTTACTATTTGGGTTAGCATGATTTCAATTTCAAGGGGCATTTCAAATTTTATCGAATTTCAAAAATTTGTGTCACGGACCTGACCCCGTGACCGAGGTCATGGGGCCCCCACGCATATTCGTAGACGGAGTTGACCCCTGAAGGATTCCCTCTTTCCTCTCTTCGTGCTTAGTTTTCTTCCTAATATCAATCAATATCATCTACGGTTGATCCCTTACAATTTGTAATTGCAATTACCAACCCTATTGCTTACATCCCTGCACCGCCCACTCTCCACTTTCTTCCTCCTCTCTACGCATGAAATTCTTGTTAGATAGCACCAATTTGATCAAGTTGCTTGGCTGTCACAACTACTATGTAATAAAGCACAGCATCGCCAGCATAGAGTAGCTGGCATAATACTTACGTTTTGTCAGAGACCTATATCCTAGGACTTTAAATTTGTTTGAATCCTTTTGGTGTTGCATGTTGTTGGTGCTCGTATTCTGAATCAGAATTTCTGATATTAAAGTGTTTTGACTGCTGCATTAACGCAGGACCTGTAACTACGACAAACCAGATACATCTCAGGTGACCCATACTAGTTAACTAATTTAATTACTGTTTAACAACTGATAACCTGCAGTTTAGGCAAATAAGTTAGTGTAATATTAAGAGCCCGAGCATGTTATCTTGCCTTATCTGTTTTTCTTACTTTCCATGTCCTCGGAAATTAAACCATTTTAACTCCTAACAATTAGAGTTGCAACTAACGGGCCATATAGTACTCCTTTCCAAGAATATTACGCCCGAGCCATACTTTGCTGTTAGCGCTTGAGTTTCGAGTTAATGTACTGCCCCTTGGAATAACGTATAATGGTTGCACTGATTAATTCAGATAACTGGAGTTTAAAACAATATGTATGCCCTGCAACCACGACTTTTTTAAAAACTATCCGCTTCCCTTCATCATTATATTGAACATCCGCAACATGGCTATCGAGGACCGCTCAGCGAATATGTACAACACGATCACCCAGCGTTTGGAGGTCGTGACCGCCGACCGTATTAAGAACAAACTTCTTGCTGGAAACAATGTGAAGGGTTACTGGGGTAAGGTTCTCTCGTTTTTTTCCCTGGTATTTTCGTAACCAGAGTTGATATGTCTTCAGGGACTGCCCCAACTGGTAAACGTCTGTAGGATGTCTATATCTATTACGAATAGTTATATATCTGACAGTAGGACCATTAGCGCACATTGGGTATCTGGTACCTTTGGTAAAAGTTGCGGAGTTTGTGGCTGAGGGCATTGATGTAAGTATGGCAAGTGATATGTCTTTATACCTACCGTATAGTGCAGGCAACAAGTCTAAATATTCATATGGTTAACAGTTCACAATCCTCATCGCCGATTTATATGGCTTTCTTGTTAATTACGATGTGTGCCTGGAAACTGTCGAGTACCGAACGCAGTACTACACCTCCCTTATTACCGCTATCCTGAAATCCCTTGGTGTTCCCACCTCTAAGGTGCGTATCGTGCGGGAATCAGAGTACAGCATGACACAACCATTCTGCAAGGACAGCATGAGGATGTGCTCTGTCGCTTCGCTGGAAGACATTAAGTTAGTCGGACTTGAGGTAACCAAGACACCAATGATGAGCCCTTTGCTGTGCCCCATCCACCACGCTCTGGATGAGGTATACCTTGGATGCGATTTCCAACTGGGGGGTCTAGATCAGGTATGGATTTTTCTCAAAGAGAAGCACAGTGCTCCGATTTCTTTTAGCTAAGTCCGATTGACTTAGCTTGGTTTTTTCGCATTCGCCGACCGGTGCCTTCCTCGGATCGGCTACGAGCCTGTGTCGCATCTGGCTGCCGCTATAATTCCTGGCTTGACAACTGAAAAGATGTCTTCATCAGCCCCGGCTGAGACAAAGATCTCATTCTTGGACCCCAAGGATATTGTTGACAAGAAAATTGCCGGTGCTCACATCAGGCAGGGCGATATTTCCGCAAACGCAATCATGGCAATTTTCCAACATATCATCTTCCCTCTGCGTTTGCTGGGTATTCCTACTTCTACTATGATAGAAGTCCGCCTGCTTAATGGCTCGATTAAGCAATATCGTTCCTATGAGCTTCTGGAACTCGACTTTTTGAAAGGCGTGACTGATCAGGCTAGTCTCCGGTCCATAGTTGCAGAGACGATTAATCAGATTCTGGAGCCTGTCCGAGAGCAGTATAAAGCCGATGCAGAGTGGCGCTTAGTGGAGAAGCTCGCATACGCCGTATGTTAGGGAAGCTCTAATGCAACAAAGATAGGGCCAGTTAAGATTTTATTCGCTAGAAGAGACGCATCCCATGCTTGAGAAGAGACTAGGAAGACTAAACCCGTTAATATTTGTGGTTCTCTATGGATTTCTGCTATTTTTTATTTCAACATGACGGAGTTCATTATTCACGGACAAGAGTCGGTTGTCGTCTAATTTTCTGCTAATTGTTTATTTGGAATATTATTGCTTAAAGGAATTATAACTGACACGGTCCTAACCTAGAAAGAATGAAACAAGATCTATTCAGAACGTAGGGCGACTCATATTCGAAACAACTAACTTAAGGGAAGAACTACGTGTAGAGGTGGTGGTCGGGTTGAAGAAGGTGTGTGATCACGTGTCAACATAGGGTTGGGGCTGAAAAGTCTGGTGACTGAGCCATGACAATAACTTTTGCTTTTTACACAGGTAGATACTACTTCCAGTTCTCTAGCTAAATTTATCCTAGCTCCGGTAGGGCAGGCTGCAAAATAAGATGTGGAGCATTTTGGCTAATCACGGGCCCGCAGCGAATGCGAGTAGATATAGGTGCAGAAAAATTGCCATTATATGGAGTATTCGCAACTCGCTGCCCATAAAGTTAACTAGTTACATTAGTTACTAATTAGTCATATAAACTATGTCTGTTGGGAAGAATATCGTACCAGAAATTAAATGCATGTCAAAGAATATGCCTTCGTCCACTTAAGTATTAGTTATTTCCGAGCACTTGGCACAAAGTTAGTGTTTATCAGCGACATCTATGGCCATCTTCCCCAACTACCAGGATTATTTTGAGTCTTTTCCGCATGCTTGGAAGGAGGATAGATAATGCATAGCAATGGGAACTGAAAAACCATTTTGTTTTATGTTCCGAACATATTAAGTAGATGGCTGAGAGTCTATCTACCCCTAGTACCCTGTAGTTCGTTATCATATCCAGTCTCCATCTTCATGGGGCACCGTCTGCCCCACCCAATAATACACAGCCACACACTAGCTACTTATGGCTAGTAACATATGGGAAACTTCACCGGTTTCAGGAAGATAAGGAACCCTAGTGCGGCACTAGAGACTTAGTAGTCTACATCCTAGTGGACTACCCGTAGTTAAGAGAACTATAGCAGGAACTATCAGGCTTGGCAACGATACTCTGATACGATACCGATCGATATATCGGTATCAGTGATCGATACTCAATAGTATCAGTGATACTTCTTGGCATTGTTTAATATGGTGGCAGTAGTCGTTCTGAAGTATACTATTGCCATGGTAATTACCATCTTGATAAATTGCCATAGCAACATAGGCGGTGAGGCTCTGTCGAGTATCAGTGATTCCATCGATCGATACTGATTGATACCGATACCAAGTATCGATCGATGGCATCGATACCCGGAGGTATCGTTGCCATGCCTGGGAACTATAGAAGAAGATTAGGGATGCATTTAATAATATGTTATGCATATTAGGAGAATAAGGGCAAGTAGGTATGAAAGGTAGGCTAAGTAGCTCTGCCCAAGAAAATACCATAGAAATTACTCTAGATTTTACAAAACATCTTAAAGGCTTCAAAGCCGCGCGCCAAGAGGGCCGCAAGACTAGCACCGGGCACATAGGCTACCACAGGCCTTGAAAAGGCTCTAAATTCGTCAGACTTGTTAATAAAAACCTGTTACCATCGCTCAGTCGACTATAGATGAGCACCCCCTTCCACGGTGCTTAAGCATTACATGCTATTGGATGTTGTAACGTTCCTAAAATCCGCTTGGAAATTATCTATAACACCATAGCCTGGAAAAATAAATACTTGCCCTCTTGATGGGGATGCTACATGTATTACTCGCTGGTTCTCATATTGTTGTGTCCTAGAGCCTTGAATGCCGCGGTGATGCTGTGATAATGTTCCTGGGTCAACACCAAACTCTTTCGCAGTTTTTGCGTAGTTAACTGATGCATCTGGGCCCGCTGATTCGATTTCTGCTAACGCTGATTCAAGAGGAGTCATATTGAATGAGACATGAAATGGTGAAGTTGGTGGGTGCAAATTGCGGAGAGGGGCCAAATCCGGCGGCAGGCGGTATCTGGCGGCAGCTGGTAATCTACGTTATGGTCTACGTGGCTGTCGAGCGGTCAGGTTAGTGTTGGAGCTATCCTAAAAGGGACTAGTGGGTGTGAAAATAGTTATACTGGGTGTGAAAATAGTCGGGTTCTATAATATATAGAATAATAGTATATAATACTATCCGATACGTCTTAGAAACACGTAATTTTGGTATTCTATTTAGAAGCGGTGTTTGTCCTGTTTGTCGATCTGGCGGATCAAAGAATTAGATCCGGATAGAACGGATCCTTTCGAGGTCTAGCCAGGAGGTGGAACACCTGAAGACCCACGTTATATACTGGGGTGACGCGCGCTCCGCAAGCTCTGCATGCAGTCGCCCTGAAACGTAAGCCGAAAAGTCAAGGAAAGATGAAAGTTTGGGGGCATTTCTTTTACTTCGTTTGTTTCAGGGCAAGGAAGGGCTCACGGGTGTGATTCTGATCCCTTTCTCTCACTTCGTTCGTTTCAAGGCATGTCTCAGGCAGAACTCAAGCTGAGTAAATCATTTCTAGTTATTGAGGCATTTTCTGTTATTTGACAATCAACCTATTGGGATATTTGTGACAGTAATACATGCAAACTATGGTTTGGAGGTCTATAAGTGCATATAGACCCAATTTCTTGCTTTGTTCTTTTATACGCATATATTTGAGTTGCACAACAAGCACAGCTACAATACCACTCCCGCCACACAATCTTGACCTTTACCTGCTCTGACAGTGGATCTCCTTGAGATATTTCAACCAGTTGTCAAGGTTACCATGGAGTTTTCGCTTCAGCTTCATGAGATTTGCTGGTTGGACGCAACCTCCCGTTTTGTCCTACAAGTGCTCGCATGCTGCTTGGCAATATATTGTGCTCTTTTAATTAAAAACTCCGCTCTTCGTCAATTTCCAGGACCATCTGCTTGGCCCATTGTCGGCAATCTACCCTCACTCTATCATCAGCATGCGGAGAGGCAGTTCTTCAGTGGGCAAAAACGCATGGCGATGTTATTCGAGTACAGTTGGGATCTATGACAATCCTTGTTGTTAACTCAGCGTCTGCGGCAAAGCTTATATTTGCAGGTAGCGCAAATGCTTTGTCATCAAGGCCTGTGTTTCATACATTTCACAAGGTAGGATGTCCATCTTTTCCTTGCTCAGGGCAACATCAAACCTAACAACAGAGGTTAGCTTATTGCTGGTACTCTGGGGCCAACAATTGGCACCGCAGTCTACGGGGACGCTCTAAAAAGGGGCCGTAAAGCTACAGCAGCAGAGCTAAGCAAGCCCGCTGTAAAAGCAAACTTGGGCAAAATTGATCTGGAGACTCGGCACTTTCTTCATGAACTTATGTCTACGGCAGGAGGGTCAAAGCCCATTAGAGGTTTCTAAACTATTAAAAGGCTAACGCTAAGTTTATCACTTTCTATTTGCTACGGTCGTCGGATGTATCTCGGCGATCCTATCACACAAGAGATTATTTATGTTGAGGACGAGATTCTTAGACTTCGAAGCATGACGGATAATCTTCAAGATTACTTGTCTTTTTTCCGCCTGTGGCCATTTAATGGGTATTGTTCGAAGGCAGTTAAGCTACGCGAACGCCGAGACGCGTATGTTGCTAGACTAAATCAAGAGATTCAAGCGAAGATAGAAACAACGCCATGAAGAATGCCTCTAAAAATCAAGCCTCCCCACATCCACTTCCACTGGAGGAGTTGTCCACGGTTCTGCTTACCTTTCTTTCGGGGGGTTAGCAACAGAGAGTAACACAATACACTGGAGTTTAACTCTTCTCGCCACCCGACCAGAAATCCAGGAAATTGCCTATAGGTCTATACGGGAAGTTTACCCGAACAATGAACAGCTTTTTAAAGCTGGGCTCGAAGATGTGGAGGAAATTCCTTACATATCTGCCCTGGTCCGTGAGTCTCTAAGGTACGACTTTCTTTCCGAGAACTTCTGTATATTTTATTTCTAATCAACCATAGATACTACACTCCGTCGCGATTGGCTCTTCCTCGACTAGCTGTACAAACCTTCCAATATGCGGGGAAGATCATCCCTAAGGGGACCACAGTTATATTGAACACATTTGCATGTAATATGGGTTAGTCTTGCAACCCCGACCGCCGAAGGCAATAAACTTACAATTATTTCCTAAAAAGATCCTACCTTGTATGGGGATCCCGAAAATTTCCGTCCTGAACGTTGGCTTAACAACCCCGATCTTCCAATTTTTAGCTATGGCTTGGGTTACCGCATGTGTGCTGGCTATGCACTTGCAAATCGGGTGATTTATATTCTACTAGCCAGAATTATCTCATGTTTCGAAATTAGCGCGAGCCTGGAGGTTGATGCTGATCATATAACCGGCTGTGCTGATCCTGCCCATCAGGCCATGGCTCCAAAGCCCACTGGCTTCTACTTTCGACTCAGGGATGTTAAAGTATTGGATATTTGCTCTGCGGCATTATAATTGTGGAGGTGTTTAACGTCGTATACTCTATTTTCTAGCTCGCAATTTGTGGACTCATGATGTATTATACTCTATTCTTAATTAAACCCAAACACATAGTCATACTCTCTAACCTACAATCGCCTGACGAGCATGTTCTTTTATAAATGGGGAACTAAGGGTCAGAATATTTTCCTTATTTATTTCTCAAATACAATACCGCCCCTATTAACTAACACGCAGTATAGAACCTGCGTCCGATAACTAGTGCGAGGAGCAGTTCCGATAGCTGGTTTTGGGCTGCTTTAAGTTCTAAAGCAACGATGCTACATTACACAGTCATTATTTTAATTGCAACTTTTTATAGCCTAGGGATTTATTGTTACCCGATTAGATGACTTGGCCGAGACTGCAGACATGATCCTTGGTGACTTTACCGGTTAAAAAACAAAACGCACTAAATTAGTAACCAAATTACTTTCCGCTTTAAAAGATACAGCGGATATTGCATCCCGTGATATTAGGCAACTTGGACAGAAATCTAAGCTTCCGTATCTATGTTGCAAGATAGGTAGCCAAAGCTAGGACTGCCTCTCCCGTAACAGACTTATTATGCCCCTTATCTAATAACCTTACGTGGCCGGTCAATCGAGTACCTCGCATGAGGCCATAGCAAGAGTCACGATGCGCAGTTAGCAAGGCCGACTTTAATATAACTAACCACATGGGTATCGGCAAGACCAACTCGTTCATGCTCCTTAGTCTGGCCCTCCTGCTGAGGGAAACCAACGCTATTCATTCCAACCAACCAGTTAGACACGAGCGTTCGACAGATAGAATTAATTGAATCAAGTACCGCCGGCGCCGGCTCCGGTCTTTAAGCCCTTAAGCCTCTTAAAAATGCAGCTAACAAGATGACAGCTAGAGCATTAGCATTAGCTCGATGCAACATTTTGCGGACTGGCTGGAGACGCTACAGTACACTCTTGATATATCCTGTTAAATTTAATTCGAGCAATTGGCAGGCCTGGCAGGGGGCAAGTATAATAAATAGCCCAATAACTAAGTCAAGCGGAGTGGAAGTGTCTTAGTGTCTCCGTGTCTCCAAGGGTTCCGAAAATACTGGCACCGGGGTACTTGGGCCAACAAGAAACATGGGATATAACGGAGATGGGGTATACAGGCTTGGTTTTATTATCATGGTGCTGCAATCCTATAATCGCGAATTCTCAGCCAATTACGCCATCATCAATCTCAACGTTTTGTTTGGCTTCAAAATAGGTGGATGTTTTAATTTATTTATATTACTCTTATATTGTATAAATATATATGTGCATATTTTATTTCTCGCCCTACTGCTTGTTTACAAGCACATAACGGTATCTAGCCTTGCCCGCCTCCATGTCTACAATAGCTTGGTTGGCTTCCTTCATTGGACGTTCCTCGACCCAAGCCTGGACTTTCTTCTCAGCAGCTAGCTGCAGCATTTCACAGATCTCACTAGGACTTCCAATCAACGAACCACTGAACTTAACCCTTTTTTTTAATTAGAGAGCTAGCTGGAACGGAGAGAGCACCGTCCTCTGGGATGCCGAGTTGAACAAAAGAGCCATTGGTTTTAAAAGGGAGATGTAATCAACAATAGGCATCTTAAAATTTTATTAGTTAATAGAAAACCATATAATTTATAGTACATACCTTGGAGGAAGAGACAGTTGAGATAATTAGGTCCAAGGAGCGCGAGTTATTCTTAGCCCAGTTTATATTATCATCGGTAGCGATGTAAGTATTCGCTCCAAGCTTGAGAGCATCTTCCCTCTTGTTGGCCTTACGAGAGATGGCAACTACCCGATCAGCACCCAGAGCCTTGGCAAACATGATGCCAAAGTGGCCAAGTCCGCCCACACCAATGATACCAACAGTCTTTCCGGGCCCGCAGCCGTTATGACGCAAAGGTGAGTAGGATGTGATACCACCACACAGCATGGGCGCAGCGATAGCCGACGGGATAGCGTCGGGGATCTTGATAACAAAATGCGAGGGCGCACGATGGTACAAAGCATACCCCCCATAAGATTTGCCACCATTCAGATGGATACTATTGTACGTACTCACCATGTTTTTGGGGCAGTACTGTTCGAGACCAGAGGAGCATGCCTCGCAATCACCTTTCCGACCCTGACAAGAGTCATTCTGGGCGCCAACACCGATGCGGTCCCCAACCTTGATATTTCCTTCAGCCTTCGAGCCTACGCGCACCGCGATACCGACAATTTCGTGACCAACGCAGCAAGGGTACATGGTAGGACCCTGGTTCAACGTCAGCGGGCGCATTTTACAGACAGAATTATAATAGATAACAACATACCCATCCACTTCTAAGGGTGTGCAGATCTGATCCGCAAATGCCAGAGTGTGTGATCTTGATATCGACGTCGGTTTCTTCCCAAGGCTTGGGCTCGAATTCCTTCCACACCATTTTTCCGTCACCAGCCTTAGGGTCAAGGCCCATCCAACCCTCGAACTTATAATCGGTATCAGCCATTTCGATTAGTTTTAATTAAATATCAATTAAATGCAAGGTGCTAATTCCATAGAGAGACCTGGCAATTAGAAATTTATTAACCGAGCTATCCATATCTCCAGAATTCTAGTCTATTATTTCCGTGATGGAGCTATAGCTAGTGTGCCCATGTTACACTGTTACCCTCTTGGCGGCCTTGGACTGCGCCTCGTATACCCGTAGCCTAGACCCTATGTGGCCTGTGTGGGACATTATGGTGCAATTCCTTGGCATGTTTCTACTTCCCTGGCTTGGCTTCAGGCAAAGTCAATCTTTCTTCCGTGAATAAAGTGTTTGAAATGACATCCTGAATGGCTGTTCTGATGGCTGCTGACCCACTTAACCAGAATGTCTCTAACGCAGCTAGGGTCCCTATGTTTTGGTCAAACTCCTTTGTCAACCCGACCGTAATCGGACCCCAAAACAGTCTGGATCCGTGTCAGAAGGGCCGTTCTGGATGTTGTTTTAAAAGTCACGTGAATGGCTGTCCACCGTTTCAGGCAGGCAAATGGACCTGCCAAGACCACTTAAACCAACTAACCCTACTAGAAATCCCCAACACGCTTGCGGCGGATTTCCGCGCCTTTACTCAGCACATCGCAGTCCTAAAGCGGATATGCACCCTAGGGAGGCGGTTCATCGTGGTCAGAAAAAGTTGATTATGGGTAGAGAGTTTTCTTGGCACTTTTTCTACCCACGGCGAGGTACGGGTTCTGTTGTGGGTAGGTGCGCTCTGGAATAAGATGATTATGGGTAAACTAGACTAAGTCATTTCTAATCATGATAAGCTTTTTGTGGGGTAGATTTTATATTTACGCGTAGGATATGCCTAGCTTAGTGTCAACTAGGAAAAATACAGTATCATGCCAGAATTGACGTCATGGCGTCTTTTGAGTGCAAATGGTGTTGAAGATATGGCGTACAGCAGGTGCATAGCTAGCGCCTGGGCGGGCATGCGGGGTTCTAAACCCTGAGACTTCCCCTTTTCCTGTAACGTAACTATTCAGGCAAGATACTACTCAATCTACGCCTTGTCTCATTTCAAATGCTATCTTTCCCTGGATCCACAACAGTAGATAGGAGTGGTAGATGGGCTTTGTATCCAACCAAGCCTGTGTTTCGAACCAGCCATAACGATATTAGTTCGGAGAGATAACTCTTTATATTAAACTTTCAGAATTTCATATGCATTAACTCCGTACCGTAATATATTAGGCTTTGGGTTCTTGGCGGGTTTCCGGTTAACCCAAAAAGCAATATGGTGAGGTCTTGTTACTAGGACCCACTTCCTCCTCCCCCTCTCCTTAACGGCTTCGGGAATTGTTTCTAGCAGCCCCACACAAAAGAAGCGTTATTAGCGCCCCGCACTCAAACTGACCTAACAACCTATGAATGCAATTGGTTGAATAGAATACGACTATTTTAGTTGTCACGGGTCCCAGAGCCTGGCCTATGATCTAACCACACAAGTCGTGAGTAACCATGCCAAGAATTCATCTCTGCCAAATGTTCCAGATACTTACAGTAGTCTCGGGATTGGATTCTTTCTCTGCTAGGATGTCTTTCTGTCCCTCATACACAACGCGAACTCCACAATTTTTTAGTATAAGGACGATTAGGTGGTTATCGTAGTCTGGGCGTCTCTCAGGCGACTGCGGGGAAAGCTGGAATAGAGCCAGATAATTGTTTGAATTATTGGGGGTCTCAAGTGATTGTATTCAGAAAGATCTTCTGCCCAACCCCTATGATGTGACGAACGCACCAGGTAGCCTGTTTGCATTGTTTGTATCTAGCCTTGTTTATCTCCCCGCATAGTCCCCTCACCACCTTTCTTCCTCCCCACGTTTGAAATTTTCGTTAGATAGCACCAATTTCATCAAGTTGCTTGGCCGTCACATATGAAAGATGTTGGGTATCTCTTGGCTGGCAAGGCGCTAGTCTCATTAGCGCCATTTTTCTGCCGCTTGCTTGCCCTAGCACCACGCACTGAGCCAAAATGCCACTTTTTATTATACTTCTAGTTAATACGAAATGATTTCAAGAATATCTGCATTCTATATGCAATTTACATCTCGTTCTCCAAGTGGAACTCTTGGATGATGAAAGTCAGCCCAACATGACCTTAGATCCTGTCTGCATAAAGGAATATTGCAAGCCTTGCAACTGTAGTTGGTTGTTGGTTTGAAATATCCTTGGAATAGGCTGGTTTTGAGTCTTTGCCTTTTCACTTTGAGCTTTACACCAGTGACAGAATTTGCGAGATTGAATTCGAATACATAGCTGAATGACCACCTTCATGTGTTGATTGACCTAAGTCTTGAAGATCCCGGCCTCTTTTCTTTGATTTTGTACCATATCGGGACTCCTCTTGCCCTTGTTTAAAGAGCTCTTTATAAAGAGCCTTTCGAAATACAAGATGAGTGATCTTCTTCATCCCCTGCTGCTGGCGGGCAATTTTGGCAATGCAATAGGCATTAGTAATTGTTACATCAAGAAGCCAGAAGAATATAGGCCACCATGAGCGTAAAGAGCTTTGATGAGTCTCATAACTTGCTCGTAATTTATTTGCACGATCTACCCCTCCCATATGATAGTTACAGTATAATCATCAATAATCCGGGGTATTGGAAGTTCCTTGGTAGGCTGATCACCGAATGGCTCACGGACACCTTTTGCACAAGTAGAGGTCTTAGCAGGGCGTTTGCGCAAGCGAGGAATCCAATCAGTTGGCTTATGTACAGTGTGTACAGTTGATAATGCTGTAGCCAGATTATTATCTTGCCATGCAATACAAAGTACAGAATCAATATTAGAATCAGCACTTGCAGGAGCTGCATATAAAGTATTCCACTCTTTTGAGGCTTTTTTTAAGTCTTTTAGCATATGAAGAGCCTTTGGAAATAATTTCTTGGATGCATTTGGTCTGGTAATTCCACAGGCACCAATCCCTTGCTGTCGAAGATAATCAAATAATGGAATAGTAGAGAAGTAGTTGTCCATATAGATTGTATAGGTATTGCGTTGAGATGGTAGGCCTTCTTGTGCTAGCTGAACAACCATAGATCCAGTAAGAGTTAAATCCTCATGCTTTTTAACCTCTACAAGAGACCTGTGGCGGCTTGCCCATATCCAGTAGAGAATATAGCCTTGATCAGCAATAGCAAAGAGCTTTTATCCTTGCTTAATTGGCTTGTTTGGCATCTTAAATGTATGATGAGAGCGCCCAAAACCACGAATCATTGTCTCATCTATAGAGACTGCATTTGAAGGTTTCCAATGCTGTAAACAGGCTGTACGCAGTCTAGATGCAGAAGGCTCCAGCTTATACCACCACATCTGATTTGGCTTAAGATTAGGCCTTATAGCCTCCTGTACAGCAACCTCAGAATTAGGATCTGTAATGTGAAAGAATCGCTTGATTTGCTGGAATCGCTTGATTTGCTGGAATCGCTTTAATCCCATAAATCTTCGGGGCATATGAATTGGCTCCTCACTTGTCTGCCAGTAATCCTCATCACTAGGAGATATATGGATCCCCATGTAGATTAGATGTTGTGAAATTCAGCGGAAGTGATGCGCAGGGAGCTATTCTATCAGCTACAGGCCAACTAGCCTAATTAGGAAGTAGATGTCATTCAGTGGAAACACCAGGAATCGCAGTATCTCAACCAACTGAGTCTCTTGCATTCCTGTCTAGGTGCTCAACTATCTAAAGGGTTCAGGGGTTGAATCGATCGTCAGATACTCCGCACCGCCAAGTCGGGCGGATTATAGTGCTTCCGTAACAGTACTCTTCTTGATTATTCCTCTTGATCATTATTTTTGTTGTGTGCTCTGTGGGAGGTTTTCACCCGGATCTAGTCACATGATTATGGTCCACCCACGCCCATATTATTTGACAGCTACGGAGTACTTGTCGACAATTATTATTAGTAAACAGCGTAGGTGTGAACATTCCATGTTGTCTGAGTACACAGGTCAGGTGGACTTTGAAAAACCTGAGACCTGTAACCTGATGTTGACTTCATTCATACTTTATCTTCCCAAAGGTCCCTAGTGGGCTCCATGGTCCTATTTTCCACGTTCCTTCCATTGATTTTTGCCCCTGTTGTTCTGTAGTCCTACTGTAGTGGAGGAATTCGGGGGATTGGCAGGTTACATTTGTATGGATAGCTATTATCTTAGGTCCTCGTTCGAAGAGGTTATACTAGCATGCCAAAAGTCTCCCGACACTTTAGCGTGTTCCGAGGAACGCGTAACTCCACCACAACTTCAACAACCAATTGCTCAACCACCATGAGGTCTTTCGGCACCGAAATAAGTGGGAATCGAAGGCCCAATCAAGAGCTTTCGCGCGATGCACGTGCTGCTATTTTATATGGCCTGTCAGTTGGGCAATCGCCGACGCGATTAGCGGAGCAGTTTAACTGTACTCGATCAACAATTTATGATACCAAGAAGCGCTTCCTACAGCACAACACCACAAAATCAAGGCCTAGGAAGGGTCGCCCACAGAAGCTTACTAAGTCAACTAAGCGCTATGTGTACCGCTTGGTCCGCAGGCGCCCGGATATCTCGTGGAAGGCCTTAACTGTTGAGACCCCCGGGGCTTCTATCTCGACCATTCGACGTGCTTTAAAGAAATATCATATTCGTAAGTGGCGGAGCAAGAAGAGAATTCCCCTCTCTAAAGAAGCAGCCCGTGCACGCCTTGAATTTGCGCGGGAGTGGTTTAAAAATGACACATGGCATACCTGGATCTTCTCTGACGAATGTTCTGTCCAGCGCGAAGCGAATAAACGCCTAAAATTTGTCTTCCGCTACCAAAATGAGGGCTGGAGAGATGATTTGGTAAACCTCTGCTATCATGGAAAACCTATATCGCAAATGGTTTGGGGTTCTATCTGGCGTGGTGGGCGCTCAAAATTGGTGGTCATGGAGCGGGATGAGAACAGCCCTAGGAATGGCTATACAGCTAGATCCTATATAAAAACGCTAGAGGATGGGCTAATTGAACACTACAAGCCTGGCACGCCTTTTCAGCAAGATAACGCGAAGATTCATACTGCAGAATTAACCCAGGAGTGGTTTGAATTACACGGAATTTGGGTTATTAAATGGCCCCCGCATTCACCTGATTTAAATCCAATTGAGCATGTATGGAACCTCCTAAAGCGGAAGCTTCTTGAACTGCATCCTTATCTCTATCTACAAGGCAAATCCCAGAGCGATTGGAGGAATTTTGAAGAAGCTATCCAAAAAGCTTTGGGGGCCATCCCCCAGGCCTTAATTGACAATTTGATTGATTCCATGCCTCGCAGAGTAATGGCAGTTTACCGAGCACGTGGTTGGTATACGAAGTATTGAATATCTTCAATTTAAATATATTTAGAAGTCTTAATATGTTGTGGTTGTTGAAATATAAGCATTGAAATATATATATTTTTTCGGTGTGGGGCGGTGTCGGGAGACTTTTGACCTGGTAGTTTTAGACAATCAACAACCTTCTCACAGACAACGGGACGCAGTTGCGTAGAAGGAATGTTGTCTTCTCTTTGGTTGCCAGAAACTTGTGAGCTCGGGGCCCACAACTTCTGAACTGTTTAAGAGTGTTTCCTTGACTTACTCTTTCGGAGTTCTACCATTTCCCTCTCGTTCACTACTTACCCCCTAATATATCCACATGCCTCTCCCGCGGCTATGCAATAACGCGATTATAACTGTCCGTGGGAGTACTGTGGCAAGGTACTTTGCTCTACAGTCATTTGAAAGTAGTCTGTCTAATAATATCCGAACAGACTTTTAACCGCAAATCAGATCTCTGCAGGCACTATCGAATACACATTAATGAAAGACCACATCACTGCCCTACGCCCCAACATACGCCCAGCTCGGCTGTTAGAGCATATTGCCAAGCACTGGCGCCCTGCCCCCGTTTCGACCTCGCTTAGTCATCATTTATGTAAGCTAGCTTCTAGTAGTAGCGGCCACCCGGCCACCCATTCAATAGAAGAAGCAATCGCTTCCAAGTTCCAAGTTCCAAGTTCCAACATCGGCTGTGTGTCACGTGGGCAGACCAAGTCCTCCACAGGTGTTGATCCACGGCTCCGCCGTGGATCCAATATCCTCTCCAAGCTTCGCATTCTAGTCAATGGGAACACCTATTATTGGCTAGCGGCCCAACACCGGGAGGGCACGGTTACTCCCCTGGTCATTTTCATCATCTTAACAATGGAAAGTAGACCTTATATAGATAAAATATACTTGTTGTTCAAATAGTAAATTGTTATTTATATACTTGTAGTCAATGTTAGATTAATATCATAACTTTTAAAGTATTAGTCTTGCAACAGCGATAATTTTTAAAATTGTAATGTGCGTTATTTAAATAGTAATACTATGTATCGGATTTTTCGGAATTGCGGATTCGCTTTGAAACCGCACTGCAGAATCCGTTCGGATTCCCGCCGATTCTGCGGATCCTGCCTTTAGAAACCGCAACCGCATGAGGATTCTCTCTTTATGGGCCGAATCCACACCGCCCGCCCGCAGCGGTGCGGATTCGGCGGCGGTTTTTGCGATTCCTCCCTGCAACTCTAATTCTACCCCTGAATCCTTTAGTTAGTTGAGCACCTTGAGGTTGAGCACCGGGTACGTGTCTGGGTTCCCCTTGACTCAGTGTGACTTGAACGATACAAACAATGCCTTTCTGAGATCGCACCTCCTTCAGCATAACCTCTGCAGTGCCTGGATTGCGTAATGCCTCTCATCAAAACTACGGAAATCAACGAGGACACTCGTGGTCAGTTTATTCCCCGTCATCCCCTCCCATTCTTGACTAACCGATATACCTCCGTAGTCTTAGGATATGACCCGTTGCTGTCGCCTCAGTTCCTTCAAACCGAGATTCCAGCTGTGAGTCACACCTACCATACCTATCTTGACGGAGACCGTCCCGCTTCAACATGCTTCTGTGCACACATAGGTTCTGGTTCTCTCTCTCATTGCAGTCTAGCGTCTGAGCTCGACGGGAGTAAAATGTTCTGAGTGCTAACGAAATCTCGACCGTAGCTTGATCATGCCATTGCCACCGTCCGATCTGGCCGCAACCAAACGATTGAGATCATCGAGCAGCGCGATGACCGTCTCCTGGTTGTCGTAGGTCCATGCTCCATCCACGACCCTGAGACGGCCCTGGAATATGCCACTCGCTTAAAAGAACTCGCAGATAGTCTCTCCTCCGACCTTTGTGTGATCATGCGCGCCTATCTTGAAAAGCCCCGAACTACCGTGGGTTGGAAGGGGCTGATCAACGACCCGGACATTGACGAGTCATACAATATCAACAAAGGACTTCGTGTTTCTCGTCGGCTCTACGCCGATCTCACAAGCATGGGAATGCCCATCGCAAGTGAAATGTTGGATACCATCTCTCCCCAGTTCCTCGCAGACTTCATCTCAGTTGGTGCCATTGGTGCCCGCACGACCGAGTCACAATTACACCGGGAGCTGGCTTCGGGCTTGAGCTTCCCCATCGGCTACAAGAACGGTACGGATGGTAACTTGACCGTTTCCATCGACGCCATCGGCGCCGCGGCCCATCCCCACCGATTCCTTGGTGTCACCAAGCAGGGTCTTGCTGCCATCACCAAGACTTCTGGCAATGAGCACGGCTTTGTGATTTTGCGTGGCGGGAGCAAGGGCACCAACTATGACTGTGAGAGCATCCGGAGCGTCCGGGAAGCCTTGCGCTCCAAGAAACAGCGTGAGGTAATCATGGTGGACTGCTCGCACGGCAATTCGAACAAGAATCACCTTAACCAGCCTCTAGTGGCGAAGGACATCAGTGATCAGCTCCGGGAGGGCCAGGATGCTATTGTCGGGGTTATGATCGAGTCCAACATCAACGAAGGAAACCAGAATGTATCTCCTGAGGGTCCCTCGGACCTGCGCAAAGGTGTCAGCATCACTGATGCATGCATTGACTGGGAGACGACCGTCACCGTATTAGAAGATCTGGCGGAGGCCGTACGTATCAGACGGGTCGCTAAGGTTGATAAAGCGAATGGCAACAATGGAGCCTCCCATTAAGAGAGGGGAATTTCATTTGTTCAAGATGATGCTTTAGATACCATTGCTGGGACCATTTCCTTGCTTACTCTTTCACAAAACAAAACAAAAAAAAAAAAAAAAAAAAAAAAATATTGGCATTTAGATGAGACCCCGGGAGCAAAAATACTTCTTATTGTTTCCAGTTGCCCAGAGTCTTTGAATATATTTATACACACCTCTAAAAAACCTCTTGGCGGCTGATAACCTGCAGATATTGGCCCAGCTCTGTTCCAGCTTTTCCCGCTGTCGCCTGAGAGACGTGTGATGCTCCTGTACACCTTGGTATCTTTTGCGGTTATGTTGGCCAGCTGGAGAATTGATTCCTTTCCAAGTCCAGCATTTCCTATCATATACAGTTCCGCCACTTAGTTTGCATAATTTGATTGCCCATCCTCAGAGGAAATATAGTAACCATGGCCAGTTCTGTTTCTATATTATGCCCAAGTAAGGGATAAAAAAAATATGAGTTATTTCCCTCTCTTTACTAGAGATAAATGCTATATTAGCTTGGTTTTCCAGTCTTTTTTTTTCTCTGCCCTTCTGTAGCATCTGGGACAGCGCATGAAGACCCATCTTCCCTCGCTGCCGTATAAGCTCCACCTCCTCTACAGCCTTCAACAGAGACATTCCGCACTCATGTCTTTTACGAATCTCATCAATAATTACGTTCCTGCGGCAGAACTTGACCCGATCTACGGCAAGCCATTACGTCCACTCCGCAACAATCAAATTTCTCGCTAAGTTCTCTTACCGCACCTTTAACCGCCTTCCTACTAAATCTAGCTGCATAAAGATAAAGTATATTATAAAGATGTATATCTAGTATGTACAGGTAGGTTTTTTTCTTTTGTTTATCTTTACACTACCAGGCATTATGAGTCGCAAATCCATTAATCTTGAGCTGTATAAGGCTGATATTCTTAATCTTTATAAAGCAGAAGAAACAGTTAATTTTATTCTTTCTTATCTTAAAGATATACTATATACATAGTATTCAAATCAGCAAGCGTATATTAGAGGCTCGCCTTTAAACATGGGGTGCTTAAAAGCAAGACTGTATAAAACCTTGGATCCTCGCCTACATGCTTGTATTCAGGTGCTTTTCTTTTAGGTTGGACTAGAGGAAAAAGAGCTTCTTTATGCATTGCAAAAAGAAGGCTTTATAATAAGTCCCCGTACTCTTCGGAGAGTCCGCACAAAGCTTGGTCTTCTACGACGTGTACATAGTACTTAATAGTAGCAACTTTTGGCAAGCTGTACATGCTGTATCACTATCCAGATAAAGATATTTCTAATTATAGACTACTAGTGAATGAGAGGGAAATGGTAGAACTCCGAAGGAGTAGGTCAAGGAGACAATCTTAGACAGTTCAGAAGTTGTGGGCCCCAAGCCCACAAGTTCCTGGCAGGAGAAAAGACAATATGCCCTTTACACAACTGCGTTCCGTGGTCTGTGAGAAGGTTGTTGATTGTCTATTACCTCTTCGCATGAGGACTTAAGATAATAGCTATCTATACAAACGTCACGTGCTAATCCCCCGAATTCCTCCACTACACTAGTGCAGAATAATACCGTACAGAGACTTTAAAGAGATGTCCAGGAATATGGTACATTTTGCCTAGCTATATAAAACTTTTACTAATAGTATTTAGAGCTTGATTAATATCTTTTGCAGAAACCTTGCAATTTTGTCGTACACAGCTTCGGGGATGGGCTTTGACCCTGAAAATATATTGCCAAATGGACTGGATGCCGATCCAATACTGTTTTGTACTAAATATCTGCAGCTACGTGAGGCTATCACCTTGCATATTAATATGCAGTCTGAGCCCGTACTAGGATTACTAAGTTAGTCCAATCTCTTGGCCAAATATGTACATACTAATATAGGTCGGCAGCTGCTAGCCCTTCCAGGGCACGACATTATATTTATCCGCGGCAGGATAACTTCTTGTTATTTTATACAGCATCGTCCGTTGTATATTAATGCCTTGCTTATTTAATCCCGTGGGCGGACACTGCCAGTGCCTTGTGAGCAGGCTTGGCAATAATACTCTGATATGATACTGATTAATATATCGGTATTAGTGATCGATACTTAATAGTATTAGTGATACTTCTTGCTATTGTTTAATATAGTGGCAGTAGTTGTTCTGAAGTATACTATTACCATGGTAATTACCATCTTAATAAATTGCCATAGTAACATAGGCGGTGAGGCTCTGTCGAGTATCAGTAATTCTATTAATTAATACTAATTAATACTTATACCAAGTATCGATCGATGGCATCGATACCCGGAGGTATTGTTGCCATGCCTGCTTGTGAGAGATACCGCACTCCACAAGGTATATATCTGTTTACCGAATATTGCTATGTACCAGGTATATTCGGTGGTATATGCGCCAACTGCAAATAGCCGGATCTAGCTGCCCGCTGTACTGTACGGGATAAGCTCTGGCAGTCCGTAGTATATCCACTGGATAGACTACAAGAGCGGGCTGTTAGCCTGGGTACTGGAGGAGAGCACCAGCAGGCAATCGGTTCCTCTTAGCAGCATCCAATTAATTTGGACGCTGAAAAAGGTGAACAGGAGAATCTGATTACTCTATTAGACAACGAGAAGGAGAAGGGAGGGGAGGGGGATAAGAATCATCCTATTCTTTTTTAGGTAGGTATAATAATTTATATATATGCACAAGAATTAATACCAGCACCTGCACGCCTAGTTGTACGGGCCCTGTGTACAACACCTAAGCATAACTTGCACCTTTACGTGGTGCTTAGGACTAATTAGTAGCCATTTATATGGTGAAACCAAGCAAGTCACATGGGATGGTTCTGCCGGCAGAAAATGAGAAATTATTTTTGTTGCGGAGTGGACGTAATGGCTTGCCGTACCCGATCGCGCTGTAAGGGTCGCCACGCTGCGTACGTATCCTCGAGGCTCTGGGTAGAAGGCTTGCCTCCTAACCCGCATGTCCATTCCCTCCACACTCCGGCACAGTGTGAACCGTACGAAAAGGTACATAGTGAGGGATACCTGCTGAATGGCTTGGGGCGGATATAGGCTTAGATGATTCCTGCATAGTTATCGCATCAGCAGCATCAGTGGCAGTGGCAGCAGGGGAGGCAGGTATAAACTGGGGGATAAGTCGTGGGCTCTGGACTGCAGACACAGACGCTTCAGTTGCATCCGGATCCACTGCTTGCAGGTGTCTGATTATTTGGGGGTCTGAAGTGGTTGTATTCAGAAGGATTGTCCGCCCAACCCCTCTATTGGGTATATATATTCAGATGATGTCCCAATATGGACTAGCTTTATTCTGACAGCAGGGTAAAAGCCACGTGACCGCCCATAATATCGTGAAGGTAGTTGTTAATCTCTTGAAGCTGACACTGTGTTTTACTACCCCATTCCTTGATTGCGTGACCCAATCCCTGTTGGAGATCCTATCGGACATGGTTAGGGCGCTCAGCTAGAGCTGGCTGGGCCTGCCGTAGTCGGACCTCCTCGGGCTCTTCCACCTCCCGCAAAGACTGCTTGACCTCTGTAGCAAAGGCCTGATAATCTTCTCGTACAAAGATTGGGTCACTCCAGATAGGATGCAGCGGAAACCGCTCACAAAAAAAAAAAAAACAGAATCTTGCAAAAAGATCACACGGAGCTGAACAAGCAGCCGCAAAAATCCCTGGGCTGCCATATCATGCTGATCGGCCTCGTTTAGCTTCTCTATTTCGCCTTCGCCTTCGCATTCCTTCCCCTCCTGCTGGCTGGAGTCTCTGTACGACTCAAACCAGTCCAGCCATTCATCAACCCATGGCCAGACTGTGTGTATGAGACTCCCCCCGGGGGGGGGAGGGGATCTTTGCCCGAGGCAGATAAGGGCAGAAGCCTCGAAGCCCGCCATTGCCCGTATAAACTTTCGAGGAAGGTGGGTAAGATAGCAATTAGTTAAAGCGTCATTATTCCAATGTCCAGCGGGTGGATTTGGTTTTCTGATACCCCGTTGAGTTCTGCCCATCTTGCCCCCTCGGATCGGCCAATATGTGTCTTTTTACTGAGTTAAGGCCAATCTGGGCAAACACGCGGTTAATGCAGTGAAGCTGAGTATCATATGAAAGCGGTCTCTCTGCCGATTCCCCCTTAAGTAAATGCAAGTTGTACCACAGTGGCCGCCGGTGGAACTCAGGCACGGGCTCCCGTGCTATATTCCACCGGAAAAAAAGACAAAACGCGGTGTGGGCCATTGTACAGACCATCGGGTTGCGGTGCCGCATCACAGAGTTATATTCTAAGCGGCCCATTGCATTTGTTTTGCCGTTATCCATAATCATGACCATTGGAAAAACATGGTGTAGGGCCCTCATTTTTTAAGGGAATAGTAAAAAGATCTGCGAACTGCAAACTCCGGCGCTGTGTATGAGGGACAGAAAGACATCCTAGCAGAGAAAGAATCCAATCCCGAGACTGCTGGAAATATCTGGAACATTTGGCAGAGATGACTTCTTGGCATAGTTTCTCACGATTTATGTGGTTAGATCATTGGCCAGGCTCTGGGACTCGTGACAATATAAAAACAGTCGTATTCTATTCAACCAATTGTATTCATAGATTGTTAGGGCAGTTTGTGTGCGGGGGGACAATAACCCTTCTTTTGTGTGAGGCTGCTAGAAACGATTCCCGAAACCGTTGAGAGAGGAGTGGATCCTACTATAGTAACAAGGCCTCGCCATATTGCTTTTTGGGTTACCCGGAAACCCGCCAAGAACCCAAAGCCTAATATATTACGGTACGGAGTTAATGCATATGAAATTCTGAAAGTTTAATATGAAGAGTTATCTCTCCGAACTAATATCGTCATGGCTGGTTCGAAACATAATACGAGTGCTTCTTTGGCATGGATAGGCTGATAATGAATTGCCCACTCGAGACATATGGTGTCTCCACTGCGAGATGTTGGGCTGACTGCTACAGGATATCGTCTTGGCACCCCATTCGATTGTTTTTTGGGCATGGAGAGGACCCTCTTAGATATAAACCGGCGAGTTCCGGAGGTCTATTCATAGCTGAGACGCCAAAAGTACAACTGGATTGTACGTTTCGTCAAGTTCTGGCTGACGTCTGGAACAACTATGCAGAACCCCCCATTCTTTTCAGCAGAAGACATGCCTCCGACCGCCCCTCCTAGTAATCTAGTGATCTATTGGGACACACCTCCCAACCCATCACTACCCCGGCTAGATGACGAATCCAAAGAGTCCAAAGACCCAACCCGTCTCTTGTCCGTAGGAGGTAGTACAACCGTCTCTCTCTCTGGGACTTTCACCGAGGAGATGCCACTGCACTCGACCCTAACAAGACACTTTATGGCAGATATAGACACCACGCACACCGATATCATACTCATTCTCTGCAGCTTTGTCAGTGGACTGGTTGACGGATTGTCGTTTAATGCATGGGGAAGCTTTTCCAGCATGCAGACAGGTACTATTCCTCCGACTAAACCATAGGTACGCGGCATACTGACCCAGAAAATAGGGAATACCGTATTCATTGCCCTAGGTGTCTCCGGCCAACCCGAATATCCCGCCTATTTATGGGCCAAATCCCTCATTTCCCTCACCACTTTCATTATTAGCAATATTCTATTCATTCACGTCTCACGCATACTGCGCCCGCGCCGCCGTTCAACCTTCATTCTCTCCTTTGGCATACAAACGGCCGCCATCTTTGTCGCTGCCATCCTCGTCCAGCTGAAGGTCGTTAGTCCCAGGCCCGAAGACCCTCGCTCCCCAATTGAGTGGATGCAAATCCTGCCCATCTCGCTGCTTGCCTTCCAAGCCGGCGGGCAGATCTGCGCCTCGCGCATCCTAGCCATCGATGAGATCCCTACCGTCGTGCTAACAACCCTCTTGTGCGACCTGTTGGTGGATCCCAAGTTATTTTCCCGCGGATGGAGATCGAATCCCAGACGCAACCGTCGGGTCGGAGCCTTTTTGGCTCTCTTCTCGGGGGCAATGACTGCCGGTGGGTTGACCAAGGTGACCGAGATGGCGGCTAGTCTGTGGTTGGCGATGGGGTTGAAATTTATCATCACCGTTGGATGGATGGTGTGGAGGTCTGATCAGACCAAGAAGCAGGATGTGGAGGGGTAAAAGGGCGGATCGTTAAGTTTGCACATTCTGGTACTAGTGCTGTCGCTGATGGTTACCTCATTGAGCGTGGAGTATTCGATTGTCCCGTATGGATGGTGGGGATTTGTCTGGATTCGATGATTCGTCCACTAGTCTTGGTTGGTGTCAGATTATATGGGATATTGGTATGGAGGTGAGAATTGAATGTATTCAGAAGGATGTTCTGCCCAACCCCTCTATGAGGAGTATTGGGTATATATATTCACATACACACACACAATTTATTAACGCCCGGCGGCGCCGAAAGGGCAACTATCACTAATCTACTAGTACATTTCCTAATGTGTGCCTTGTCTCCTTATAGCCCATACAGATTCACTTTTAGCACATGTCGTCTCATCTGTCTGTATCGTAGGGGAGGGGGATGGGGGGAGGATTCTCGTGGGTTAGTAATTTTGTTAGTAGACTGGCTTGAGGCGCTTCTTCAAGTGTTCAACATCCTATCTTCGGCAGCTGAAGCGCGTCTACCGTCCCTGGCACGAGGTGGTTGGTGTGAGTTCGGTCGGGAGGAGTGGGTATTTGGTGAACATCTACATGGTTATGCAGCGTCGAGTCGGCCTGTAGCGATTGCAAACCGTATGGAGGCCCGTACCGCTTCGAAGTTTGGGATCCAGTTTTGATCATCTGATGGTGACTTTCCTCCCAGGAAGAAGGACATGTTGCCTCTGTGGGTGTTGGTGCATTGTAGCATTTCTGCTCGACATGCTGTCCACTTTCGGCACCGAAAGAGGAAGTGCTCTACAGTCTCTCTTGCCTGTCCACATACACACTGATCCGTCTGCGCTGCGTTGATTCGGTAGAGATACCCATTTAATCTTGCCATGCCAGTCCGGAGTTGAGCCAGCACGCTCGCTTCTTTCCACGACAAACGATCATATAGCTGTCGGGTGTGTTTACCTGGGAGTGCTGCATCCACTCTTTTAATGTGTTTGCCCACTTTCTCTGGCAGGCCTTTGCTGGTGCCTACTTGGGATCGTGCGATATTGAGGGTGGTTGATTTCATTCTGGGGAGCTCTGTGTGTGGGGTAGCGTCCTCTTGGGTCGCTGCCCTAGCCTGCTCTTTAGCCAGGCCTAGCAGTTTGTTATCCTCGCTTGTTGGGACCCAAAGGATCGTGATCTGGTTTCCGTTTCTCCTTAGTCTTTTAACCAGCTTGTATATTTGGCAGACGTGTTCCTGGCCTGACTGTTGTTGCGGGTTCCTCAGTGTGAGTGCGGCTGCTTTGTTGCTCGTGAGCAGCGTGATTCTGTAAAGTTTCGGTACCGGTAGCATCTTCAATACGTGTGCTATTGCTGCCAGCTCCCCTGAGTATGGGTTCTGCTCTGCTCTTATGCCGAGTGTGACGGAGAAGGACTTCAGTTTCGGCTTTCTATACTTGGGCGGCTGCTTCTGGATCATTCCGCCACACCCTACCAACTCATTCCGCGCCGAGCTGCTTACTGCGATCTGCATTGATCCACCGGTTTCTGTCTGTGTCTCTGGGGTTTCCCCAATATCGGCCTGCACTCGTTCCTCCCACGGTGCTAATGTAAATGGGTTGATAGTTTCCAGTGTTTCCATCTCTGCGTCCTTCAGCGCATCTGCCACCTGATATAACGGCGAGCGGTGGAATCTTCTGAATTTCTTAATACGAGCCGTATTCCTTCGGAGTGGGTTAGTTTCTGGTAGGGTGTGGATGTCCGTCCACATCTTCACTGCCCGTTTCCAGAACCGACTTTGTGCAGTGGCAATGTGAGCCTCTGCTTCTACCACGCTTGTTGCAACTGTGAGGAATGTTCCCACAATCGCTTGAGCTCCTACCCTTTGCACTCGGTTGATGGGTCCGATGGCCTTATCTTTGACAGCGTGCATCCACACATTAGAGGCGTAGTCCACCACTGGAGTAACAGTCGATGTGAATAACTGCCGCGCTGTTGACGGGGACAGACAGACCTCTGAGTCGTCTGAGCTCCATTGCTGCTTCTAGTCCCTTGGACGCTGCCCTCGCTATGTGTTCCTTGTATTTGAGTCTAGCGTCCATCAATACTCCAAGAATCTTGACATGGTCTTTGGGTTCAACGGCCTGTCCCTTGATGGTGAAAGTCTCCTGTTCTGATTTGTATGCTTTGGGGGTGAAGTGTATAATAGCTGTTTTCTCTGCTTCAGAAGTCGCTCCACTCCTCCTCTCCCAGTCGAGCGCTTCATTGATAATTGCTTCGATACCTTCCCGGTTACTCTGCGCAGTTGGCCCTGTCACCCATGCTGTAAAGTCATCCACAAAAGCAATCGCTCCTCCCTGGCTATCGATCTGTCGTTGGACTAGGTCTGCGTTGAAGAAGAGGAATAAGATCGGGGATAGGGGAGAGCCCTGAGGTAGTCCCGCCTGAGGGAGGCTTTGGGCCTCAGACGCTTGCCCATTAATTTGGATGATCGCCGTTCGTTCCGAGCAGAATGCCTCGAGCAGCTTCTCTGGTATGCCTCGCGCTTTCATCCTCTGGAGCAGTCTTTATTTGCAGACCCCATTGTAGGCTCCTTTGACATCGAAGCTAATCAAGCTCATGACCCGGCGGCCACGCCAGGCCGTGTAGATTTGCTCCTGCAGGAGCAGGAGGGCCTGTTCCGCTGATCGCTGTTTTCGGGCTCCAAAGTGGCTAGTTGGGAGCAGACCGTATGTCTCCACTGCGTGGGAGATCCTTTTTGCAACCACGGATTCTAGTATCTTGCCAAGTGTCGCGAGAAGTGAGATCGGCCTCCAGGCTTTTGCAGTGGTGTAGTTCTCTTTATTCGGCTTTTTGAGTGGTATGATCTTTGCATGTCTCCACTAACTTGGTAACGTGCCCTCTTCCAGCGACGCGTGGAATAGGTCAAGAACCCTGTGCTTGACAGCGGGCCAAGTCATCTTCCAAACTACCGCCGGTAGGCCGTCTTCTCCAGGTGCCTTCCATGATTTTACTGCGAACAGCTGTCGCTCTACTTCCTCCAAGGTGATGGCAGGCATCTCTACTGGCGCTCTTTGCGGTTTGGCCCCTTCTTCCTCAATATCGTCCGGTAGAGGAGGAAAGAATTTGGCTAGTAGTTCTTCGGCTTGTTCCTTGTGATCGGTGGGGGTGGTCCCATCTGCTCTGACGAGCTGCAGTACCTTCCCGAATGCTGCATCCTCTCCAGACTTCAGGTACTTGGTGGCCTTCCATATATTGTTATTGTCTGCAAGGGATTCTTTCCAGTGCTTTTTCTTTTGTTGCCGGATAGCATCGTGATATTGCTTACCTGCGCTTTTGGCTGTCTCTTCCAGATTTGCTGTGACTCGGCCTGCCCGTCGCTCTGAGCGAGCGTGGTTTCTCCAGTATGTGTATATATGACGGAGCTGTGTTAAGTCCGTTGTCCACCATCTTTTTGCGTATGGTGACGGTTTGGCCTTTGGAGTCAAAGTATAAACTGCTTCCAACACCGCAGCCATTAGTCGGTCGGTTCTCTGCTGCACCGTGCCTTCCGACAGAGTGGCGTCTAGGTTTCTCGCGATTCTGGCGTTGATCTCCTTCCATGGCGCGTTTTTGAGCAGAAGTCGCCCCGGGTGTTTTGAAACCGGCCTCGGGGCTTCAAACACAGTCTCAATTGTGTGGTGGTCAGAGCCGTGTTCTGTCTCATGTATTGCACACTTTACCATAGAATCTGTCAGATTCTCAGAGGCAAGGACAAGGTCAAATCGTGGATTCATAATCTCCACCCTGTCCTCCACCATGCCATGTCTTTGTGCCTCGTTTAAGTAGACTGTTGAGAGCAAATTCATTTATGAAGTCAATGATTGGATCCGCTTCTCCCTGTCTTTCCAAAGGCACGCCGTCTCCTCCCCAGAGTTGATCATGTCGGTTAAAGTCCCCCACAATTATTACCTCCACCACTGTGCCCGTGTCTCGCCTTACCTTTGTAATTGCCTTGCGTAAGCTATTGCACGTGTCATGCAGAGCCTGGGCGTCTCCCCCTTCTACATAGACTGATGCCATAAAAATCAGACGCTCCGGAAGCCGGATGACGGCTGCTGTCAGATCCGGGGATTCTATTGGCACTTGTTCCGCTTCCACATCCTTATTCACCCAGAGCATGCTTCGAATTGCCCATCTCCCTTCCCTCCATGTAGACGGGACTATCTTTGTCCATTTGTGATGTCCCATTGGCGTTGTCAAGAGTCGGCCTTCAATTCTTCTCGCTTGAGGTTCTTGGATTGCTATTGCCACTGCATCCTGAATTTCTTTGTCGTTCATTAAGCTGTCATGTACTGCGCCCTGTTTCCTTACATTTAGCTGAATTATTCGGAGTGCTTTATTCATGTTGTACGGGATAGAGCTTCCGATAGTTTTTGCTATACGATTCATGTGGGCCTCCGCACGAAACGCACTGAAGGACCGTTTCGTTGCAAATACTATGGTGGTGGCCTTCCTTGGCGCATTTCGCGCACTTCTGGGCGTTCTTGCATTGGAATGCCTTATGGCCAATCTCTTGACAGTTATAGCATTGTGCCGGCCGTGGTCGATATTCGAAGGCTGGTTACGCCAGATTCTCCCCCGGCGTGAAAGAACCCATCGGCCAGGAGTCTCCATGCGTCCGTGCCTTTGGTTAGATACACGACCATGGATCCGTAGGCCTTCATACTCTCTTTTCTGCTGAGCCATGAGATTTTGGCGACCGTGGTCTCGTTCTCCTCGCTAAAGGCTGCTGCGGCTCCAGCTCTGATCGCATCTTTTTCGTCTAGCACTGCGGCCTTCTTGACGCTGTCAACTTTGATCGGGTAAAGCTCGTCCCGCAGCACCCGGGCTCCCGCGCCAATCTTTGCTTCCGCAACTTTCTTAACTAGTTGGTGTTCAGCTTCATCCCGGCACGCAATTCTAATCCGATTGGTGTTCCTTGGGTCCACAGTGACCGCGCGGCATCGCCAGTTCATGTGGTTTTCCATTGTCCGGATCTCTGTCTCCACTGCTGCCCTGATTGGGCCTGCGGACATCTTATCATTTTCGTTGTCTGCCATTCTTGAGGTATCTATCGTGCAATACAATGTATCGGTGAAGGTGGTCGGTGTCGTGTTAAACGATAAGAGAGTCCGTATATTGCTCGGTTGACTGGTTGGAGGGGTGCGGGCAACATCTGCATAGGACGGGTTGTTTGTGAGACCTGCGGAGGTGATTGAGGTGCGCAGGGATTGGATTTCGCGAAGAATTTCTTCGTGACAGTTTTGTGAGCATGACTCGGACTGGGATTGCAGTGTCAGAGTTTGTAGCTCATGTCGGACCTCTGCCAGCGCAGCACTAAATTCTTCCTTAACTCTCTTTAGTTCATCCCTGTGCATGTCATCTCGTCGTCTGATCTCTCTCCTGAGTTTGGTAAGCTCTTCCACCAGTTTGACGGTGTCCAGGTCTTCGCTCTCCGTCGAGGGATCATCCGAAGTTGGTTCGTCATGCTGAGTAGCTGGCCTGCCTTGCTTTTCCTTCCTCTGTTGGGGGCGCGTATTTTTCTGCTCGATTTCTTTCTCTTGTTCTCGAGCATACTTGTTGGGTGGTTTAATGGTCCGTTTCGGTCTTGACAGCCGCGGTGGTGAGTCTTCGTGTTCGTCGCGGTCCGGTGGTTCAGGGGTTCGCGTCGCGGCTCGTCCCGTTGGGAAGTGGCCCGGAGGCATTTTTCGCGCAATCGGTCCGAAGACTTACAGTTGGATGCAAAAATGGTCCAAAGTCCTTACAGTAGATTAATCCCCGCCTGTACACGCTCTCTCAGCAACACATACACTGTGCTTTAAAAAAAGCCTTTCGCGATTAAATTGCGATGTATTTGGTTGAGTATGTACAGATATACAGTACAGTACTGTTCTATACATATGTGGTAACGACGCAGTAAAGCGACAGCTTCCGCAACTCTCCGCGTGTCAAAAACCGGAACCTCAGTTGACGAGTGACAATGGGCCGTCTCCAGAATCCATTGGAGGTGCGGTTGTTTTGTTTCTTTTTTTTCTGTTTGGGGGGGTTATAAACTTTCCAAGCTGTCTTTTATGCCATGCTGGCGATTTTGCCCTTTGCAAGGCCCATTTTAGCCGCCAATACATCTGCTATATCTCTTGCGAAACCCTTATCGTTAACATCCCGCTCATCTTCAACAATCTCCACACCGCTGCCCTCAATCCCCTTTCTGATTACGCCAAAAAGCGCATCATCTGCCTCTGCATCCGCAAACGGTTGCCCAGGCGTCGCTAGCATGCTAACACCGCCCTTTGGAATCCACAGCTGCGTCACGCCAGGATTCTTAGCGTTTCGGATCTTTCGGGCAATAAACTCCCCAATTTGCCTGCAGTCATCCGGCAACGTCCTAACAAGCGTAACAATGGGATTGTGCTTAACAATATTGCGATGCTTGAACTCATCAGGCAGAGTGCCTCGAGCGCCAAAGTTGACCACGTCTGTTGCGCCGAGTGATAAAATGTTTGGTATACCTGCCTCGATGGCGGCATCCAGGCGATCTTGCTCGGCGGGAAACACACCTCCGACGACGAGGTCAGCAATCTCCGTCGTAGTTAGGTCAATGACGCCGTCTAGCGTTCCTTCGCGAATGAGTCGCTCCATGGCTTTGCCGCCTCTGCCTGTTGCGTGAAAGACGTAGGTTTCTACTGGGTAGTTTGCTTCCAGATGTGACCGTATCGCATCGGCGCCTGGCGTGGTTACCCCGAACATAGTGATGCCGACTCGCTTCTTCTGTGATGATTTCGGCTCAGCAGTTGCGCTCTTTTTGCGATCTGCGTATGAAAGTGCAGCTGCGGCGATAGATGCCCCCGCATTGCTGAGAATGTTCCTCAGAACGTGGTTGAGCCCTGCCACGTCCACGACAGAGTACATTAAAGTAATGTCCGTCTCCCCGATAACGGGTCCCGTGTCGCCACTTGCAACAGTCGAGACAATCAGCTTCGGGAACCCAATAGGGAGGACTTGTCGCATAACGGCAGAAACAAGCGACGTCCCCCCAGAGCCTCCAGCCGATACTATGGCGTCGATTGAGCCGCTCTCATAGAGGCGCCGGACTTCTTTTGCCACGCATTGTGAAATGAATTCAATAAACTGACCACGGCTCAAGTCGGCTATATTTTGGCCGGAGCCATGCTGGGAGATGAGACGCACTTGCGGTACTGTTATGGCTTCGTGCTCCGTAGCCTTCCATCCCACGTCAAGCAGGATTGCGGAAACCGACGGATTCTCCTCAATGCGGTCTTTGAGAAAGAGAAGCTCTTGCAGTTTTGTGTCACAGGTACCAATGATTGCTACCGTTGCCATGGTTATTAGGTTAAGAAAGCCCGAATAATGAACTGAATCACCAGTAAAAAGTCAACGCAATTCTGCAGGAGGCTTCGGTCACAACTTCCACAGAATTGTCTTGTCCCGATGTCCGGGTAGGTAAGTGAGTGCTTCAGTTACGCCATATCACATGACCGTTGACGTCACATTTTGGCCCGGCAATCTGGCCTACAATCGACGGCGGCATCGGCGGGTCACAACGAACAGCACTGAGTCATATCATGAGGCTGCAAAACTTGTTCAGAACATCTGATTTTGTCATATTATATCTTCACAGGAGCTTGTTTTGGTATCAAGTCTTCCCATGGGAATATCCTATTCACTGACACCGTTGTCATCTCACCGCACGCGCTACACTATTACTCCTCGTCCCAGCTCCGCTCACAAACAAGTATCTACGCATCATGGCTCCCCCAACGGACCGAAAGCAAATTCTTGCCAACTTGAACGCTCAGGTCTCGGCCAGGAAGTCCATAGTAGGCGCTGGTGCTGGAATCGGCCTGTCTGCTAAGTTCATCGAGGCTGGCGGCGGCGACTTGATCATCATCTACAACAGCGGCCGTTTTCGCATGGCGGGCCGCGGCTCGCTGGCTGGTCTTATGCCGTACGGAAACGCCAACGACGTGGTTGTCGACATGGTGAGACTAGTTTTTTCTCTTCTTTCGTTTTCTCTTGACCCTCTAACTGACCATCATTTACCAGTCGAAGGAAATCCTCCCCGTTGTCAAGCACACCCCCGTCATCGCCGGCGTCTGCGGTACGGATCCATTCCTCAACATGCGCCATTTCCTGGGCAAGCTACGTGATCTCGGCTTCGCGGGCATCCAAAACTTCCCCACCGTTGGCCTCGTTGACGGACAGTTCCGCGCCAACCTAGAGGAGACGGGTATGTCGTACGACCTTGAGGTGGAAATGGTGCGTGCGGCGCATGATATGGGCTTGCTCACAACTCCCTACGTTTTCAATGTTGCAGAGAGCAAAAAATGGCGCAGGCTGGTGCGGATATCCTCGTTGCCCATATGGGCCTGACGACCAGTGGGTCGATTGGCGCGTCTACTGGCAAGACGTTGGATGAGTGCGTTCAGCTTATTCAGGAGATTCGCGATACGGCTGTCGCTATTAACCCAGATGTTCTTGTGCTGTGCCATGGTGGACCGATTGCTGCGCCGGAAGATGCGGAGTATGTGCTGGGCCATACAAAGGGTGTCCACGGATTCTACGGCGCGAGCTCAATGGAGAGGTTGCCGGTGGAGGGGGCCATTACAAACATTACCAAGAGTTTCAAAGATTTGAAGCCTACTGCGTAGATGGATATAAGTAGCATATCTACTTCTTGCTTTTTGGTGGGCCGTGTTGTCATAGTGACTCGGCGGCTGATACACGGGCGCCCGGGCGCCAATTGAGGAACCAGTACTTAAATCTTAACAAACTGATATCATAAGACAGCTGTTGCTGGAATGGTCGCCATAACGGATGAGGAAAAGGATACCATTGCAATTCAAGAAGCGACATGGGTCGGGACACGTACAAACGTTGTCGACTCCAAGTAGGAATAACTTTAGCTAGAAATTAGAGTTTTACTTGTGGCGCGTGGTGTTGTAGCAGTGGAATGCCGTGTCACCAGCTGCAAAATTGTTGTTCTCTTAAACTGAGATCTTAACACACATAGGAACGAAAGTAGTCCCACCATTGCATAACTGTCATGCCCATTCCACTCTCATATGTATTGGCCTTCCTTCCTATAAACTCTGAACTGTGAAGTAACCGCATCCTGATCTATATAAAGTAACAATACTATCGTTCAAGCTCTCCCGTCCATTGCCCGGGCATTCTGGCGAGCCTTTTACCGTACAAAAGTGTGCCAACGATCACCTTGGCTCATATTTTTCCTGTTTTGGCCTATTGACAAGGAGCCGATCATTTAGTTTTCGGCTGGTGATTTGCACTATTCAGACTATGGAAGGGTGGCTATTTGCTGCGCATTGTTTTACTCCCTGGGCGTCTGCCCAAATACCCTCTCCATGTCGTTGCGCGTGTACTAGGGACAGGTCAGGGAGCACATTCGTGCGCGACATGGCCAGCCAGTACAACGAAAGTGACTTGCCATCGCCCAATTTTTCTTTTGTTTTTTTATATTTTTTCTTGGGGTTACATACATAGTGGGCAATGCTTACGCTTAAAGCGCCTCCAGGGAGAAGACCCAATGTACAAATTATACAAATTTGGCCGTCATCCTGACGATATTGTAGATGCAGTGCTCCTAAATGTCTACAAATATAACTGATTTATTGGAACCGAAACAGGGTGTAAAGCGGATCTTAGCTTCCTCAAGCATTCGTAGACGACTGGAGACGTCTTGGTTTGGATTTTCTCCCTATTGGGCGATTTATCAATAGTTCACCTCCAATAAAAGCCAATTTGACCGGCGGGAAGAATGAGTTAACCTTTTATTGGCTAGTGCCGGGAGCTGAAGCGCCAACACTCAGCAGAAACCACATTCTGATTTGAATCGAAATCGTCTCGGAACACAACGGAATTAGGGAATGATACGGTCACATTATTATAATCCATGCCTCATACGTCGCTTCTCGCGCTCAAAACAGTCAAGGCGCTTGTTTGGACTCTTCTCCCAGGAGCAGAACCCCCGTTTGCGTTTCTGATTAGGTGAAATGCCACCCAGTGGTATTCGTCGGGTTTGCAACGTTGCTCGCTCAAAATCAATGAACATCACCCGTCCATTTTCCTCAACCATATTGCTGGGTATTGGATCACCCTGAAGCACACGTAGATCGTGAATCGCCTGCAAGGATTTCTCGGCTTGTTGAATTAGTCGACCGTGATCGAGATCATGTCTGCTTGCAAGCGTCCTTCCAGCGTAACCCATGAACATCAGATGGACCATCTCAGCAATACCATCATAATAGAATGGGCGGCGAAGTCGTAGGCTACCAAGTAGCACTGGCACGGATACCCCTTGGATTGGAGAGAGATGTGAATACATGAGCTCTTCGTGCTTCGAGCCCCCCAAAAACTCGACTGGCGCACCTTTACCTACAAAGGTATATCCGTGTGACCATAGTATGATTTTAAAAAGAGCCCCGCAAGTCCCATGAACATGCAGCGATTCGCACCCCAGCTGCGAATCAAGCTGCAAATTATCCCTTGAGAGCTGCCGGTCCAGCCGATGAATAAGAGTTGTCTGATTTAGTCGGTGTCGATTAATTCCATGGTCTAACACGTTGGGACATTTCTGATCTAATTCCCATCCCTTAATTAGGCCTAGGAGGCACTGCTGTGTGCAATACTGCCGAGACTTGCCTTTGGAGCGTGAACCTTGCGATTTTTCCACTGCCGTTAATGACGAGGAAGCCGACGGTTGAGGAAGGCGGGGTTTTTGGGGTCGTCGACTAGGCGTGTTAGGATCAAAGCCATCCCCGGCGTCATCATCATGACTAAACAACCTCGATTTTTTGCGAAGAACTACAGGACGCAACGGTAGCAGACTTTGACCTGGTCTTTACTGGGGATGCACGACAGTATTCGTTCCGACTCTGTGTCGATGGTTTAAAGTCGGAAGAAGGAATGTCCTTCTCTGCGATTTCATCCAAAAGATCGTCGTATACCATCTCCCAGGTCTTGAGTCTGCGTACTGCCGAGGTTGTCAAGCGATGTCCCGTGTCGGTACTCGTAAAGCGCGGAGAGTGAAAGCAAGTACCTGACCGAGCGCAGTTAAATGCAGACGGTTAGCGCCGCTCGGATCGCCTGTCCATCCTGTTGTTTGTCCAACATCTTCTTCTGGCACTGACAAGTAGTAATATACGGTGGAAGGGTTATCATAAAGCACACGAAGAAATATAAACGCTTCACCACCAGTACACGCATAGCCATACTCCAGGCCTCCATGAATCATGTAAGAAAATGTTTGGGTGATCACTGCCGCCACAACACGTCGGCAGATGTCTTCTGGTGATTCCTCTTTTTGTAAGCGGAGTACTTCATCAAGATCCATGTCTTGAAGTCCAGACTTAATATGGGCGAGAGAAACTTTATGGGGTGCCTTGTATTCAATAATAAACACCGGGACCTTTCCTTCTGGGCCCTTATTATAAACACAAATCTGGTCGGCTCGGGGTCGGGACTCCTCGGCTGTATAGCGTTCTTGCTTCTTCCTATCAGCTGAGCTGAGAGCCTAGCACTGCCCGGTTTTACGGCCAAGCGACCAGAGCGTCGTGGCTGCCTTTGAGTTAGGCTCAGAGAATCCATGTCTGCCACTATGTTTGACTCGTCTGTTAGGGTATTGGCGTGATTTTCAAAGGTGACGTCTCCATTCAGACAAAATGTTTGTCAAAGTCGTGGATTCGCGTAGTAGCTGCTTGATGACTGAAGCGACGCGTGATTCAACGGTCTGTCGTTGAAAGTAGCCCAAATCCAGCTCCGAACTTACCATCCTCTCTCGGGCCTCTTTTCCAAATTCCTTCAATGCCAATAATGGTGTAAAATGGCGTTTGGTCACGAACTCGGTATTCATTAGGTCCTCCCATATTGAAGTCTGTTCGTTTGGAAAGTTGGTCCACTCTCGAATCTTGGTCGGTCGGAGTTTACGGTCGGCGTTTGCCGGGTCGCCTTTGTGGACGAGTCTTTGTCTTTCTGGATGGAGAGACCGAGAAATAAGTGCACATGGCAGGCGTCGAGAAATTCGGGAAGCGTTGTTTCTTGTGTCTGGAGCTTCAGTTGTTCCTCAGCTTGCTCTCGGAGTCGCTGTTCTTCTATCTGTGATCGCTCAGCTTGCTCACGTAGTCGCTGCTCTTCTTCACGTCGTTGCTGCTCTTCTTCTCGATGTCGCTGCTCTTCTATCTGTGACCGTTCGGCTTGCTCACGTAGTCGCTGCTCTTCTTGTCTGAGTCACTGCTCTTCTTCAAGGCGCCGGCGTAACTCCTGTATCTCCTGGAGGGACATTCTTGCTGCCGTCAGCTGAGTGTCCATCAAACTGGTTGTGATGGGATATTATTTGTTTGGGTGGCTGCCCACGAAACTTTAATAAGAATGGTCTGTGGACTACAGCCAATGATTTTGTTTGATCTACCGCCTATTAGTGGCGGACCCACCGCTGGGGCGTTGCTATTGGGATTTGCACACCATAGCTCAATATTTGCACATGTCACTAAACCTAAATAGGAATAGTGTTAAATATAATGTCTTGGCAAATATTATTTACACATGTGCATTAGTCATATCCCAAATAGGAAATGGTTATCTTATCGCAGCAGGGTGTGAGAAACAAGATTAGCGGCCTTACAAGCGCCGAGACTGTTAGGGACCTACCATATGTCCGATATTCGGCTAGTACCGAATAGGAAAGTAGACACTATTCTTGAAAAGGTGCTTAAATGATTGCTTTAGATGGTTTCTTGATTATATTGATCAACATATGATCATTCTTGTGATTATTATTATGGATCATTAGGTTGCTTCTTCTGCTAGGTGTAGGGGAGTTCGTTTTACCCCTCTTTTATGACCTTGTTTACGTCACTATTACCACCAACTTATTTGACAGGGCCAATGGCCCAAAGGGCCAACAGGGCCAAAAGGGACAGTAGGGACAGTAGGGGCAACGGGGACAGTAGGGACAATAGGGACAATAGGGACAATAGGGACAACGGGGACAGTAGGGACAATAGGGACAACGGGGACAACGGGGACAGTAGGGACAGTAGGGACATTGGCCCGAGAGGTCAAACGGGCTCTAGCCCTTTACAAATAGGGGGCCACTTGGAAAGCTTCACAATATTGTGACATATATTCGTGGTTCAGCTAGTTATACAAAGAAGTTTAAAGATCTGGCTGGGAGATTAATTCCACTTGACAACCGTACAAGATGGAATAGCTGGTATCATATGCTTTCTGTGGCTCTACAGTATGAAGGTGCTGTAGATAGCTATACAAAAAAGAACTTTGATACTCTTCAAACAGAATACCTAACTCCAGTAGACTGGGACAAGCTTCGCACAACAAATAAATTCCTAAGTCTTTTTAACCGAGCAACGCTGCAAACTCAAGGAAATCAAGCAACAATTGACAATGTGCTTTTTATTATGGATGTTATTATAAAGCACTTTAAAAAGGCTTTGGTAAGTCTACTTTCTATAAACTACATTGATTAGTATATAAGAAGATTATTTTAATATATATGGCAGGTTGAACATGCATTAGATAAGGAATTCTGTACTTAGATTTAAAATAGCTGGGATATGTCACGGCTCAGTCTAGGCCAGGAGATCTTCATATAACAAATGAATCTATTCCCGCTAACTAGGCAGCTCTTCGACGAGAATATCAAACATGGAGAGGAAGAAGAGATAAATCTGAATGACAACATCAGTTGCGGGGAAACCAGCAGATCACATGACCCAAGGTGACAAGGTCGTCACAATGACAGGGCAGGTTTATCTTATATATAGTCACTTATTTACTAATTTTTGGTGTTGTTTAGAAAAAACCTCTCGTACGCTGCAAATACTGCCAGAATAAGCCCTTTTGCGCCAATACTACTCGTCAGCGAGATCATCTGAAGCAGTGCCACCGATTCCTCATGGCAACACGAGGAGGTTTATTAATAACACCAGCCGGTACACCAGGCGGTGTCGAGTCAACGCCTTATAACCAACCGAAGCTAGATTTCTCAAAGGCGCATAAGCAACAGATAGACTTTCTGCTTGGGATGATGATATTCGCCGGTGCAAGGCCATTCTCAATGGTTGAAGATGAGCCTATGAAACAATTTATCCATGCACTTAATCCTCAATATTCTATCCCCTCACGCTGCACCGTGAGTGAATCAATTCTTGCAGATTGCTACAAATCAACGCTTGACCAACTCCTTAATGTCCTTGCCAAATCTCGCTATATTAATATCTCGGTGGACGAGTCTACCAATATCTCAAAACACCGGATTATAAACCTTTCCGTTACCGATGGCGTGAAGCGGTATTATTGGTGTTCTAAAGAAATACCAGGAACGAAAATGACTGCAATGGCTATGACAGATTGGATTGTTGAACAGGTATAATTTCTCTATTTTAACCTATAAATACACCTGACCCTGAGTATTATAGGCTGGAATCCTTGTTAATCATCGATATGGGAGATTAAACGCCCTGATTACTGATACATGTTCAACAATGAGATCTACCTGGGTCGAACTGCAAAAACGGCCTTCAATTCTCTCACCTTTTAATAGTGGGGTGCGATTCGCACGGCTTGCAATTATTAGTTAAAGACCTTCTCACTTTGCCATCGATCAGCACTGTATTTAAAAAGTGCCAGGCTATTATCACCCACTTTAACCACTCGCCTCTTCAGCTAGCTCTCCTAAGAGAGATCCAGGTTGAGGAGTACAGGCAGGAAAGATCATTTTTAAATGCAGTTGTTACAAGATGGGGCTCCCAATATGCCATGTTACAAAGTGTCAAGCGATCTGAGGTGGCATTATCCAAATTGTCACTGCGACTAGACATTGACATGAGTGATACGCTTAGGACGATCCTGCGAGATAATCTTTTTTGGGCGCACTTGGGCAAATTAGTCCAGATATTTAAGCCTGTAGACGAAGCTATTAAAATGTCTGAGTCTGCTCAATCAGACCTGTCCAAGGTTGTGCGCGTTGGTTCTCAATAATGCATTTATTAATTGCCAGCGATTAAAGCATTTGACGAGGATCTAACTCTATTTAAACCACAACTTTTACCAACGAATAAACAAACAGGTGAGTGAGGTCCATTGGCAATATTCTACCTAGCCCGAAAATTGCAACACCAAGATGCTTCCCCTCTTGCAAAGAAAAGTTAAAATATTATTTTAATACTGCCCGAACCCGGCTGCTGCACTTGAGGAATTCACCGGTTCCGAGCAAAGACGGTCCCTTCTTTGAGGCACCGTGTTGGGAACACATAAATAACCCGGAACTGTTCTGGAAGATACAGGTGAGCATATTAACCGGGATAAGGTCTTTGCTAATAATTTACTAGCGATCTATCTCTGGGTCGTCAAGCTGTCTGCTGATCTGGCTCTTCGACTGCTAAACACAACAGCCAATTAGTAGCCTGCGAACAGGCTTTCTCGGTACAGAATCTCCAGATTACCAAAACCAGGAATCGAGTCTCTGTTGAGATGGGGATAAGTTATCTTTATCAATTAATAGCCGGGCGTTAGCGAATGTTGCACACAACCAACCAAGTATAGAGGAGGTGAAATGCAGGAAATCCAGGCAGAGAATAACCTAATGGAGACCTGGAGCCGTGGCAGGTCTATTCTGGAGTTGCGATATCACGATGAGGAAGATAAAATTGAGGATACTGGCCCTACTCCTGTTACTCCGCTTCTTTTATTAAGTTAGTGGCAAGATATTGTAGTGGAGGAACTAGGGGGATTGGTATGTGACAGTTGTATGGATAACTATTATCTTAAGTCCTTGTTCAAAGAGGAAATAGACAATCAACAACCTTCTTGCAGACCTCGGAGCGCAGTTGCGTAAAGGGAATGTTGTCTTCTCTCCTTCTAGGAAGTTGTGGGCCCTGAGCCCACAACTTCCAAACTGTTTAAGAGTGTCTCCTTGACCTACTCCTTTGGAGTGTAAAGGGCTGGAGCCTATTTAACCTCTCGGGCCAATGTCCCTATTATCCCTATTCCCTACTGTCCCTTTTGGCCCTGTTGGCACCTTTGGCCCATCGGCCCTCGATCTGTCTGGGGGAAATTTTTTGATAAATATTAATCACGTGATTAAAAATCTTTCAGAAAAATAAAAAAGTTTTCAAAAAATTTCAAATTTGGCCGAAAATTTCGAAATTTGAAATTTTTTTTCACATCTCTAGTCCGACTCGCTTTCCGATTACGTTAGTAACTAGTTAACTAGCGGCCACCCCGGCCACCCATTCAATAGAACAAGCAATCGCTTCCAACAATCTCTTCGAGGTCGTGGGCCCCGGGCCCACGACTTGACCTTGCCGTGACAAAGGCAGAGTCTCATCTCACTCCACCATCGTTAGGTAACATAGAGCATTCAGATGAAGAGTCTACCAAGTCATAATCTGTCTCATCGACCTCGGGAATCGCTTATTGCAGCCCCACTGGAAACCTGGGCCGCTGAGGTAAGGTTAGAAGCTTAACTTAATCGAAAGACTTGAGAATTGTTCTGACTAGTATTTCTAGTGACCAGTCGAATGGCAGCATAAAAAGGACTGAAACTAATGGTTGTACAGGTGCCCCACCGCAGACAGTATGCATTTTACACCAGTGCTACGGCCTACACGCATGCTTCCGGGTCAATTATGCTTGAGCAGACCGTGGACCATGGTTCCTCCACACGCGTGGAAATGTTTACGCCTCGCGATTGGCCACGTACGAATTGTACGTATAGTTTCGCTGGAGGCAGATGCCGTAGGAACCAACAAAATGGTCCGCAGAGACTGCACTTCTCAATTGCGCAGATCCTGCTAGTCCATACAACTATGCAAAGCCACCTGTAGTGTCCATGATAACAAAGGCAAACAGACCTCCCTGGGGCGGTAGATAACAGGCCGCCCTACTGGGTCAGGGAGTGGAACACCCGAAGACCTACGTTATATATTGGGGTGACGCGCGCTCTGCAAGCTCGCCAAGCAGTTACCCTGAAACGTAAGCCGGAAAGACAAAAGTGAAAACTTGTGGGCATTACTTTCACTTCGTTTGTTTCAGGGAAGGGAAGGGCATGGGGGTGATTCTGGTACTACGGTAACACAAAACCAGTATCTTGTTTTGATCTTTATGACGCGTTGATTTATCATTTATGACCTCACGACTATTATCTTAATCTTATCTATGGATTTTCTATATATTATCTTGACCTAGTCCAAGGAGAGATGAAAAGTTAGTCCAACATACAGTACTTTTTACTATCTTACCTGGCTGACCGGTAGTTCTATCCGGCCAAATAGATTCATCACGCGTTCATTATCATACCACACCCGTCACTCTAGAGGCTAAAAATTCCAAGTCTCGCAACAGCCCGCATACTTCATAACCCAGAATCCTTTGTTTTGGCAACCATGGTTCAAAAACAACGAATGGGATTCTTACTCGCGGTCATTGGCTTAATTTCCGTGATTGCTTTTGCTGAAGATAGTGTTGGCCGAGATGCATCATACAAGAGCAAGAGTTGGGATAGTAGGAAAGCAAAGGGCATTGTTGTCGAGGAACTTGTTCAGGGAATGCAATTGGGACCTGTGAATGTGCATGTCGATGGAGGCGGGGTTCAAGTTAACATCCGAAAAATCACCATTCCACCAAATGGAACCACTGGCCTACACTGTCACTACGGGCAGGTGATTGGAGTTGTGCAGCAGGGAACGCTAACCCTACGCGCTCCCATATTTCCTACTAGGGTCCATGAATACAGGGCCGGCGAATCAATCGTGGAAGGAAGGGGTTATATACATGAAGGGCGAAACGAAGACGCAAGTGTTGACGTCGTGCTCTGGGCGGTATACATAACACCAGCTGGAAAGCCGCTCGCCGAAACGGATCACTCTAGATGCAAGCAAACCGATGTATTTGGTAACAATTAGGAGGCCTACACCACCGGTTTGAGCACTTCAAAAAGCATATACATTTGCATTTCCAGATTAATTTACTGTGATTTTAGCCAAGAAAGTTGCTAAATCTAATTGCCAGGGCGGCAGGCAGGCTATTAGGTACTAACCTTAGGACAGGCAGGATAATAGGGAGATTTAGAGAAAACAAGTCAGCTAAGAATACAAGACGTAACTCGAGGTTCAGAACTAGGATTAAACAGTGTAAGCCTCCAATTAATGACGTCTTCTGCGGGGAGCTTAATTTGTATCTGTTTTGCCTTTTTTTATTTTCTTTTTTTTTTTTTTAACCATCCAGTTATGGCGGCAGACGCGGGATAGAAAACATATCGACACATGTTCAATGGACTCGTGGAATACCACACAAGAGCTCTTGGCCGAGATCTCTCGAATCAGGAGACGGCTCGAACCATGTACCTACGCCACTGGAGTCTGTCCTACACCAGCTAGAGCGGCCGTGGACATTAATCTCGGTGCAAGAACCGGCAGGTGTATCCTACGAGGCAGACTGAATAAATTGGTTGTTCATGAACATAGCAGGGAAAGATATTTCGCCCCCCAATAGCTAGATATGCTGGTATAACATTATATGCGTACAGGACTTCAGCAGCATATCTTCTACTTGATGGCTGTCTGGTTCTGGTACAGGTCGCACGCGTGAGGATGCTGAAGACAGTATTTGGGCACCAAAACAGTTGCCATAATCCCATTCGCAACGAGATACTCGCGGAAATTGATAATGCGCTGCGTCATTTCAGTCGTGCGCTTCCGACCCTTCGCATCCCGGTTGCCAGACCACACCAGCTCCGCCAGCGCCGCCGCGCGTGGCCAAAGGAGGCTGGAAACGGTCACGTCGTCGGCCTGCTCCGTCCATAGGGGCGCCGTGGCCCCGATAATATGCTTCGCCTGCGCATCAGTGAGATTGAGGGTGAAGTCGTAGTTGTAGATGCGCTGCCACGCCTTGTACGGGGCGCACCACGATCCTCCATTTCCCAAGTAGTTGGAGTTGGGTGTGTTCGCGTCTGGGTTGTTCATCACGTTGTACCGAGGGTCGTTAGTCACCCAGCCACCGTGCCCGCAGTCGAGGTACATGAAATCGGCCGAGGAGACAATCACGTCGTATCCCCGGGCTGTCAAATTGGAGATGTACTCCAGGCCATTGTTCCAGCTCTGCATCACAATGTCCTTGGGCACCTCATGCGCATGCTCTGCGGACAGGACGACATCTCCCACATGATCAGCCGACGGCGGTCGCTGTAGCTGCGGAAGATTGGGGCCGCGCGGTCAACCCAGTGCTGAAGAAGGTCGTGGTAGGTGCGCTTGGGGTCCTCGGCAAACCATTCCCTAACATGGCTGCTGAAGTTGAAACAGTTAGGCTGGATCTCGCCCCCCCCAACATGGAACCAGTGATCGGGGAAAATGTCGGAAAGCTCGTTGTAGACATCCCGCACCACCTCGTACGTCCCGTCGTAGATGATGTCGAGCTGACCCGGGTTCGGCTCGACAGCGGTATGCAGCTCCCACACGTCGTTTGACCACCACGAATCCGTGCAGGTTACCATCTCGGGGTCCACTTGCCTCCAGCCCGCGGACGCGTGGCTCGGCATGTCTATCTCGGGAATGATTCGGATGCCACGAGCGCGCGCATACGCGGTGATCTTGTGCAGATCGGCGTGAGAATAAATCTCGTGGGCGGAGTAAGCTGCTTGTATTATACTCGCACGGCCGGCGTCATCCTCGCTTGGTGGCGGTAGAGCTGTTGATGTGGGCTTCGGATTTGGAGTAGGTGTACTTGAAAGGGGCGATTGACTGCGTTGAATTAGCTCCATTATTTGCTGCATTTGAGTTTGCATTTGACTCTGCAGTTGCGTTTAGAAATCCCTAAATTGATCCCTTGACACATAATCCATGCGATCATCCTCTTCCTCCTTCGACGCAGTATCTCGTGGTAATGGTCGTGTTATCGCAGGAGAGGATGGCCCAGGTGTACAGTATGGAGATTCATCCCTAGCAGGCGCTTTTCCCTTCTTCGGGCCCATTTTAATTGAAGTTATTATCAATTCCTCGAGGGGCAATTGAATAGACAAAACAGGTGGTTTAACACCACGTAATATCGGCTCTAAAAGGAAGATATAGAGGGTCTCATAACCTGTTCGCGAGGCACAATTCTCTTCAACAAGCCTTAAAACCCTCGCTTCGCTCGGCGGCTTGAAGTCTGCCCGACGCTATTCCTATTATGGTCTACACATGACATTAATTCGGACCGTATTAACACGAACACAAAGAACTGTGGACAATGAAGCTGTAAACAGGCCGTAATTAGGGCGAAGAATAATAGGAGTAGTGGATTTATATATAAAAAAAACCTATCCAATAACATGCAAAGGGCTTATTCAGAGGCTTATAGATCGGTAGAACAATAGAAAGGCCCGAAATATATAAAGAACTATAATCCCCCTGTAGATTTAGAACTCGGATCCGCAAAATTTTTGAGTCAAATATTTTAATTTTTTTACGGACCCAACTATGGCCCACCGAGTTAATGGACCTGCCCCCGGGTTGCTGGCGGCCAGGCACCTCGACCTTAGTAATTTTACGGGCCAGACCTTCTCTGCCATGCGGTAATTATTAACCTTCCCTGCTGTCCGCGAGCCGCAATTCTAGGCCGCTGGGGCCAGACCAAACTTCCGCAAAGCCGTGAATGTAGAAGCAGTTATGGGCCAGGCAACTAGTACTTTAAATACGACCTAATGCACGCATTGTGCGCGGGGATATAGGCCCTTTACCCTGTGCATTTCGTCCACGGGCTGCTTTGGTGGTAGTTGTATAAATTGCCACTACAACAGTAGTGGAAATTGTTGTTCCCTGTGCCGTTTATAAACCCTATTCAGTCTGTAAGGATATCAGCTAACGACCGTAACAGCCTAGCCGGAGGAAGAAGAAGTGGAAGAAGAAGAGGAGGAAAAGAAAAAGAAAGAGGAGGCAGAGGAGGGAAACTGGGGGGGAGTAGGCTGTTTAGGGGTGTATATAGTTTATTGCGCTGCTCCTGCTACTAATATCTTCAATGCCCGCTGGCTACACCGGCTTTTTATTATAGCCGCAACAAATTTCGACGCGGCTGCGGCTGGCCTTGCAGCCGTTGCCCGGGCGTGCATGTTAATTACGGACAATTTTATAAAGAACACCGGTTTCAAGCCGGTGGGGGATCTAGACCTTGATAGTCTGGACTGTGAGATCCTAGGGGATGATAAAGACGGGAGTGAGTAGGGGGGTTTTAGGTAGGGTTTTACAGCCTGTAATTAGTATTTTATAAAGGCTGCGGCCTGGGGCTGGTCCCTAAAGTTAACAGTGCAGAGGAAATACTAACCGTAGAATCTTATAAATATAGAACTTTAGGCTATACTATATTTTCAGTTGTCCTTGCGTACGGTGACAATAGGATGCTTAGATTTTTAATATCTATAACTCTGGAGAGGGCCACATACAGCTAACCGTGGGAGAAAGTAAAAACCTGTAGATTAATTCCTATAGTCTGCAGTAACTAGCCCTGTGACTTATTTACAGTAATTGCAAAGTATAGACAGACTGGAAACTATGTACGCGATAGTTTAAACAGCAGCTTATTAGTATTTAAATAAAGTATAATACACGGGATTACATACTTTATCCCATAGTAGTTGTGTTATGCGTGGGGGTCGGTAACGAGCTGAATGGGGCGCTACGGTGCGAAAGGGAGTGTCTATATGGGAGAGAAGATAGGACCACGTATATTACAGAACTAATCGCTGCCTTCAGGAGTTCAGGCGGTGCGAATATAACTAAACACTTCGCACCTGACTAAGCATCTTAGCTAAGGATCTGTCAGATATACCACTAAACCACAAAAAGTAGCGCTGATTCCAGTTTGCATATAATAATGGTATATCTGCTTATCCGACACACCCCCTCAGCATGTACATATTTGTACATGCTGAACATATTTTTATGCCTTTTCTAGTCTAGCCATCTGGATGCCTCGGGGATTGTTTCCTCTTCGGGCTTATTACACCTCGGGGATTCTTTCCATCTTCGGGCTTATCATCTGGGTCTAGTTCGTTAGAAAAGTAAGGTGGTCAGACCTGGATTCGAACACTCGACCTCCAGAGCGAATGAGACTCTTAATTGTCAGATATACCACTAACTTAAACCACAAAAAGTAGCGCTGATTCCAGTTTGCATATAATAATGGTATATCTGCTTATCCGACAGGATCTAGCTATCGCGCTTCCGAGCGCTCCTAACAGCTCCTAACAGTTATCCTGATAGCGTTCTTTCTCGCTATACAACTGCTATTGATGCTGCACGCAAACGAGCCGATTCCTTATCAAAGTATGCCTTATACTTTGACTATCTACACCTTAAGCTAGAGAAATAGGACGTACAGCCGGAGAATATATACAATATGGATGAGAAGGGATTTCTTATCGGAATACTCTCTAAAGGCAAAAGAATCTTTTCAAAGCAAGTATATGAGAAAGAAGGCTTCAGGTACAGCTTGCAAGATGGTAATTAAGAGTGGATAACTACAATTGCCTGTATCTGCGCCGACGGAACTGCTCTACCACCAGGTTTAATATATTAAGCAGTATCTGGCAAAGTACAAGATACCTGGCTGCAAGACTTTAATCCAGCGATGCATGACGCTTATATTACCTCTTCTCCTTCTGGCTGGACCAACGATGAGCTAGGATTTGCATGGCTTCGGGATATTTTTGATAAAAGGACAAAGGCTAAAGCCGGGCGGGGATACAGGCTTTTAGTCCTTGATGGCCATGGATCTCATTTCACTATAAAGTATCTTAACTACTGTGATGCTAATAGGATTTTACTGGCTACTTATCCTCCTCACTCTACGCTTTCTCTACAGCCGCCTGATGTTGGGATCTTTGGACCGCTTTCCATGGTCTACAGCAGTCGTTTGGAGGAATTTTTGCATCAATCTCAAGGCCTAAGCGCTATTAGCAAGCGGGACTTCTTTGCCATGTTCTATCCAGCTTGGGAAAAGGCTTTATCTGTGAAAAACATCACAGGAGCTTGGAAAGCAGTTGGTTTATATCATTTTAATCCTGACATCGTTCTGGCGCGTTTTATAAATAAGGAGGAGAAAAGACCTACCTCAAGCGGTTCAGCCCACTCTGTTCTACGCGCAGAACGATGGAGAAGGATTAGAGCGCTTGTAAACGATGCTGTCGATGATATTATTGATGAAAAGGTCGGAAAGTTGAATGAAACGATATACGCACTCTCTACAGAGAATATCTTGCAAAAATCAAGTGCGAAGGCCTAGAATTCGCCCTCCAGAATGAGAAGAGAAAGCGACAACGTGGGAAAGCTCTTACAATCGATTTCCGCGAGCTAGAACATGGTGGTGCAATATTCTTTTTCTCCTGCGCGGGTACAGCAAGCTCGGGACATTCAGCAACAAAAGGATGAAGAACTACGGCTTGCTAAGACCTTAAAGCTAGAGGAAAAGCTTCGTCGGTAGCAAGAGAAGGAGGAAAAGCAACGGCAGCTTGAAGAGAGACAAAAAATAAAAGATATACTAATAAAGAAATACGCCGTCAGGAAGCGGAGGCAAAGAAGCGCCAAAAGGAGGAAGAGCAGCTAGCAAAGGCCGCCTCTCTGCAGCTTCAAAATGATTTCAAATCGGGCAAGAAAGGCAAGAAGAAGACCTCTACGCCTTGTACAGCCCAAAATAATGAAGTTGCGGTTGTACAGACAGGGTGGTTTTCAACAAGTCGATACAAATCGACACAATTCAACAAATTGCAACAACACCATGTTGATTCATATCGATTAGTTATTATTGTATTTGTAAAGGGGCGAAATGCCTTGCTATCTAACAACTAGATATACACAAAGAGGAATCGCTGAAAGGGAGAAAGTAAAGGGGAGGAAGTGTGCGTTCTCATACTACAAGGAGTCATGTGACTACGATAAGCGGACCAATCATATGTGTCAATCGCAGCGAAGGTGAAGCCGAGCAACATACAGGCGTAGCCCGTGACAAGAAATGATGAATAGTGGTATAAAAACTATTGATAAGGTAGATTTTTTATCTATCTTTTTATTAGTTTACTCAAAAGCAATGTCATCGGCAAATATATTAAGTGGATTTAAGGCTACTGGCCTTATTCCTCTTGATTCTTCAACAGTGATATCAAAGTTGAAAATCAAGTTGAAAACACCAAGTCCACCATCTTCTTCAGGCAGTAACCAGTCATTTTACTTGGGAAAAACACCTTATAATCTCTACCAATTAAATCGACAAAAAGAGCAACTTCTTGAGATTCAAAACCAATGCTTTTTTCCATCGATTGCTGATACTTTGCTTGAGAAAGCTATGAAAGGCAATGAGATTGCTATGTAGCAAATGTCTTTGTTAAAGGATGAACTTCATTGACATCAGGCAGGTGATGAGTACCAAGAGCAAAAAAAGGAAGAGCCTAGACAGTTTATTCAAGATGGAGGCAGTCTAACTGCTGATACAGCACATCAAATAATCAGCGAGAAGGAGGCAACGATTCAGGCCGAGGCCCAGGCACCTAGGCAGCGAAGGCCTCCCACATGCAGCAATTGCAATATTCAGGGCCATAATCGATTAAAATGTCCTACCAGATAGTTCTACTGTGTATTTTTTATAATATATTTCGTTTGTACGGAGATAAATGGTATGAATATTATCTAAAGTAAGATGGAGGTGAGGGAGAGCCGGAGCGGTGAGCGGCGCGCCGCTCGGTGTCCAACTGCTTTATATCAAGAATACTAAAGATGGGGAGGAAAGGAAGAAGGCAGAAGGGCGTTGTCATGGCGAGCGAGGATATGGTGGGAAGCTTCCCAGCCCTAGCCCTGTGCCCTCAGCCCTTCCTTATCCCAATACGGCCTACGTGCAAACCATATAAACATCACGTCACCGCGTTAACCTGAGCGCGGTGTTCAAGGCCAGGTCGTCACAAACATTACGTTATTTACGGTTGGCATTGGAATATCATAAAATATGTCTTTTGCGTACTAATTTGCCAATGAATAAACTCAACACCGTGCCTCTGCGTTGGCACCAATAGTGCCCTAGGTAGATACGGCGCAACAGCATTAGAAAAAACCCCACATCATGGCTGGCAAGGAGTGCGATAAACCGTCCAAACAATAACGCATAGATCAGCGGATAAAAAGCAGAGTAGTTGGCAAGGTTGTTGCACTGGCAATGATGTAGAAGTGGATAAACCCTGTAACCGGTGCAACATCCCCATTTACCGAGATCAATGATTGGGGTGGCTTTTCCATGCCATCAGTAGGATGATGTTCAGCTCAAGAATAGTAAACAAAGGTTAAAGCAAGAAAGAGCAAAAACAATAGAAGGTAAGGGGCCTTGAGGAATATGTATTGTAACTTGGCCTTGTTGAGCCGGAGCTGATGGTCACCGTGCCTTACTATAAGCGAATTCACATTAACAAAGTGGTTAGAAGGTTGACCGCCAGCCTTTATATGCAAGTAGATTGTGGACCTAGCCATTATCACTTACCAGCTCATTTACCATACGCATTTGCCTTTCCAGGCTTGCTGGCATGCCACTGACTGTCGTCCAGGTTCCATGTTTTGCGCGGTTGAGGTTCCGAGGACGGGGCGATCCATTCATTTATTGACTCATATTGCACATTATTGTACGAAACACCACGTTCGTTGTCGGTGGCGATCAGGACAACTCCTAGTGCAGTTGTTAATGTCTGGCTATATTTCACAAGCTAGAATATGCCGTACCTTCTAACTCAAACTTCAATCCTTCGAAAGCGTCAAAAGCGTGACCATTATGGTAAGCGTAGATCTTCAACTCTTTTAGATCCGTCAGGCTGATTTTCTCTGCTCCAAAGTAATCTGCAGCTTTTAATGTGATAGTTTGATGCGCATTAACGCTCGGGCTAACGTCGCCTTTAAATGCTGGAACCCTTTTCTTATCGTTAACTGTAATGGTGATATCGACATCTGAATTGGTTCCAGCCCAATCTTTATTAGCCAATTTTAGGCTAACCGATAGGGTGTCAAATTGCGCTGGAAATTCCCTAGCCCGAAGGCAATGGCTTGGGGGCCTTTCGGCGCGTTTCATCGCAGCTGAGGGCGCTGAAAAGGATGTGCCCAAAGATTGCGAATCTTTATTTGGGAATAAAGGATGGACGGGAGGTATCTTCTGTGATATTTTAAAAGCATCCCGCTGTACGTCCATTTGCATTGGGGCTTTATCTTGGGCTGACACCATGGCAAGGGACAAGACCCCTATTTAGGCCAGTCAGTCTTGAATACCAGCAATTGTTCTTTTAAAACAGAGGCTCTTACAGAGGACAAAATGTAGAGGCTTCATTTTGAACTCCCAGGTGGGTGGAGGAGAAGTTGTAAAGTCTAGAATTAAGAGGTGTAAGGTACTTCTACCCTAGTTGGCTTCTGTCTAGATATGTATAATAATTTTCTACTACAGACTGGGTTATATTTATATTCCTTTCTATACCCCTTCTGCATTTCAAAAGTGCCGTAAACTTGGTTATCCACCTATCATGCCCTAAAGCCACAGATCCATGGAATAACCGCTACAAATATTAGGCCACGCCACCACTGTGGAGCCACGAGATACGTGTAACTTGCTAAGTAGTATTCCATAGGGAGTAAACCTCTTAACAATTACATACTATTGCTGTACCTGGGTGTCAAGCCATCACAGCAATCGTGGCAGTCCAGAACGTTCTGTAGTGTTTGGCAAGTAAAGAAGCTGGGTGAAGACCATGCATGGCCAAGGGCTTGGGAAACCTTGGGACTGCTCCACAGGGCTGTGTAAACAACATAGTTGGCTTGCGGAGGTATAAAAGGTATGAATCACATAACTCTACTTTAAATTTAGCTTGACTCTCAGTTTAATTAGCCTTGGCACAAATGTTATGATAACTATAGATAGACATAAGATTTAAAATCTAAGTCAGACGAAGAAAACATCATCCATTTTGGTCTGCGTTTAATTAGTCTTGGCACAAATGTTATGATAACTATAGATAGACATAAGATTTAAAATCTAAGTGAGATGAATAAAACATTATCTGTTTTGGTCTGTGTTTAATTAGCCTTAGCCATGTCTACACGGCAATTCAAATTAATTGCATTGGTGTGTGTGAGTATTTGACTACAATATTTGTTACAGATTTCGCCAGAATCGCATCTATCGGTCTTGGCTTTTTAATAGCCGGTGGGCCCAGAATCGCCAACGTTTTCCAAGGACCAGGAGTATGATGGACACCAAGAGCATTAGCATCCAAATGTATTCTATTGAAACGTAAATTCCTCGTCTGCATATAAAAACCCCTAAAACTCCAGGTGTTCGGATCAGGCTTATCTGCTATCTGTCGATTCAGTCTTTCGGCAGAACCCTCGCTGAATCGTTAGCTGAATCATTAGCTGAATCATTAATCTACTAGTTTCATTGGCGTCAACATTGTATTTGGTTTACAATTTAACCATGAAGCCTTTTGTTGGACTCCAAACTGCACTTCTCGTGCTGGCGGTCCAGAGCACTTCCGCGGCTCCTCACCCCCCCCAGAAGATGCACGACTGACGGAGTCCACTGGACTCTTATCGTATGAACCTGCTGTAGCTAGTATGTTGTATACAGATACAGCTGTACCGGTAAGGACCAAATTACTCAGTGACCTATTGTACATAAAATCCTTACTATATATTGAGCAGGAAGTGCCACATGGAAGCCCAGAAAAACGTTCTACTTCTAAGGTCGCTGTTAACCCATACTACAAAGGTAAAGGGATTGCTATTGATCTCCTGCCGATTGCCCAGTCCCAGATGCTTCTTGGTGGACAAATGAGGAATTAAGAGAAGAAGAAATAAAGAAGGATTCTAAAGAGACGGCTAACCCGCTTAAGGTGAGGTTTATCCGGGATTATACTTTGATAGAGACCCCTGGTTAACTGAAATAGGAGTTCCTCGATGTCATAGAAGCACCGTTCGAGGTCGTGGAAGAAACGGTAAAGACGTTTCTACAGGGAATAATGAACTTAGCCAAGGGCAACACCTGTGAAGGGGTGTCGGAGACGTTAATGCCGGTTATACACGCAATGGTCAAAGAATTCATCAAGGTATCGGATGAGACTGGTTTCAAATCTATTCTTAACGAAATCGGAGCCGAAATAACCAAGTTCTTAAACTACCCAGTTATACGAGAAGGATGGAAGTTCCTGAACACACGCCTGGAAGACATTCCAGTGGTAGGACTGTGGTTTAAAACAGTCGGGAAGGCAGAGGGTTGGACCTACGAGCATTTGGTGCCCAAGTCTATAAGGGATTCCTTGCAAACTTGTGCCGATGACGGCATCAGGCATCCGGCTCAAAATCCTCTTGGATTTTTTATTGGCCCTAGGCATCGATACAATAGAGCACCCAACCATTCTCGATATTCTGTTGGCCATTCCAGGAGTGGGAGAGTTTGCTGAAGCTGCCAAGGCTGCCGAAGAAGGCATTAAATTCGCAGAAAAAGCAGCCAGAACTGCAGAAAGTTTAGCCAGTATTACAGGAGAGAATAGAGCCTTGGCCGAAATTGAAGCAATCGCCAAATATGCAGATAAAGCAGATGCTGCAGCAGATGCAGCAGATGCTGCCGCTAACTCAGCCAAAGGCACCGAATATGAAGCCAAAGCTTTGAAGCAAGCAGTTAAAGCTGACAAAGCATCTAAGGCTGCGGACAAAGAATTCAGTGACGAAGTGGAGAAAGCCAAGAAGCTTTGCCGACGTGGACCAGTTGTGTCTTGGGTCTGCACGGGCGAAAATGCTTCGGGCGAAGAAGCTCCCGGAGAAGGTGCTAACCGGAGCCAGGCACGCCGAAACAGGAAGGAGAGAAGGACCAGGCGCATGAATAAGAAAGCAGAGACGGAGTCAGAGACGAATCTGGCTAAGCCCCAGGGGCAGAACAAACCCACAGGAGATGGCTACGAGAACACGGGCAACAACCCTACAGGAGATGGCCACGTGAACACGGACAATAAACCCACTGGAGATGGGTACGAGAACACGGGCTTCAACCCCACTGGAGATGGCTATGAGAACACCAAAACCCCCACTGGAACTTCTATAAGTAGCGCTGCTGAGAAGGTTGACTTTCATCGGTTTAAGTTGGTGGATGAACATACCGACCCAAACCACATACTCGCCCGCTCCTCGGCACCGAGCTACATTGATGAGCTAGAAAAAGACGGGACGCAGGAATTGAGCGTCCGCCAAGCCGATTTCCTCAAGGAAAATGGCTTCGATAACATTATTAGCCTAAATTCGCAACGTTTGTCAGAAGCGGAGGAGGACCTCCTGAAGAAACGGGGAATAGATTATACCCATCTTCCTGTTAAGGACTTCCATCCTCCTACACTTGATGATTTACGTACAGGGGTGGCTGAATACAATAATCATAGAGCTACACTTGTCTGGTGTGGCTTTGGGCATGGAAGGACAGGAACAATGATCAGTGCAATCCAGATCGAAGTCAACGCTAAGAGTGGGTTAGAAAGGTTAACAGAAGACCTCTTCAAGAAGAACCACGTTGAGAAAGAGAGCCAATTCAAAATACTCGAAAAGTTCCAGGAGGAACGGTTCAGAGCCGGACGTGTGTTTTAAAAGTCATGAGCTGGCACCAGTATTTTTGCTGTCTTGGCGGTAAGGGTGTTTACAGTAATTTATATGGGAAAGCTCTTAGATTCATGACAGGTTATAAAGCCATATTTCCCAACAAAAAATGCCTTTTTGCCTTCCTGCCTGCTCACATACCTACCTACCCCGGACATCTAAGACCGTGCAGGGAAAATATTATTTAGTTGTGTAGTGAAGAGTCTAAACCACGATATGCAGTGAACCGAAGAGGAGTTATGCCTGCCCTCCGGATGTTGCCTCGACAAGTTCGGATTGGTGCCTTGTCAGGTGGCGGAAGTAGACTCTCTTTCCCCATTTCCTGACACGATCCTAACCTAGAATGAATGAAACGAGATCTATTCAGAATGTAGGGCAACTCATATTCGGTGTGACGACCTGGCCTTGGACACCGCGCTCAGGTTAACACGGTGACGTGATGTTTATATGGTTTGCATGTATCAGTGGCGGTTCCGACCACCCACCGCCTTCCGCCGGTGGGTGGTCGGCAGCGTAAAGGAATTTTCACCGTAAAGGAAGAAAATGAAGCAATTCGCATTATTATCACTAAACGCCTGTAGAATCAATAAAATAAAGTTGATCGCCCGATTCCTCTGCCAATACTGTATTTGAATCTGCAGTTTTATTTTCTATATAGGGCGCTGGTGGGGGTGACCGTACGCCTTCAAATACGCCTTATTCGCCGCTTTCCTATTCTTTTCATCATCTTTGGCCTTCCTGTCCGCGATAGACCGATTCGCATCCTTTACGCGTAGTATGCCACTATCCCCGAGGCGTTGAACCTCTCGCTTAGTCTTTTTGCGCTTTCGAGGTGCTTGCGCGGCCTCAATTCGCTCAAGAGTTGAATTCATAACGGCAAGCTGTTCGGATTGAAGTTTTTGCTGATGAAATAAGCGCCCGAGATAGCGCTCAACGCGAGGATTAATCGGTGTATCGCTATTTAAGAGTTTAAATAGCTTCTTCTGATTCTTTTCGACTTGCTGAGCGCTTTTTGAGGCGTATTCTCGCTATACGCGCGAAGATCGGGTGCAGAGATTTCTGGTAGCGGTGGTAAAGCATTTTGAATAGCTTCAATAATTAAAGATCCATCTGTAGGGAAGATACCGCGTTCTTTAAAGGAGTTGCGAATAAGGCGTGGATTAAAGGTCTTCTCACGTACGGCAACAATATCGCGTAGAAAATCTGCTTTATCTCCCGGAACTCCACACCACTGCGCGATGAGGTTATTCGCACTGCGAAAATGCGTTTTATATGTGAGAAAGGGCTTTCCATCAAGTGGTTGGCAGAGATGAGTTGTATGAGGCCGGAAGCAAAAGGGGAGGATTTTATAGGTCTCGCAGAGTTGAAGAAATTCAACCGTTTTATGAGCTGTATGGCCGTCAAAGATAAGTACGCGTTTTTCTCCTTTTTTTTTGTACGATCTTTGGTCTCCTCGTGAAATTTTTAAAGCCATTCAAGTGTGATTTCATCGTTTATATAGCCTTTATCGGTGACTGCAGTATAGTAATTGGGAATTGCTTTATCATACCAGGCCTCCATAAATTTCTTTCCTTTAAAGATAAAAAGCGGAGTCATAATCCAGCCATCTGCAGCAATACACTCAAGCGCAGTAATATTCTCTGCATGCTCGGCTTCAGGAAGATCAGAAACTCTCCCCTTTGTACCGAGCACTTTTTGAGGCTTTCCACTGCCTGGTTGAAAGCCGCATTCATCAAAATTATACACGAGGCGAGCGGGGACATCTTTAAGCAAGTTGGCAAGCTGATTATACCAGAACTAAAGCTGTCCGACATCCTCTGCATCCAAGCGCTTCTTCTCCTTCGTCCTTTGAATCACAGGACCCAATTTAAGGTCAGGAGGAAGCCTTTTAGCGAAGCGATACGCCCACGATCGGCTAACGCTCTGCGTATACGGCAAGCCATTACGTCCACTCCGCAACAATCAAATTTCTCGCTAAGTTCTCTTACCGCACCTTTAACCGCCTTCCTACTAAATCTAGCTGCATAAAGATAAAGTATATTATGAAGATGTATATCTACTGCGTACAGGTAGGTCTTTTTCTTCTGTTTATCTTTACACTACCAGGCATTATGGGTCGCAAATCCATTGATCTTGAGCCGTATAAGGCTGATATTCTTAATCTTTATGAAGCAGAAGAAACAGTTGATTTTATTCTTTCTTATCTTAAGGATATGCACAGTATTCAAATCAGCAAGCGTAGACTGCGGCAAAACCATGGACAACCGCGGATAACCAAAACCGCAACCGCAAATTTGCGGTTTTGGGGCTGATTTAAAAACCGCAAACCGCACTGTGGGCGGTTGTGGTTTTCACTTTGGAAAACCGCGGTTTTTGCGGTTATCCATGGATATGTAAACATTACAAACATGCTGAAACTTGTGACTTTCCAGTGAATGCATAAATTGTGCACTTTTCGCAGTATTTTTGGAGTATCTAGTATGTAATAGATTACTTATATCTCTTAATTTGAAACCTTTAGAATACACTTTTAGACCAAATTCGATTTCTATATTCTAAGTCTCTAATATTACAGCTTATCAATCTCAAATCCCTCAGGTAGCTTAGGCCTCTTCCGAACCCTCCCTGACCGCGCCTGCGTCTTCTCAATTGGCATATCAGGAAGTGGGAGACCATTATCAGCATCATCTATAGCCTCAGAGGTGTTACTTCGGCACCGCTTCCGTTGTACCTGCTTAGTTTGAGCTACAGGCTGCGTGGTAGATAACCCTTCTTCTGCCTTGTTATCAGATTCGTCTGTATTATCCTCAGATAAATCCTCTGCTTCGCAACCCTCTTCTTTATTATCACTAATTGGTTTGAGTTTATTAAGCAATGGAACAGGCTGTCTTGTCTAATCAAGCATAGCAGCCTCTCCGACAGAGAAATACTCTTTAATCATCTCTAGCTCGCTTTGTTCAAGATTAAACTTAGATGAGAAGAGATGGAGTATTAGATCTTTAATTGTGCCTGGCTTTTAACTGTCCCCGACGATAGTGACAGATATCACACGAGTATAATTAAAAGCCGCTTAACACCAGCACCACTCGCAGGAACTGAGAGGATATCTCGTGCAATCTTTGCAAGGACTGGATACTCGTGCTCATGCTCCTTCCAGAAGAGCCGGGGATTACCTTTTGTAAGCCCTATAAAATTAATTAACTTTAGAATAGTATAGAAATAGAGAATATTTACCTTTTACTAAATATTGTGTTATTTTATCCTCCGGTTAATCTACTTTAGCTTGTAGAGCTGTCTGTGATTTATATAATAGCTCAAGCTTATTTTCAGCAGGATCAAAGATTGCTTGGTTATTAACTGGTTCTGTTTCCTGGATAACCTGCTGCTGATATCGCTTAAACTCCTTCTGTAAAACCTCCTGGTAATGCTTTATAAAATCGACTTCCTTTTCTTTCTTATTTTTTCCTCTCCAATCTGTATTATCAAAGTATCAAAGCTTTTTAATAAACAGAGAATTATTGCAATTGCATAGACTATGCCATATAACTTATTGTCTGTTTCAGTGTAGTATTTTAAGAGCTTTTTTTACTAACTAAAGTGCCTGAAGCATTCTCTTTTTTATAGGACAGCTTTACGTTTCAGTTTCTTCTTAATGTCATCAAGATAATTAAATAGCCGATTGTAGATACTGAAGACATGGTAAACTATAATATTTCTGGTTTTTAATAATACACTAGTAAAATCAAAGAAAGGCTTAGTAATTAAAAGCAAATATTCAACTTGGCGCTATTCCTCTTTATCTAGCTTAAATTAAATATGTTGATATGTTATACAATACTGATTAAAAACTAATTATAATTTCCTGGCACGATTAAGTATTAGAAAGGTAGAATTCCAGCGCGTGCGAACATCTTGGATCGGAATAAGCTTAGGCTTAGTAGTTTAAAGGGTAAAAAAGCTTCCCTGCGCTGTGGACTAGCATTGATAAAGACAGCGAGCTCTCGAATCTAAGGATATTAGTATAAGTATAAAGAGAGCGCGAAGATATACTTACCTTTTTAAGGTTTCTATAATATTCCTTGTAGGCTGCCAAGAGCTAGTTTGTAGTAACTGTGTACGTGTATCAGACCACTTAGTCTCTGCTTCCTTATTTATTGGATTTGCTTTTATCTTTCCAAGTAGATCCTTTAGGCTAAGCTGGATAACATGCGCAATACATGGAATTCGGAAAACAGAAGTCCCACTTAGAGCTTGCAATTAAATCATCTCTTGGATACCTACTATTATAGTGTTGTTATTTGACATATTATCTGTAGTAATTAATAATACACGATTATCAATATTATGTTCCATAAGTATTTGAATCACAGTCTGACTTAAGTGAGCACCGGTATGCGATCCTTGGAGATGCTTAAAACCAAGAAGGACCTCGCAGTAATTCCATTCTTGATCAAGAAAATATCCAGTAATTGCCATAAATGCCTGGGAAAAGGGAGATGTCCAGCAGTTAAGTGGAACTAAGAGATAGCTTTCTTTTTAGAAGTTTGCTAAGCATATTTTGTTGCCTTTCCTGGACAGTGTTGTTTAAAAGTCGTTGGATAGTCCACGCAGAAGGAATATCAAGCCTTGATTCAGAGAGTTGGGCAGCTTCGAGAAGGTCTTTAAACTCTGGGTGTTCAACAATACGAAATGGGAGACGGGTGGTGGTAATAAAGTTAAGAATTCTTCGCTGGAAAAGATTATTAGTAAAGACCTTCTTTGTTAGTGCACGCGGCTAGATAATACTATTATTAGTGATCTCTCTCTATATCTTTAAAACAATATTTAAAACATACTAAATCACGTATTAACTGGTTAATCCCTTGCTTTTTTTTTTTTCTAAGCGACATGTACCGCTGTTTAGATGTGCTTTAAGTACAAAGGTTCCTGTATACTTATAACCTGGATAAGTAAGGGTTGCAAAACACTGCTTACACATAACCTTGGGCTCG